TCAACGTCACCGTCAACGTCGACCTCCAAGCCCACAGCCGCTCTCAAATCGCCCTTCTTCCTCATTCCGGGTTGACGGTGACGTTCTTCCTATAAATCCAACCCCGGAAGAACTGGAACACTCTTTCAAGACCCTTGAATTCCAGATTAGGGATCTGAGCTCGAAGATCGACGGATTCGCGGAGGAGAGACTAACGATATTAAGAGGATTGGGCCTTAATGCCGGTTTTCTGCCTCGAGCAAGTGGCGAAAACACTTCGCCGGAGGTAGGTCATATTTAGGTCTTGATGCTCTCCTTTGAAGTCGGTGTTGATCTCGTCGTCCACCATGCAGCCACCAGCAATTGAAGAACAATTGGAACTTACGAACGAACCGCTCCAACAAAAAGAACTCCAGAAAGACCGCCAGGTAGATGCGACGTAAGGAGAATGGAAGAGCTTAGACCTCCGGATAACGACCGTGATTACGACGACGTCCTCCACGCCAGGCTGCGTCAACTTGAGGAAGAATGCGAAAGGTAAGCCATTCGCTGCTCTTCTGTTCGTCTTATCCTTCTCTCTTGACACCTCTATGGACTGCTGCTTGTCTTTTCCTCTCGTTGTCTTTTCCTCTCTTGTCTCTAGAGTACAACTGACATATTCGGACGTAGACTCCGGTCTTCAGAAGCCCGTCTCCAAGACCACCTCCATTTCTTGCAAATTGCGGCTCAGGGAAGGGAAGACGAGCTCGAAGCGCAGGTAGAAGTTCTTCGACGGGCACTTGAGTTGCAAATACCTGTTAACGAAGGGGTTGGAACTGGGTCGGAGGTCGCCCAGGAGGTTCGTCTCTCAGCTGTTTTTTAAACCCTTGACCACCATATTCTTTTCTTCCATTTCTTCCATTTGTCCTTTCGCACTTCATGGTTTATTTGCCTTCCTCAGTTTGGCTCGCTTTTCTCTTTCTTCAGTTCTTTGGGATGCTGTTGGGTTGTCTCTTGTCGTTCATCACTTCGCGAGAAGAACGAGCCGGGCGCCCGTGCGAGTGTTGATCTGGCCTTGATCAGAAATCTTGAGTTTCCCCTCTCTTCCGTCTTTATCTCACTGTTCGATTTGAACTCCTCGTTATCTTTTCGTGCGCCCTGTCACACCCAGGTGCTCATGGTTCTGCTCGCGTTCGTCGTGGTGTTTCAAGGCGGTTGAGGGCGTTTGGTTCCATCATCGCAGGGGCATTCCTCTGATCTCTCCTGTCTGGATTTTCTTTATTTCCTTTCTTTGCTTCTCTCCTGCGTTCCGTTCGCGGCTCGATTTATTCCTGTCCTCGTCTCGAGCTTTGCGTTGCTGGGTCCTGCATGGTCGTCGCATCGCTGCCTGTTGAATGGTGTTTCACCGTCCTTCTTTCTCTCCATCTTACACGTTTATTCTCGTCGACCACCCGAGATGCGGTGATCGCGATCCCATCTTGCTGAAACATCTCTTGTCTTCGTCGCAATTTCGTGTCAGCTACGTCGTGGCAAATGTGTTTGTAAACTTTGCGTGATCCAGTGTCCAGTTTCTGCATGCGTCGTGACTCCTTTTCGCTTTTGAGTCCCGTCACTGTTTATGGTTCTCTCTCTCGCCTTTATCGAGCTGGCGCATGGAGCATAATGCGTGGCGGAATGAGATTCTTTCAGCCTTTGCCTTTGCCTTTCCTTTGGCCTACGTTTTATCTGGTTCAATAATGCCGTCTCAACAATCGATTCTACTGTGGATTAGCTCCTAGTTGTTGATATCGGACTGCAACCAGGTTCCATTTCGGACGTCATTTGCGAGCATCCTCGTTATTCGGTTCTTCTTGATCTTCTTGCCTAGCGATTGTCTTCGTCGGCGCTCTTTTACGACCTTCTTTACCTGGCATTTCATTTCCACATGATGCAGATGACGAGATTTCGCGATCTACCAGTCGCTCAGCAGCTCCAGCATCAGCACAGCCAGCAGATTGTTATGCCACGAGTCTGGATACATCCATATTCGATTCTTGTTCTTCCGTTTCACTTTTGCGCCCGTTGAACTACGGGTTTTGAGCTGCGCGAGGTCCTGGTTTTCGCTTGCTCATGGCCTCCGGGTTCACCGTATGGTCTTCGACATTGACAGCGTATATTTACCCGTAAACTCCTTCGCTCTTCTTGGGTCTTTCACCCTTCGGGTGATCGCATTTTGTCTCTCTTTTTTTTTCACGCCTTTGCGTATTCTCCTTGAGCCAAAAACTTGCTGCCTTTATTATCTTCCGCTGGTATACCTCGACTGATATCCGATCTAATCTTTAATTTTGTTTGTAGATCCCTGCTCAACTGACACTTCCGTCACTTTCTCTGTCGTCGATGCTGCAGGCACGACCCCCATCAAGCGATCCCCCACCCACGCGATCAAATCAGACAGGACGTGTCCGCGGCTCCACGAAAATCCACCGGCAGTCAATACCACCGTCAGGACCATCATCAATAGCACCATCATCATCAGCGCCAACAATACCGCTGCATCTGACGGTTGGCGCCCCGCAACACTCTATCCAGCCTCATCAGAGAGATAACCTCGCTCGCGCCCCCACCCGCGCATACCTCAGCCCACAACGTGCGGTAATCGCCTTTCCAGATGACCATCAACGCCCACGGACCACGGACCTTCATTATTTAACCATCAGGATGAACACCCACTTCCAGACGAGTCTGATCGCCCGCCTGTGGATGCATCTTCTAACGAGGCTGTCATGGCGGATATGCAAGCGGACCGAGCGCTGGAACCACCTGTCATTCTCGGTGCTAACTACGAATCGAACTTGCACCCCGCTTCAAACCTGGTTCGACGACAATCCTATGCTCAGAATCTCCTCGATGACCAGCTCAGCGATGGCGAGATATCGATGGAGCTTGCCACGCCTTTGTTACCAGTCAGTGTGATTTCGATATCTGACCATCAGCTGCCTCCGCTCGTACCTCAAATAGCGGATTCATCTCAGGCTCTGTCCTTAGCACCTGGAGCAGGAGGAGCAGAAAGGCCATTATCGACTCTGTCGCCACCTCTGCCCATCGACAGTGTAGATGTTGACGACCGACATGGTATTGTGGAAGTCGACGATCGGATTGCTGACGAGATTGACGAGGAGAATGACGATCATGGCATCGAACTCGACATTCGAACCGACTACGAACATGAGCTAGTGGATCTACAACCCAGCCCCAACCCAAACCTCAGCACAAGTGGCAGCAGCCCTTACTCCGTCACGGCATCGATGCCGCTGGACGATCCGTTCATCGTCCCTTGCTCCATCGATCCTATCACCGTTCGCATTATAGCCGTTATCATTCAAACCCATTCGATATCCATGCAGATCACGAGCATCTGGATGATGCGGACGGTCCGCCCGGGTACGAGTATGAGCACTCGTTCGACGACACGCACCATTCGTTCGACTTACGGTCGGACGAGGGCTCGCCAACGTTGTCACAGATGGTGCTCTCTGCGGCGGCTTCTGCGTCGTCCTCCGCTGGGCCGAGTTCAGGTGCTCGTTCAGGGGCGCATTCTGGGACAAATCTTCCAGATAGCATGCGTTCGCCTGCTCATTCCCTGGGCGTACTGCACCCTGCCCAAACATCTGCAGTTAACGCGAGGACAAGAGCCAGTGCTGAGGATCTGACGAGCAAACTAGAGAAGGTCGAGGCTGAGCTGATGAGCACGCAGACGGAGCCTGAAGTGGGAGAGGATGCTTTGGGGCATTTGGAGGACATGGTTAGGGAGTTGAGGAGGCGCGAACATGAGGGCGCAAAGGACGAGGGGCAGGGTAGGCCGCCTCGCTAACATGTTCCAGTGTCAGTCAATCATCTCCATCAGATCCTTTCCTCCTCCCTACGTCCTCTCGGTGTCGAATCGCCCTCGCAGAATCTTGAAGTGGGGCCGTAGCGCATCCTCCCACATGTTCTGATCCTTCTCACCTCCCTCGTTTCTCAAAAATGTGGCCCCAAAATGCTTCAAGTTCTGCACTGCATTTCGTCTGCCACCCCGTGTGACTCGCGTTCAGGCATCTGAGGGATACTTGGAGAATGATTGTCTCCCTTTCTGCAGATAGGTACTCGCCCGAGGTTCCAGCACCGACAAAATGGCAAGTCCTTCAACGACAGAATCGTCAACGAACGGCTGAAGCAAGATGGGCAGTAGAAAAGACGAGCGTTCTGGAGGCAATCAGGCTGTAAGTTCTTCCTCCTTCTCGCCGCATTTGGCTTGCCTCTAGGTATTCATCCACTCTTTTCTCTTGCCTGCCCAATTTCGCGCTTCGCAGCACCGTTCTCTTATAACCTCTAAATTATGTCTCCTGCCTGCTTTCCCAACCCACTGTCTTTCCTCGCCTCATGCTGACCGCCTTTTATTAATTCAGATTGGTAGATACTTCAAAGCAGTCCCCTCGCGTCTCCTCCTTATGTGCATCCGCTCTATGCACGTAATGCCAGGAATATCTCCGTCACCCTCGCACATTCGATTGCCAACATTTCGTCTTCGTGGCTTCACCCAGACGTGATCCACCGCGTAAACCCCCTCGAAGGCTAGATTTATCGTCTTCGTTGATGGGTAAGGTCGACAGATGGCGACAGACACAGATAGAAGATAACGTTAAGATTCTGGTGGGAGAAGTATGAAGGAAAACAATATGGCGTCTGTCTGGTGCTTCAGCCAAAATTTCGATGGCAGCGTTGCTCTCTGACTGCTGATGGACCTGTTTTCCCTTGCGTTATTTATAGTGCCTATCCAGTTCTCCGTCCACGGACAATAGTACCCTCGGTGTGTACCCCGCTTACCCTACGTCCAATATGAGGTCGTGTTGTAAGATGCCTCTGGCGTTACTCGGAGCTCCTGCTGCATCGCACCCTATTCACAACCAACAACTCAGACGTTTACGCCAATGAACCCAGATTCCGCGCGTCGCGCACCAGTTCAAGGGGGATCCAAACCCAAGGACAAATACTTCCGCTACGAGAGATGTAAGTATCATATTACTAACGATCTTGGGCCCATCAGCAACGGCAAGAAACGGTGAATACCTCGGCTCAATAGTTATTCGTTTGGCTAGCAGGACACGATTACTGGAGCGACCTGCTTCGGCTGCCGCTGGAGAAAGACAGAGCTCAATGCGATGCATGGAGGGACGAGGTTCAGAACATTCTGATTTTCGTGCGTCCATCACTGTCTTCCTTTCTTGATGGCCCTTTCTTATATTGTCGCTAGGTCTCACTCTTCTCAATCATCGTTACCGCCTTCGTTATCGAATCCTACAAGGCTCTTGCTCTTAGACAAGACCCAGCCGACACTACTGTCACTCTCCTTACCCACATCGCCGCACGGCTCGATGATCCTTCTACTCCATTGCTTGACCCAGAAGTGACATTCACCCCGACTTCATCCTCAGTCCGCGTCAACGCCTTCTGGGTCATCAGCCTCGTACTCGGCCTCACAAGTGCCCTGATCGGGATCCTCTCGCTCCAATGGCTCTGCGAGGACCAGCGTTATCTCGAACACTTTTTGTCCGAGTGGAAATTTGTCTTCCTCAATATGAGGACGGAGATGATTGACAGGTGGCGCGTACCGGCATTCTTCACCGCCCTCTCCGTACTCCTTCAACTCGCGTTCGTTCTTTTCTTCATCGGCCTTGTCGACTTTTTTGCTCGACATTGGGGTTAACGGAGTGGCGATTCCGGTCTTGATCGCGATAGCACTCCCATCGGCATCCCTAGTGACGACGACTGCGATACAGGCTCTTCAAGTCTTTCCAGTGAGGTCAGCGAAGACCCAGGTGAACGATAAAGCCCCCATTCCTTGCCCCTACAAGCCGCCTCAGGCATGGCTATTCTGTTTCGTCCTTTCCACTAAATTCGGGGAAATCGCTGCGCAATACACCTTTCTTCCCGTTTATTTCATTCTTACCCGCTCGCTGTGGTTTCGTCCCTTCGTTGGTGCAATTAGGGTCGAGGGTTTACTCCCTTGAATGCCCAAACTTGGACCGATTTCGACCTCGAGTGGATCTCCCTTCGGCGATACTACACATTTCAATCACTTGTGGAGGAGGAGACGATCTGGAAAGAGGTTGGATTGAGTGGCATGGTGCGATATGGCCCCGCTTTACGACCACCTGCAAGCCTACAGCGCGTTTGTCGCCAGTATCCGTATCATCAAATAATCCTCGAGGCAGCGTACCACCATTTCCTGGGGCTGGCGCAGCCATTTATCAATCTCCCCAGGAACAGGCATTTCGGTACGAATTTTTGGCCGGTCAATTGTCAAGATGACGAAGCCTCCTGGAAGGGTTACTGTCCTTGATACTATCACGGACCCGCTAGTTGGCCTCCTCTATGACACGTGCCTTCAACACTTTCGACTTCAAGCCGGGGTTGTTGACCGCACCAAGACAGAAATATTTCAACTTACTTTACATTTCCACCAAGAGCAACTAAGAGCATAGGACAAAATACCTCTGAGCCATAACGAGAGGGAAGGTTTCGAAGGCTCTTGTACGCCATCTAAAGTTCATCTAATGTTTCTCACTCTCTCATTAACTGCGCAGAGGTTGGGCCTCGACTATGCAATCGCGGCGAGATATGTATTCGTCAGAAATCATATACAAGTCTGAAAAATGGATTCGCAAAATACAACACGGAATCATGGGTCTGTCTTTCACCACCTGAAGGTGCGCTCGTGTGAAAATCTCGTCTTGGACTTGCGGATCTACAATATAGATCAGGAAGAATTGATTTACCGACTAAGGAGCCACCGAGGCACACCACGAACGAGCGAGTGATGCATCGATGCACCTTCGAGTCTCCTACCTGATAGAGATTATTCCCACACTCCGACGTCTTGGACGTGCGCCACACTGCGAATTCGTTCGACTACTTATTTCCAGCTTCATGCTGATTTATTGACGGGATAGTAAATATATATACAATTTGTGTAGTGAAACATTTGCACCATAGGACATAGGTACACCTAAAAACGTAGCCAGCAGGATCCTTCGTACCCAATAAATAACTGAATGCGCTCACAAGTGGATGCTGTGTACACTACAAGATCACCATGAGCAGTTGTCAGTTGTATACAAGATCCATACGTCTCGCTCGTCTGGGCAAGGTGCTAATCCCGCCCACCACCAACACGACTCGCCTTTCGGGCTTCGATTGCCTCCTAATGTGACTGCGAGGTGTACGGCCTCGAGGATGTCTCCGACAGTGACAACGCCGCCCTTAATCCCTGACGGACGAACGACAATAGGTCTGTCAATCCCTTCCATTCTGATAGTTAGCGAGCACAAATTCGTCGGTGTCATGGCCGCTTGGTGCTTCCAGAACGTCATAGAGGGATTGTTCTTCACCGCTCGTGAGAGGACCGCGGTCGACGATGGCTCCGTGAGGTGATAGGCCATCAAGGCCGGGCCTGATCGATATTGCAACAACGGATTAAGGGAAATTGGATCGAAAGACAAGGGAGGTAGAGGGATATTTCTCTTTCGCTCTAGGCAGGGCGGGTCTGACGAATATTCCTCGGGCCTTGTTCCGTCAAAAGTCGAGTCATGTCTACGGGATGAAGAGGGGTGCGGCGGGTGCTCCACCCCAGTAGCTGCCATTGAGATATTTGGGATGGCCACCTCGCCATATTCTTGAGTGTGCCTTGACGAAGACTCCGAATTTTCGAATGTGGCTGCCATTTATTGAAACGAGCTACTGCCTTGCGCTCGCCTGTGTCGAGCTATGGGATTAGAAGCTCTGTTAATGAGTCGAGGCACGAGGAGACGTGTTTACCAACTTTGTGATCTTTGAGGACGATAATAGTGGTTTGATGTGCAATCAAGGTGATGGTATGAGGAAGAGGAGGAGGCTATTTATCAAGACATTGACAAGCGGACCTGCAAATCCTTTGTTTCGGTTCTGCCGTTTCGTAACCCCCGCATCTGAACCAGGGACAAGACCGTTTAAATAAGGGCGCTCAAAGCCCCTTCTTTTATTAGTTGAACACTGTCTCCTCACGGTTGTGTTGTCCGAAATCTCATCTTACTCGCACTCCGCATCTGCGCCTAGAGTAGCGCAGCAGCGGGCTCTATACGACGACAACTTAAAGCATTATTTGACATATGACAATGCGCTTTAATTGACTTTGTTTCTCAGATAGGCATTCATTAGAGGAAAAGAATCCACTGTCCATGGTCTCCGTCTGGGCTTGGGAATCCGGGAGTGACCCTGATGGAATCATCCGATCAAGAGATATTCCGAGCCTCCGAGAAGAGCCTTACAACAAAAATTTTGATCAAATATCAAGACGTATGTAAGGCTATTAGGAAGTGGAATGCAACGCTGATACTCGGACAATGTTGGCTGCTTGTGTTGGAGCGAAAATAGATACGCAAATAGCTGCTCCCTGGAGTTGTGTTCTCATAACTCCCCGAGGCACAAGATCCGATCTCCGCCGAAGGGCCTGCACTATGCACATATCGATTTCTTTACGGTATCACTGATAGTTTCGTCACGGACTTTAAGGGAACTCGCCGTTGATCTCCTCAGATGTCCGCCCGCTATCTATATCTGGTATGAATCACGATGGCCCTGTTTTTCTCACGGATGTTAGGCGCCCAAGGGAGCTCGACTCATGAAGATGGCACACAGAATCAAATGGTAAGGCCTGAAAGATATACTGGTGATTAGTCCTCGAGGAAGACGAAAATAGCAGCCAGACGTCGGGTATTTTAAGTATTTATACTCGGGATCGACGGTCTGCACAGGTTCGAAGCCCAGTACGTCACTCTACTATCAACGAACCAGTTTGATCGCAGAATCACTTTTGGGTCGATAGCGGAGAAGGATATATTCTACTTCAATGGCAATACTTCTTCTATTCTCATGCCTTAAGAGGACTGCAGCGGAATTGGGACGTAGTACGCCATCCCGTTGCCTCGTCTAATAACCTCTAGAAGAGCAATGATGATATCAATAAGATTACCTCTAGATCTAATTGTTAGAGGTGATAAATGATCCGCCTCATGTTTGCAAAGTTATTTTAATGTTCTTCAAAGAGAGGAAGAGGTAGTTGTCATATTATTGATGCGTCTCTCAGGATATAATCAGATGTGTTGATGTGCTCCGCTCATGCCCAGGCATTCACAGAGCTTCAGTTCTGCCTGCAGATACTGGCGACCGAGGAACCCATTTCCGGTTTGTTCTATTTCCCATATAAACACGACCAGATGACCGCGGCCAACATTAGCTCCAGTCGTGTCTTCCTTGCTCTCCAAATCGACCCCTAAACCCGCAGCTTCACTCCTTCGTTATCTTGAACTTGAAGGTAAAAGGGTCCATTGACGTGCGTGAACACGGCGGGGGCGATTCGTCTCTTTGCACCATTCTAACAGCCTTCGACCGCATGTGTGGCATACGTTTATGGGGCATTCCGAGTCCGCTGACGGAAATTCTGAACCTGAGTCTCGGCCATCGGCGATTTGACCATCACATGCGATGTCTACGAATAGAAGTTACGCAGTTGGTCCCTCGGAACCAGTTACGGCCGGCACGGTTTATGTGGTAAGGAGGGTGCCGTCTCATAGTTCAAGTTGGAAGATCCTTCAGGAAGAATTAAATGAATACCGAAGGTGAATTCGAAGGTGAGAAGACATTCACAGGCAGAGAAATTAAACTACTGATTGCGTGAAATCCAATGACCACCTGGCTTCTAGACACAACCAATGTCAAGTAAACTACTATCATGTGGGGTGTATGGGCGAAGAGACCCCTTGCGCGTACTATACGGCGCCAATCATGCAACATGAAAGTAACGAAATAAGGAACATTCTCATAAGAAACCGAAGCAAAGGTACTATTACTGACAAATTATTCTTCCGAACCAACGGAACATTCCTACGACCTTTCTCACTTCTTGGTAAGGAACTCTATAGAAAAGCATCGCTCAAAAATGTCTTTGGCTATGTGTCTACGCAGCGAATCCCAGATTATTGAGCATATTTTAGATGCTCGACGGGACCTCTCATTCCACCCCTCCGGCGCTGCGCTGCCGTCGCGAGATATGCGACCCAGCTCCAGCAGGTTCGAAAAGGAAACCTACCAGCAATTCGCGGAAAAACCCTTAACCCAACGCTCAACCACAGCACTTCTCCCAAAATATCAGAGCAACCATCCTTATCCATTTCAAGTCGTTCTCTCTCACCCATGCCTTGCGGCGACCATGAGCGCTACCAGTGATATACGCGCCCATAGCTGCGGGCCATCACTCTACAAAGAGTGCCCCATCAGATGTTCGATCCCGCCCGTAAAAAGAACAAGATGCGGCTTCTGAAGTTCTGACACACTACCACGGGGCGCCCACCGTGGGCTCGCGGCGATGGAGAGCACCACAGCCAGTGATGGGAACAATCATCCCATCACGCCCACCCTTGCTGTGCATTTTGACGGGTTCCTTTTGTCAGTTTGACGGTTCAAGGGCCAATTCACTTCAGGCTGTCGTCTACTTTGGGGCGTATCTCCTTTCATGCACGGAAGCAAATGGCGAGATAGGACAATCCTCGAAATGGGCGTAGGCCCGTTTAGAAGCGAGTTCGGCCGAATCGAGTTCACTGATGGCGATGGTACGATTGGATCATTCCCGTCAGTATCAACTACTATGAACCCAACTGAGAAGTTACATAAGTTTGCCAGGAGTCATTTGAGTGAACGTTACCCTCTTTCTCCACCGGAACGTCGCATCTCTCGTCATGTTTAAGCTGCGAGTCTGTCTTCTCTTATCATTGACCTGATCACGAGAGCATGGAGGCTGTCCAGCGTCTTATAAAGTTACGCCATTATAATCATTGAGAACCGTGAAAGAGTAAAATGTCCGAGAGGATGATTCATCCGCACGGATTTCTTGTGCTTATACGAGCCTAGGAAGGCAGGACACACGCCTGTAAGCGAGGATCGTGTTGTTTCTGTCAGGAATGTGGGCAGATGTGGGCACGCCAAGCCTGGGACCTCCGTATGTGGCGAGCAGGGCACGGTGGACTTGTACTCGTCGCGTAGTCATCGGAGGTATCACGCAAGTACGATTTGATCTCCGTTTCACCCCACCATAACCTAAGATTCTATATATGCTACTGCCAATGTGCGACTGTCAATGACTTAGCGCCAATGGGGCTTCGAAGGCTATTTCGCCAACCCATGAGGAGTAAGAGTATCTTTCAGTGATCGAACCCAGCAAAATTAGGCTGACGGGCGCGTCTTTACGCCAGCGCAGTCGGTACGCAGCCCATTCAAAGAGGAGGTTGAACCTAATTTTTGGCACCATGCGGTCCAGAAGGCGAGAACCACGCCCAAGTCTTGTATGACGACTAAAGTACGCATCACGTACGACGGGGGCGATCGCATCACCACCGTTAGACCCGGCGCCGGATCCCAGAGCCCAGACTCAGTCTGCGCAGTGCCAGTAAAGTTTGGGAAAGGCTAAGTGAAGGTACATTGATAGGGCCTGCGTCACACCATCCTTCGTGAACGGAGGAATGGCTCATTCACGAGCCCTTTTAGGCCGTTCAATAGAGTTGACGGAACCCTCAAGGCCTTTAGCGTCATGGGGTCAAGTTAGACGTCCGGTGCGTATGGACTTTTGAGCTAATCCCTCTTTTCGCAAGCGTATCAGCCACCGCATAGTCATTAAAAATAATTATAACGTTAGTCATTAGCTCCCCATTGTCGCGTTCACAATTTGGTTCGCTCTGCCTATGCGCAGTTGGCGCAGTTCAATTTCTTTCTCGATTCTTCTTACATGCCACACCGTCTATAGAGTGTCCACCCCCACGCCGAGCCCCATCATCTGATCCAATCGCGTCCTCGACGCCACGTTCCCCATGCGCAGGTCTATCACTGCGGCCCTGCGAGCAGTGATGAGACGGGATCACTGAGCACTCCCATCACCGTGCTCCATCGATGGATCAAGATGGCTGTGCCACTGTGGACGCTCGGGTCAAACGGGCGGCGGATCAAACTTGATTATTGCTCCCAAGTGCGCCCGCCGCGGTCTTACTTGCTCCACAAATCTCATTGTAAGGAACGCGAACTTGCAAGCGTGCGCGTGCAGAGAGACCCTCGGGACGGAGGCAAATTAGGATCAACGGCGTCAAGCTGGGTGATGCACTGATGGACGAGCGAACCTGAGCCTAGAGGCGCGTTTCGAGTGCTTGAAAGTATAAACTGGACTTGAAAAGGAACAAACGTAAAAGATGAATATCTTGACCTTAGAGTAGAATAAAGGCATCGAATCGGCGGTCGTGAGCATTTCTCCGGTACCGTCTCCAGTTGTACATTGCCAGCTCCACGAACGTCGAGTAAAAACCTAATTCAGTTCTTTCGTACGTCCGACGACGAGCCACCGACCCTTCTGCTCGCTTTCGACTTTCTTGGAGTAATCTCCCGCGATTCAAGGTGCCGACTGGCACTTGCTCACTCGTCTGCGGGCCGTATTTATCCGCCCTCCATGCGCCTCTGAAATTCAAATACGACTTGTGCCTGAAAGAATGGGCATGTAAATGTATTTGGGTGTTCTTTCAAGAAGCGAGAAGGGAGGTGTCCAGTTATCTCTTATCGATTGAAGAAGCGGGCACCTCGACTCGCCGAGGTTCGCTCGAGCGGAAATTCGGAATGCTTGTGAGCTCATGCGGTCGGAGAGGCGGGGGAATTGAAGGGTAATCTTTCAGTCGCCGGTGCTCCTGGCCCTTGAGTCGCGAGAATTCTGGAATATCAGTGCTTTTACGCGTTGCTGGAAGGCGGGAAAACGGTAGTGGCTTACCGACGTATTGTTAGAAAATAGGCACCTCCAGCGAGAGTGCTCCTGAATGTTCGATAATCGTGTCTATCATGATAACGCCGCAGCGCCTATGTGCTTGCGTGGCTTAGGCTCTACGAGTATAATTAAAGATGAAACAGAAATAGAATAATTCGAATACGTACTCGAGGAAGCTGCGGCGCGCTTGCGCTCCTCCATCCACCTACGCCTCGAGGCCACAATGACTCAACGCCTTAACGCCCTACAATCCACGGGTAAGGAGCTCGGTTACGGTGTGGGGGTAGAGTGCTCTAGTACCCATACTCTCCTTTCCTAAAGCCGGTCTCCGCGTCGAACTCCTACATCGTCCATGACTCGAGTTCGAGGGTGAGTAATAGGGCTCAATGAAGACGATTAGAAGCACCTCGAGCGCTGTGCCTTTGCACACTTCTTTACACCATTGTACACCTCTATCCTCTACCCTCTCTTAATCCTAGGAGAAGGACTCGGGAGTCGGACTCGGAAGAGTAGGCTACTGGCTACTGATAAGCAAGAAGGTCGGCGCAGGGTAAAGGAGACCTCGAGAAGAAAGTTTACTCTGCTAGTAGAGCGAGTAAGCTTACCCCTAGTCATTGGCGTAGCGCGTACGTACCCTATTATTATCCTTTAAGTTTGAGTTTGAGCACAACTAGCAAGCAGCTCGGAGCCCTTCGAATTCCGAGAAGACGCCGATCGTGTCGAATACCCGTCTTTGGTCGAACGGGATGTATGAGTGGGCGCTGTCGAAATCAAACCTGAAGGATAACGACTGACGCACTCGCTCGCTCACGCCGTCATTTATTACGCCCAACTGACGCACTCCGCGTCATCCTGTCGCCCTCCACGCCAGGTCGGCGTCAAAGGGCAAGCAAGTCCACTAGACTCCGAAGCGTCTACGTAAATAAGACTCCCCCGCGAAGGCATCAGAGGACAGGTAATTATGGCAGGCACATTAAATTGCACGTCACGGTTCTGCCTCAAGGAGCAATTCCCCGTAGATACTCATACGCATGGATTCGAAAGGATGATAGGCTGAATGATATGCTGAATGATGGATGATGCATTCGATGATGCGTGAGGAGGAGGCCCGAGGACAAGTCCAGACTCGCGAGAAGCGAGAAGCGCCTGCCTCTTCTATGAGAATGGATAGCATAGGAAAGGATGGGAAGGGGACGGGGTGCACGTAGAGCGCTTGACACGGACGGGCGGACCAAGGCGATTTAGATAAGGGTAATTTTGGGTCTTTGTATGTACGATGGGGGTGGTTTGTAGGAATACACTGATAGCCGAGTTGAACTAACCCGGCGCTGAGTCCTGACTGTAAGCGCCGGCCGGGTGAACTGGGGCTACTAATATTATCCTCGTCGCGAAATCGAAGTCGAAGTCGAAGGGTTCCGAGTGATCTGTGTGTCAAGAACTTAGTCACCTTGGCCTGTCAATAGTGCAATGCTCACATTCTTCCGAACGCCCACATATTTACGAAGAGGACTACAAAGTCAACTCTTCGTCAGACGCCAGCTAGCAGTTAGATGCGAATGTTGCGGAACGCAAATCGTACTACTCGTGTGCACCAGCCTGAGAGCATCTGGAATCACTAGTGGCGGATGGTGGGCGTGGCCAGTGGGTCCATATCGTAGGAAGACAATAGCCGAGTCGAACCCAGAGACTTGGGTGGGCTTGTGAGTGAGTGTGAGTCGAAGCGCCGAGCGCTGACTAGACTGTGAGCGCCTGGCGTGGCCCGTGTGCGCTAGGCTTATTGTTCTCCTCGCGAAGCAGAAGTCGAATTCGAGTCTTGCATAACCATAACTTTGAAGCCCTTCCAAGTGATCTGGACGCAACAACTCAGCCACTCAACCTTGAAGAATACTTATCAGGCCCGAAAGGTTCAAAGTGCGCAAACTCAACGACTACTTACCAGTCAGATGCGAGAGTCGCGGAACGCAAATCATCATCGCGCATCAGACCATCGGGCATCGCACATATCATCATCATCATCGTGTTCATGAAGAGGTTATCATCAATATCCATCGTCGAGCGCCTCGACATCCAGACAACTCGCCCATCGACCCATCGACCCATCATCCCGATTGCTGTCAAGCCACGTTATGTATCGAACCTGAGTCTGACCCTGGCGCTGCGCGGAGGAGTGGGTTGGAATCTCCGTTTTCTGTTTGATTATAACTAAAAGTATATAAGGCTTGGAGATCGGGAGCGCGAGCGCCCTGAACCGAGTGTTGGATGTCGATATCGATATTTTTGAGTGGAGGCGTAGATGTCCACTCGAAAAGGCGCATATACCCCACTCAGAACCTCAGAAGAGACAAACACTCGGAGTAGAGAGGGAGAGGGATGGAGGACGATTTGGAAAGCGAAAGAAAATAAAATTTAGGATTTGAGAACGTATCACATCAATATCGCAGAACATAATTTCAACAGCGAAGAGAAATCTGAAAAAGACAGGAAAAAACGTCCAAGAATATAGATATAGATACGTGTACGTATAGAGTAAGAGACGCTAGCGAGCGCTGGAATCTGGAATCTGGAATCATCATGATCAGAGGGATTCATGGGACATTTGGACGGGTCGGCGGAGGACGGAAAATAAAATAGGATCCTGCAAGTGGCAATGACAACGGCGACGGACGAGGAAGGACGAAAGGCAGAGGGGCAGTGAGAGAAAGAGAGAGAAAAACGAAAGCTTTTGGATTACGACATGATGAGCACGAGACGAGCGGACAATAAGGACCAGAAGAGGCGAAACGAGGGGCATGGAAGGTGATTACTGAACAGCGTGCGGAGGGTAGGGATAGGCGTAGGAGTAAGTAGTAGACAGCGGGGTAGAGGTAGGTAGGTAGGGGCGGATGTTAATAGCGGACGAAGGTAGAGGACAAAGGAGGTTAGGACAACCGGGAAAGGAGTAAAGCAAAGGACGAAGGGAAAAAAGGACTTTCGTACATAATCGAACGGTAAGCGAACAGAGGAAAGAGGAAAGGTTTTGGGTTATACGACGAGCGGGTACGGATACGGAAGGACGAGGAGAGGTAAGAGGAGAGGATAGCGATGGATATCGGGCATTAGCAGGGAGGGTAAGGAAAAAACGGGGGGTAAGACGGTACGCGGTAAGGGTAGAGAGAAGAAAGAGGCGTTCATAATAAACAGTGTGCTTTTGACTTTGACGTTGGAGGTTGGAGGTTTTGCGCATCGTGAACGAGGTCGAGTTGGCGGCGCCGAGGACCGCACTGCGGCCCTCCTCATCCCACTCTTCACCTCTGCGCTCGACTCGCGCTCAAAACTTAAGCATCTCGCGACCCGCCCTTCTCATCCCCCGCCACCCCATTCACACCCGCCTTGCCTCCACTCCCACCCCCTGCCGCTGTCGACGACCTAGAAGGCGGCGACGGCGGGTGCGACCGCGCGCCCTGTCCCTGTGCACCTTCCTCATATTTGACACCATCTTCGTATTTCACGCCCTTGGACGAGGACGAAGTCGAAGTCGAAGTCTGAAGCCGGGGGCTTTCCTGTTGTTGTTGTTGTTTGTGTGCGCCTGGGGGCGAGGATCCGTTGGTCGGAGGGTTGGCACCAGAACCATTTCCGTTGGTGGTAGAGGAGGGTGCGTTTCCAGCGGAGGTGGAAGAGGGTACAGGACCGGAAGAGGCGCTAGGCCCCGAAGAGCTGCCATTCCCATGCCAGCTCTGCAGCGTCGGCAGGCCCTGCTGTCCTCCTTGCCCCTGCTGCCCATGTCCGTAATCGTTATATCCATACGCCCCTGCACCCACACCGCCAATCGGTGGCAACTGGGTCTGGTTGTTACCACTACTAGCCGAAATATTGTGCGGCCCATTCAACGAGTTGAACTGCTGTCCTGGAGGCGTACGACCGCGCAGGGCGGAAGAGGCGAGCGGGCCGCGCTTGTGTGGGAACTGGTCGGGGCGTGGGCGGGAGTGGGTGCGTTCGAAGAGGCCGCATTTGTTGCAGAGCTGTATGTGGGGGGTTGGAGGGGAGGAGGGAGGGAGAGAAGGTTATGAGCATCGTATTACGTCATGTGGGTGGTGACAAAGAAAGTCAAGGAGAGGTGGTCGACGTTGGAGTCGATGGAAGGAATGGAAGGAATGGAAGGAAACGATGGAAGGAAGGAAAAGCATGATAGAAAGTACGGAAGAACACTCACCACCTTCCCAGGGCTGAGGTTGGACCGCCGCCAGGTCGACGTGTCGGTGGTGCAGCAGTTGAAGCAGCGCCGTCTAATCCCGTCCGTGAGCTTGGTCGCCGCGTCGTCCGTGTGCACGATCGTCACCGGGGGCTGGCCCGGCAGGGGGTACTGCTGCCTTGCGTACGCGCTATGCATCTGCGGCGGCGGGGGCGGGTGGGACATGTGTTACGGCGTTGCGAGTCGCGGAAAGAAAGGCGAGTGTCGTGTTGGGGGTGGGGGTGGTGCTGGTCGAAGCGCGGGGGGTCGAACGGCGGCGGGGGGTGCGGGCTGTACATGTACTGGTGCGGGTGCGGGTGGTGATTTATAGGCTCGCCGCGCGGGGCGTACGGGTGCTGCTGCTGCTGTTGGTGTTGTCTATTGACTGATTGGAGATCGTGCGGGTGAGCGTGGTATGATGATGAGTACATGGACTGCTGCTGCTGGATTGTGTTGGACGGGGGTGATCGACGGATGTGGGGCGTCGAGTTTGATGAGCGGTCGACGGAGACGACTGATGGGGACGGCGAGTGGGACTGGGGGATGGTGGCGATGGGCGGCGGCGGGGACGGGATGCGGGCGTTGCTGTCGAACTGGTGCTGGTGCTGGCGGCGCCTGTCGAGCGACGAGACGTTAAAAAGGCGGGCATCCGAGCAGAGAGCTGGAGAGGAGACGAACGGGGACGACATCTGGAAGCTGGGCTCGACGCGGGTGGGCATCGAAGGCTGATCCTTGTGATTGCCAACACCGGCCTCCTGTCCTCTCTTATCACTTCTGGGGCCTGATGCCAACTGTGCGCCGTCAGTACAGGTCTCTCTCTCCATCTTCGAGAGCGACGCACCTTTCTGAGAGCTGGGTCAATGACGGCGTCCGGGTGATCGTGATGCTCCTCGTCAGAGGACTTTGTTGAATCTCTGATGGGAGGGATCAGTGCGCGGTATTTAAAGTGCGGTGCGATGCTGCTCACCCGCCAAACATGGGCATTCTGGATGGAATCACTGTGATCCTGATGGGGGCCTGCCTTTCAGCGCTCAGCCCACTAGCTGCTGCTCGGACGAACGAACGAACCACTGCTGGAAACACACAAACCGACTCTCTCTGATTTTTTCAGACTCCGACACAACCCGGTCCCACGCCGGCTAGCACCCGTTGAATCTCCTGTCCATCTCCGCACCCCAGCCCTCTCTCGGATCACAAGCCCATCTGATCCTTCCAGCCGTCCTCACTCCGCGCTCTCCTCCTGCCCCGCCGTTATCCTCGACATCGACGGACTCGTCCCCCGCCCGCCCGGCGAATCTCAGGACTCCCAGACAACACACGCACACACGGACCACATGCACCCCCCAGGGTCCCGCGTACCGTACCCAGGTCTCAGCACGCAGCGCAGCCCAGCGCAGGGCCTTCTCGTAAGCAACGCTCGCAGATCCATCTCACCTCTCCTTAGCTCACGCTCGGACCCCAACACGCACCGACCCAACAACCCCCACTCGATCCCAAATCAGGACACGATCTCCCCACCTTTATCAGTCCGACCCTGCACGCTGCCCAATCCATATCCGGAACTGGATTCCAAGGGGGGTGGCGATTCAGACTCGGACTCAAGGGGATCCAATGGGGCGATGAACGATGGGGCTGCCGATGGTATCACCCCCATCACAAGCCCTCGCCCTCGATTACTGTGTGCTTCCACGACACGCACCCAACGCCATAGGTTAGTCCAATCCATCCAATCTATTATCTGCTCTATTACGGACTATCCACTGATGTGATGTGTGCATCTCAGATCTACTGGGTGAAGTAACGGAAAGATATGTATTCAATTATGGCACACTGCGCAGATTTGAATCCGCGAACCGCGAACTGATGATGGATGATGGATGATGGCAGCCCACGTTTACGCTTTACTCGATGATCAACACCGACACCGACACCAACAATAACAACAATAACGACAATAACAACAGCGAACGCCAAAGGGCAGATCCCCCAGCCTCAGAGGTGAGCACGCGGCTAGTGTACAGGCTCGCGAACCTCTCAGAGATGTGAAGATCGACTGACGGATGGGTGGATTGGACGGCGGTACGCACAGCTTCCAAGTCGCTTAACCTATGCACGCTCAAAATACTATTCATCATTTGTTCAAAGTTCAAACCTTCAAGAATCAAGGTAGACGCGCATAGCCAGGAATCGAAGGACGCGGCAATCCCTGCCCATCTCTGTCTCTTTCTATTTTTTTTCTCGCCTCGCCCTTGCCCTCTCGTTCTCCACGTCCCACGTCCCATGTCCACCCTGTCTTTGGACCTTCCCACCTCGTCCTTTCAACGCAAAGCACACCAGAGGCTGCGTTTGTTCTACCAAGACTGCATTGCACTGCACGTACGTACCCCTCTGAGTTCTTTGCACACCATCCATCCCCAGTTCCCCACCAATGAGCTCTTTAATTTATGACTTATCAGGTGCATAGGTCAGGCGCCCAGGCTACACCCCACGACTGCACCCCGGCGCCTACAAGGTGCTTCACACCATCGCACTTCACACCATCGCTTTCTTCTGGGTTCTTCTGTATGGCTCGAAGACGAGGCAGGTAATCATATGGATATACCTCGTGTACAACACCAACGGCGAAGCAGAGAGAGGCTGTATCTAGATTCTAGCGCTAAAGCTTGGTGGGAAGCAGTCAAGATTCCTTGTCCTTGTCCTCGTCCTTTTTCTTATTCACTCGCCTCGAATCAAAAAAAAAAAACAATTGGGATCAGTGGTGCTGAAAATTTGGTATTTACATAGTAGGAATAAGAACGAGAAGGAGGCAGAGGTGAAACACAATAATGAACAAACTGCCTTTTTCTGTCTCCGTTTCATTTTCGCGTGTCGAAGCTTTCTTTCTCTGGCAACCCACTTTTGTCGCGGTGAGAACGCGTTTTATGCGAAGCCAGAAACTCGCAGGCAGGCCGAAGATCACGTCCCCTGCTCCGAGCAGTGAGGTGCATCAGATCATAGAGTGTTGTATGTATAAACGCGCGAAAGGAAACCACTGTGCATATGGGCGCGTCCCCCGGTTCAACCTCTGATGTTCTCTTGCCTTCCGCAGGGCACCATAGCGCTGCAGCGTCCAGTGCAAGGGCGTATATGCTATATACTCTCCGTACGCGTTTCTTCCCTCTGGCCACTGACTCACACTAACCAGTGGCCTCCCAGGAAAATATCGGCCCGAAACGCTAGCTCATGCGCCCATGGCCTAGGCCTCGGCCTACCTCTCTCGTGCTCACCTTGCCTTCCACCTCGCCTACTTTTCCGACTCATGTAACCCGGCGAGTCAGCTTTTCCAGTACCCTGGGAGACATGTACCATAGTAGGTCGAGGAGAAGTGCACCGGCAAAGAGAGCTCAGTGAGTGTGCGAGTCCGTCTTACCAAAAACATGCTCCTGCAGCCTCGAGCCGTGAAGCGTGCGCGTGAGGATCTGGTGGTATGTCATGCATTCGGAATAATACATAGCTCGGCGGGGGCTGCGTGTGCTCGACGGCTCGAGCGTCGAGTCACACCGCTCTTTAGTGCTGCGCCCGTACACGAATTTCGCTTTTACCCACATATCGTTAATCCGAGCTGAGGAGTCGGCGAGGGCGCTAATCCCCTCCGCCGGAGCGCTTAGGTTTACCTGTGGTCAGCTTTGTGCTTCTGGTCCCCGCTGAGTACTGAAATTTTAACTAGACGCCAGCGTAACACCCGTTCTCCACCCTCTCGATCCCAGCCTACTGTCGGGCGGATTTGGCGCCGCCCGAGAATAAGCACGAAAATACTAGGGAGGAGCTTGGAAGATGGCAAGCGACGAAACCGACGATGTTTTCCTTCGCGTGAACACAGCATAATATCAACCGTCCAGCCTAGCCGAATGCCTAACCCACCCTCCAGGCTCCAACGTAACGCCGAACGCAACGCCAGGCTCCTGTCAAGATCAAGCATGAAAATACAACCAGTATGTAGGGTGGTGAATGAGTACACGGTAGATTGCGAAACCCACGACGATCGCATTCACGCTCAGTACTCAGTCCTGACTAGGGCAGCCCGACACCAAGCAAGTATTTCAGCATTCCTCCGCTCTGGACGCCACCGTTCTTGTAGCGAAGAAAAGGACGACCCCAACCCAACGCTCGAAGGTCGAGCCAACGCCGGCCAAGGACGAGTACGAAATCGTAGTGGCTTGGAGAGGGAAGAACATGAAGCCCTCGTACCGGAGAGGACAGCTTCTACGGCTTGGACGCCACATTGCGGGCGGACTTGGGCTGATTTGTCTCTTAACGCGCCATAGAGTCAAAGTACACACAGGTGAGTACGAGAATAAAAATACATTCAGTGGCATTCCCTTCAAGCCCTCACCGGTGCACCTGGCATGGTCTCAAGAGCGCATCTGATCTATCATCCCACCCACCCCTCCTGGTTGAGAACGGGAGTAAGAAATGGAGAGCGCCATCTGATAGGCCCTGATCGCCCCCCGTCTTCCCATGGTCTATAACGTTCCAGCAGACGCGTCTCACACCACTGTCCGGCGAGGTAATTTTAGTGTGGACCTGGACGTAACGTCGTGAAGGCCACGGCGGTCAGGAGCCTGTGTAAAACTCGAACATATGCTGCCAAAGGCCCCGTATGGATCAGTATTTCTGGCACGGCCCATCAACGCGGGTAAGCGTCTTGGAATGAAACGGATAAAAGGTGAAAAATGGAATAAGGAGTCGGGTAGAGAAGTTGTTCGGCTACTTCGAGAGCCTGGGTTCCTCGGCACGCAGAGAGAAAAATACTTTAGTCGGAGACTACACTCTACACGGGCCGTCCTCTGCATACCCAATGCCAGCCTCACGCCGTGCAGTCCATCCACCCATGGACCCCTCCAAAGCTCAATTCGACATCCGAGCACAAGCCCAAATGAATGCGAACCGAGCCGCCCGTCCAATAGCCTCAGCAGTAGAACCCAGAAGCGAGAAAAAAGCAAGAACCCTCATCCTACCCAATCTAACTCATGCGTACTCTTTAGAATCACAGAAGCACGCGCAATTCATTTCACCGTTCATCCCCCCCTGACCAGGTGAGAGCGAGTGCGTGCGGTTCGCCGTCACAGTTTGCCTAGTTCGGGGCACTGGATGTTCCGGAGTCGCGTCTTATCTCCTTCTCCTCGCTCGCCGCTATTGAGTGGCCACTTCCTTGCGTCCCTTTCGTGACATTCGTCTGTACGGACAGTCCTATAGGCCGCTAGCATCCGGTGGACGTGGGTACAGACATATACAGGACCTATTGGACGAGGCAAGGGTCAGGCCGATGTGTGTACCCTCCGAACACGAATACACGCGCTGTGCACATGGTTCAGCCCTCGTTGAGACGGCCGTCGAATCAACTCTGCCGTCCAGAAAAAGGAAACGAAGGTCAAAGAAGACAACAGAAGGAACTGGGGATTACGAGAAATGAAGCGAAGCCTCACGTACCTCACGTCTTCCCCCCGCGCCATCAGCGTGGATAAGGTTACGCCAGCGACGTTATGGTGGACGTACGTACGGTGACGCGTCCCCCCACGCGCTGGCGAAGGTGACAAAGGTGTTTGGTCGGAACGAAGTTCGGTGTGGCGGATGCGTGCGACTTTCGACCTGCATTCCGAGGGTTGGAGGCGTGTAGGGGCTTCAGTCCGTGAGTAAATCGGTGTTCAATTTAGCCAGTGCGAAGACATAGAGCTTCCCCCGGCGGGTCATTTATGCGAGTAATCGCGCGAGAGCGTGGATAAAATCCCAGCCACCCACGTTACATTAACAATTCGACGAACCCGAGAGAGATGGGACTGTGGCGTCTGCACGCACGGGACAGACACGCCTGTGGATCACCCCGCGCCGAATTAGGAAACGGCTCCGCCAGCGTGGCGCATCAGATTCGTTCAATTCAATTGACGGCGCGTCGCCTCCGACCGTCCTTCCGTGCGTCGGCCCCACGGCACCATCAGCATCCTGGCATCAGTCCATCACCGCACGGAACAGTGGGCGCGGCGTTGGGCGTTCGCTTAGATATGGAGGCTTCAAATAGCGATTACTCACTAAAGAGCGCCTCTGTACGCTCCTTGTGAAGTCCTGCGCGGTTGGAAGGGTGGAAGGGTCGCGGTGTTCAAATTACTGAACGGGGTTATCGGATTACCCGGTCCGAATGTCGTTATTCCACCGAAATCGCCACACACCTCGTCCCAAAGCACACACCTTGCCTCGAAATAGCATAGCTCGCCTCCCATTCAGTCGAACGAACCACCGCTCATTCTCACAACTATTTCCTCAATTTGGCTTCAATTGATTCGAACCCCGGATCTGATCCCATGTCCTTGACATCTACCCACAGCCTCCTCCAGAGGACTTCCTGCAAGTACCCCCGCCCAATAGATCTCCTCCATGCCCATCCCCGAATCATACAGATCCCATTTGTCAATGTAATCTCACAGAAATACACTTGGCGAGTGGTCCTCGCGGGCCTTTCCAGGGCGTGTTATTGTGTTACAGTGTCCTGTGCGCATCGACGCGCTTTGGGGTTCTCGTTATCCAACTGGCGCCGGCTTACTTTCAGGTGCGGTGGTACACATCTTACGCCGACTTCGTCAGCCAGATAGAATAATTTTCCCTCACTTCCACGACGCCCTAACGAGGTAAAGGAAAGAAAAGACGACAACCCGAACGGAGAGGAGGTCGCTAGGAAAGACTTAACAGGGTCGCCTTGATACCATCGTCTTCTCATCTCAGTCACTTGTAGACTCACGAAATCAGAGATCTCTGCGCGTTCCCCGAGCAGTGATGATAATCAAGGGCGTATATCAGCAACTTAGAGTCAGAACTGATGTAGAATTCGAACACCGCGAAGCATTGGTACAGTTCTCGCCAAGGCTTTTGAGTTTATTATCGACGACTCTTCCAAATTTCGTCGAAGCATAATCAAAGCTATGGCTGGGACGGAACTTGATACACCAGCTGGAACTCGCATTCTATTGATAACCTGATCCTTCATTGTAGTCGCGTCAACGGATATCACTGCGTCCCTGTCTCTTTAATGAATATCTGATTGAAGTCCTCTCGGGTCGATGAGCGTCGATTTGCATGTTCGTACCTCGCACTGGAGTGATGATGGCTGTCAGCATGTGGGGGAGGTCAGACGAGCCGATGCAAGGGGGATTGTCGTCGAAGGTGATTTGTCGGCCTATGCACGGGTGGCTGGGTGCTTGATAGAGCATCTCTCTATAGTGCACGAATACATCATAGCTACTCGGGTTTCGTGATACCTTCGTCAGAGGTACCGGTTTGAAACTTTTCGTGACTCATCGCAAGGTTCCTGCGACGTCTCGGGTACCTGAGTCCTTATGTTCGACACTTTGGCACTAGACAGTATCACGGCTTTGGAAATGAAAGGACATCCGATGACACGCCTCCAGTGGACTGTAAGCAGAGGCATGATAATCATGGAGATTAGATCAGCAACGCTCAAATAGGCTCTATATGTATACGACTCAATCGCATTCTTTTGAAAACCCAGGTACCCATCACTGATCCAGACAGCAGGCGCTTTTAATAGGCTTTCCTCAGTCGCTTGCGACCGTGGCGTCGTGGCCGTAGAGCCATCAACTCGAGCCGCGGGAGGATGGCTCGGGAAAGGGAGCAATCTCATACTCCAACGTCGCTGGGTTTTGATTTCTCGTATGCTCTTAAATTACTCTCGCCCCACGCTGCACCGGCTCCTGTTTGACGTTGGGCGCTCCAGCGTTGCACCAGGACATACCATACCATCAGGCGATCCCCCTGTCATCTGATTCTTCTTTTTTTCATGTCTACCAATTCAATTCAATTCGCTGTGTTGTGTGCGCTCCACGACAATTAACTCAGGGTCGCTAGGCGTCTATTTTGACCACAACACAGTCTTCCGATTTCAGTCAGAGAGGACACTGCATTAGAAAGGACCGCGTGACGCACACTCTTCTTTCGTTAGAGCCTGAGCATCCACGTTCCACGTTCGTGATGAACAGTTGAACTGATGGGCTGTGGGGTTAATATTCCTGAAAAACCTCTTGAAAGCTTGGAAGAGTAGAAACAGGCGTCGAGCGAGCGAGCGAGTTGCCAGTCGGGTGCTCAGAAACAGAGTTTTTGGGTTCCATATCGTCAGCGAAGCTCCAGGCGACGGGCGTACATAAGTTTTACTGTGGCTTTCATTTGAGTGGAGTGACGGAATGGTTTCACGTCCGGCGTGCTTTGCTTGGCGCGCGGCATAACGCGAATGTGCACGCCACGCTGCGTTGACTTTTGGGGTATGTTTCTCCGACGAAGATTCGCGCCTCTCGAGAAAGGAAAGTTGTCGTCTGTCTAACGAACAAGCGTTCAAATGCAGCACCGCACCCAGTGTATAACGGGGTTTCATGGTTTCTTATCCAATGCCCTGGACTCATCGCCTTTCTGTTCGGCCTTTCCCTGCGACTCAGTGATAAGGATTTTTAGGACTTGGGTGCGAGGGTGCAGAAAGACGAAATGACCCAGCTCGATTCTCTTTAGTGATGAGAGCCATGTACTTCTCTTCTTTAGGTCGCCGGACACTGGACATAGCAGAGCTTTTAGCATGTCCGGGACCTGTAAAAACTCCAACTATAGAGCGCCCAAACACCCTTGGACGTGTGTTATCATTTCTCTGGACTTCTTTGGCACTGTATCGCCGACGCCGACCTCGAAAATAAACGAATAGATGAATGAAAAGCGTCTCGGCGGTTGTATTTCTCTCATTCGAGGCTCAGTTGTCGAGAAGGAAGGCATGGGGATAATGATCTATATCCACCTTTCCCCGACGCCAAAGACGAAGCCGAAAGGATCCTGTTTTGAGCTAACAGACAAAAGTCATTCTCGACGCGACATTTGGCAGACCGTTATCCAGATAACTAGCTGCTGACTGAGCCTCGCACCGTGTACTCGAAATGCCTGCCAATCTCAGCCCCAAATATCTTCCTGCGTAGCTCATGCATTTCAATTCACCTTCGAACTAAGCGAACCGTAATTCTCCGTGCCCAACGGGGAAGAGCATCATGCGTTCAAGCTAATTTGGAAGGTGGTACATGCACCGTGGCTTCGAAAGTTCGGAATCGAACCTGCCGTCACACTCGGTTGGGCAGGCAGGAGCAAGGTTCCGACATTCGCGCCGTTAGCGTGAAGAATATGGTGAGAATATAGCTCGACTGAATGGCTTCGAAGTTGTACGCGGGCCCTAGTGCAGGATAGAGTTGTGGCAGCCAATTGCCGTTGTGGGTCACCGCTGATACGAGCCCCCATCCAGCCTAAATTGCCCTTGTAATACTAATCAAGTACACCACTCTTAATAGCCTGAAAAACAACCTCTAGGACACCGTACCGTAGCCTGTAAGTTAGTCGCGGGTTAATTTAAGAGCGAACTCACGAATTCACCGTTAAGCGGGCGAGTGTGCCGTAAGCGCTCTTCTGACCTTCTGCCGACCATGTGCACAGTCTGGTGAAGTACGCACGCAGGCTTGTCAGGCCGCTTCGGCGCGGCTTGGAAGCAGCTGCCTCTCTTTACCTTCCCGCCTGCACTTGAAGACGCTGAGGCGAGAAGAGAGGAATGTTGGGCCTCCATCGTGCATCGTTGTTTCTGATTAGCTCGGCAGCCTTGCCCATACGTCCAGAAAAACTACTCAGACGATAGATTTCGTGAGCGCAGCTGGACGGCCGTTTCGCGAACGCATAAGAAGGCTTAGACCCGGAGAAAACAAGGCACAGAGTGGGTTATACGGCTTTGATGCACAGTCATCTCCTTGACACGCGTTTATTGTCGCCTATAATCGCGTATGGGGAGGGGGGGCACCTAGCAGTGCTGTTGTAATGGCATGGGTCACTGCGAGTCATCATGAGCAACGAAGAAAATGTTGGGAAAATGTTTACGGTGTAAGCCGACGTTCTGTCTACCCGGAGGCGGTACCTATTTCCGTCGCAATAAAACTTGTAGGAGGTCTTTTTTCGAGGAATTTAATTAACTGCTTGAGTAATACCGCCGTTTGTTTTAATGTTTAACAGCCATCCTTTTACCGCTACCCGCCTGGTTTGTTGTCGGCTTGTTCATCGCTATACAACGTACAGATTAACTTCTAGTCTCATCTTACGCGATGAGTAGGAAGGCGGAGCAAAGTTTAGAGACTAAGAGGAGAATAATTTGAGCGTGTAGGCGGTGTAAATCTGAACGGGTATTGCCATCGTAATGACCATAAAATCTTCAGCGATTCTACGATCAAATTCCTCCCCGCAGCTGACAGCCGAATGCCGCAAGCTAACCTGCGACACTCCTTGTTAACCAGTTTTAGCGTTGCTACAACACTACAAAATAGGTCCACAGAAGTACACCCCAGTGATGACACTGATGTTCTCTCCGAGTCGTTCGCTCAGACATCGTTATCCTCTCGTAATGATGGCTTCGGGTGCTTGTTACATATCGATCAAGAGACCAAGTAGAGTTGCTAAGATAGCCTAAGACCGATTATCACCGTCGTTCCTGCTCATTGTCGCCGTCAAATTTATTCTGTCGGTCAGGTTCTGAAGATTCCCTAATGCTCACATTTCTGTAGCTGTCTACCCATACTCCTGGGGATAATTAGTCGTAAGTTTAAGCTATATGAAAACGAGGAATAATATCACCTTCGGGGTCGGCGTTATTCTGACCTCGGAGAAACCAGAATTTCCCAGGGCGCGGGACGCTGGGGAACTTTTCGAAGAGACGTTTGATGGGGCGTGTCATAGAACCATGCGCTGCGGAAAATTGAACTGTGATTCATGTGCTCACTCAAAGAAGCCCTGCTCAATCTCATTGATGCCTGGGGGTAGTGCAGAACTATTGGCCCTTCCATGCACGCGATTGCGCCGCTCAGATTGCGACAAAAAAGGAAATAAAATCGGCCTGAAGCGGTCCCGATCACAGGCAGCACCCGCCACAGATATCCATATCCGGCCCTAGTCGTGCTTCTGCTGCAGAATGGACCGTCATAATGACGCACTTATGGAAAGAACAGAACTTTATTTGACGTTCATCTCGTTCGGAAGACCCTTAGGAGCTCCAACTCTCCGCCAGAATGGCAGACACCCAAAATACCATCTAGAAAGGATTTTAACCTCTTATCAACACAAACTTCCTTTCCTGTCCGAGGCACTGGTAAAAAGTGATGGTGATCGTGGTTTCAACTTTCAGGTTTGTGGCCAGCTCCGGAGCATTGAGCGGGGGTATGATTGCCGCGGCACGTGGGAGCCGCCGGAGACATCGGGATCAACCGTTGTGATCTTTACTCCTTCCCTCTACAGTGCACGACATCTGTATCCTATGACCGCCATGCATCGTACGCCATGGACTAAGCAAGCCTCGTCGCTGCCCTCTGATAGAATAAAACCAAAGATTCAGAACAATCCTACGTCTAGGAACAAGGGCAAAGGAAGGCTGCAAGATTCTCCTGAACCTCCCAGGAGCAAAGAGGTAAAACGCCTGGAATCTTTGCTCAAAGGAGTCAATGAATCGTCTGGAACTGAAAAGGACCCTACAGGTGGTTGTTTCTGCCTTGGTATGTTGCGAATTCTCGCCAAGTTACCAGGAACTAAAAATTTCGTCTCATCGAATCTGCAGCTCGGAACCATGCGCTTTCGTCGTATATCACAATCTGCCATTCATGTGGTCTAATACTATGCTCGACCAACTTACCCTACCACTGCTGTCCACATTGCTCCAAAATTCTCCTAACATCAACTGTTCGTGACAAGCTCGTCGCACAGATAGACGCGCAGCTATCCTCGACGATCGCGAAGGAGATCGCAGACAAAGAACGAGCCATCGAAGAGGCCAGGAGGCTTGCAGGTGCCTTCCCTACTCTCCAAGGACCCGTACCGGCCCAGCCACCCGCGTCGATGTCTCTGAGTGTCCACCAAGCCGCCTTCCCGGTCCCAGCACAACAGACGCATAAAGTTATGTCGCTAACCTCGTCTGGACCTGGGAACAAGAAACAGATCAAAGTTTCATCATTCACCACAAGCCCGGTTCCTTCTCGCCCTATTTCACGGAATGAACCGAAAGAGGACGAGGACGAGTTTGCTGGCACTCGTGTACCTGCTCCGGACGGACTGCCGCCCCATGCAAACAGACGACCGAGCCAAGGACGGCCTTGGGAGAATCTGATCAAGGGTGGCATCACGTACAAGCCACCCGCGAGGGTAGACGAAGGTGGCACGGGTGAGGGTGGCCTGAAGTCAAGCAGGAGACGGAGAGGGAATAAGGGGAAGGGGAAAGAGAACGAGGCTTCGGCGGGGACTAGCATTGGGAAAATTGATCAATGAAACCTAGCCATGTTGTAAACCTCGAGGGATTGTACGTACACTCCAGTTACGCTACTACTGGGAGAGGCTTACTGACATCTTTCATCCACGCAGATCTTTCATTTTCGCGCTCGCACGCCCTTTCACGCAGAATTCCTAGATCGAGAACAAAGTCTCTTTTCTCCGGTTTCGTTCAACGATGAACTGGCTCGTTTCCTTTCTGATTCTTCTCGGAAGATGGCCGGCGATGCTTCAGCTTCAGCTTTGACTCGAACTAGAACCTCCAACCTACCTCAGCGCTCAACGCTTGCGGGCACAAGGTCGATTCTACCAATGCCATCGCAGCTTCCTCGACCCCTTCTTGAAAACGCCGTCCGCCGTGCCACAAGTCTCCGAGTCGGGGAAGACTACCCAACTCAGTGATTTCAATTCTCGATTCCCATTTCAACGGATCACCTCACCACGTTTTTCTGTGATGATCAATCATCATCCTCCACGTTCATTCCCCATCCTTGGGCGCTTTCGAAGGCCTCGCAAGCCCGCACCGAATCTCGGCACGCATGGGAATTGTTATCTTGAGCCGGAGAACATATCCGGCTCAGAGGCCACCGGACCCTGGGTAGCGAAGACCTTCGTCTAAGCTCATGGATGTGATCGTGTATGCCGAAGAAGAGTTTCGGAGACGCGGCGATGCCCTTAGATGCTCAACTCATCATAGGAGGCGCTGTCGAGATAATCACGAACGATAGATATGTGCAAACGCTTCTCAGCGAGATGGGCACAAGCTCCAACTACGCCGTAGACCAAGATATCGGCCTGGGAAAGAACCTTCAGGGCTTGAGGGCACAAGGACGAAAGCGATGCGATTTCGACAGTTCAACTGTCGGGAACAGATACTGATATGTGGTGACCACTGCCTGTATCTTCGAAATCCGTTTGTTTCGTCCTTTTCGATACTGGGTGGCATCGGACTTGAAAGTTGAGAGAATTGGAAGAACATTGTGGAAGGGGCTTTTTGCAATTATATCACTAACTTGAGCCGGTTTGGAACACAGGACGTAGAAGTCCCTGGAGAATAGAAGGCATCCTAAGGATAGATCGGTATTAGGCAGGTTCTTGGAAGAATGAGCAACGAACTTGTATCGGGCTTTGAGGAGACAATGGGAGAATTATAAATGTTGAGCTAAAAGCACAGCAGTCCAAAGGGCCAATGGTGAACGGCCATAATGTCACAGTAAACGAGACAGTTTTCGAAGAACTCAAGAGTCTTGAAAGCGGTACCATTGAAGGTCGAGAGTTCGAATAATGTCAAGGGTCGAAGATGACAGGTCTACTGAGACGCAGAATCAAGAATTTCCTTCAGGCTTCGAGTTTCAAGATGAAACGGGAGAGTTCACATATAAAATAAAGTATTAGAGTTCATGAGATAAAGCAAGTAGATAGGCAGCTGGTAAAAAGAAGCTGCATTGAAAGATAGATCTTGAAAATAACATCCCAGCAGATGCGAGAAGATAGGAAAGAGAAGGACGTCAGTTTGAAAACAAAAGACCGAGAGAAAAAGAAGAGAAAATAATAATAATCAGAAACTGGAGTGAGATGAAACACCGGGACACGCCATCAAGGCGGCCTGGCCTGCCCCTCGTCCTCCGCCTCTTCACGTTCGCCCATCCTCAACTCCCTAACCAGATCCTCCAAATGCGCCAGGACATCCTCTCCCATTTCAAGCTCCGTCTGCGTGCTCGACAGCTCCCCCTCGACCTTCTCTAGTTCGCTCGTCAGATCCTCAGCATTAACCCTTGCCCTCGTGTTAACTGCCGACGTTTGGGCCGGGTGAAGTACACCCAGGGAATGAGCCGGCGAACGCATGCTATCTGGAAGATTTGTCCCAGAATGCGTCCCTGAACGAGCACCTGAACTCGGCCCCGCGGACGACGACGCAGAAGCCGCCACAGAGAGCACCATCTGCGACAACGTTGGCGAGCCCTCGTCCGACCGTAAGTCGAACGAATGGTGCGTGTCGTCGAACGAGTGCTCATACTCGTACCCGGGCGGACCGTCCGCATCATCCAGATGCTCGTGATCTGCATGGATATCGAATGGATTTGAATGATGATGGCTGTAGTGCGAACGGTGATAGGTTCGATGGCTCGGATGTAGAGGTGTCGACGTTAGCATTGATCCCGGCATGGAGCGAGGGACGATGAACGGATCGTCCAGCGGCATCGAAGCCGTGACGGAGTAAGGGCTGCTGCCACTTGTGCTGAGGCTTGGGTTGGGGCTGGGTTGTAGATCCACTCGATCATGTTCGTAGTCGGTTCGAATGTCGAGTTCGATGCCATGATCGTCATTCTCCTCGTCAATCTCGTCAGCAATCCGATCGTCGACTTCCACAATACCATGTCGGTCGTCAACATCTACACTGTCGATGGGCAGAGGTGGCGACAGAGTCGATAACGGCCTTTCTGCTCCTCCTGTCCCAGGTGCTAAGGACAGAGCCTGAGATGAATCCGCTATTTGAGGTACGAGCGGAGGCGGCTGATGGTCAGATATCGAAATGACACTGACTGGTAACAAAGGTGTGGCAAGCTCCATCGATATCTCGCCATCGCTGAGCTGGTCATCGAGGAGATCCTGAGCATAAAATCGTCGTCGAACCAGGTTTGAAGCGGGGTGTAAGTCGTTAGCACCGAGATTGGCAGGTGGTTCCAGCGCTCGGTCTGCTTGCATATCCGCCATGACAGCCTCGTTCCAAGATGCATCCACAGGCGGGCGATCAGACTCGCCTGGAAGTGGGTGTTCATCCTGATGGTTGTACAACAGGCGTTGATGGTCTTCTGGAAATGCAAATGCTGCACTTTGTGGGCTGAGATAGCTGCCAGCGGCGGTGCGAGCGAGATTATCTCTCTGATTCGAACCCTGACGAGGCTGAATAGGGTCTGGCGGTGCGCCTACCGTCAGATGCGGCGATATTGTCGGTGCTGGTGATGGTGGTACTGATGATGATGGACCTGATGATGGTAATGACTGCCGGTGGATTTGCGTGGAGCCGCGGACATGTCCTGTCTGATTCAATTGCGTGAGTGGGAGATCGCTTGATGGGGGTCGTGGCTGCAGTGTTGGCGACGGCGTAGAAAGTGACGGAAGTGTCAGTTGAGCAGGGATCTACAAACAAAATTAAAGATTAGATCGGATATCAGTCGAGGTAGACCAGCGGAAGATAATGAAGGCAATAGAAACTAGCAAGTTTGCGGCGCAAGGAGAATACGTAAAGGTCTGGAAAAAGAAACAGATGAAACGCGATCACTCGAAGCGCGAAAGAGCTAAGAAGAGCGAAGCAATTGACGAATAAATATATGCCGCCAATTTCGAAGGCCACACGGTGAACCAGGAGGCCATGAGCAAGCGAAATGAAGGAGCACGCGCAGCTCAAAACCCGTAGTTCAACGGGCGCAAAAGTGAAACGGAAGAACAGGAGACGAATCTGGAGGTATTCAGATTCGTGGCATAAGCATAACAATCTGTTGGCTGCGCTGATGCTGGAGCTGCTGAGCGACTGGTAGATCGCGAAATCTCGTCATCTGGTAGAAGAGCGCCGACGAAGACAATCGCTAGACAAGAGGATCAAGAAGAATCGAATAACGGGGATGTTCGCAAAATGGAACATGATTCCAGTCCGAGTATCAACAACTGCGAGCTAATCCACAGCAGAATCGATTCTTGAGACAGCATTATTGAACCAGATAAGACGTAGGCAAAAAGAAAGGCAAAGGCAAAAGGCCCAAAGAATCTCATTCACCCATGTGTTATGTTCCATGCGCCAGCTCGATAACGGTTCGAGAGAGAAAAGATAAACAGTGACGAGACTCAAAAGCGAAAAGAAGGGGCCACAACGAATGCGGAAAGGCAAGAAGAACTTGAAACTGTGGATCACGCAAACACCTTATCTCGGATGGGCGACGAGAATAAACGAGGTATAAGATGGAGAGAAGGAAGGCCGGTGAAACACCATTCAACATGCAGCGATGCGACAAGCGTCTAGGCCCCAGCAACGCAAAGCTCGAGACGAGGACAGGAATAAAGCGAGCCGCGAATGGAACGCAGGAGAGAAGCAGAGAAAGGAAATAAAGAAAGGCCAGATAGGAGATCAGAGGAATGCCCCTGCGATGATGGAACCAAACCTCCTCATCCGCCCTGAAACACAACGAGGAACGCGAGAAGAACCATGAACACCTGGCGTGATAGGGCGCATGAAAAGATAACGAGGAGTTCACACCGAACACTGAGATAAAGACGGAAGAGAGGGGAAAGTCGAGATGTCTGATCCAGCCACATCAACAGTCGCGGGCGCCCGGCTCGTTCTTCTCGCGAAGTGATGAACGACAAGAGACAACCCAACAGCATCCCAAAGAACTGAAGAAAGAGAAGAGCGAGCCAAACTGAGGAAGGCAAATAAACCATGAAGTGCGAAAGGACAAATGGAAGAAATGGAAGAAAAGAATATGGTGGTCAAGGGTTTAAAAAACAGCTGAGAGACGAACCTCCTGGCCGACCTCCGACCCAGCTCCAACCCTTTCGTTAACAGGTATTTGCAACTCAAGTGCCCGTCGAAGAACATCTACCTCCGCTTCGAGCTCGTCTTCCCTTCTCTGAGCCGCAATTTGCAAGAAATGGAGGTGGTCTTGGAGACGGGCTTCTGAAGACCGGAGTCTACGTCCGAATATGTCAGTTGTACTCTAGAGACAAGAGAGGAAAAGACAACGAGAGGAAAAGACAAGCAGCAGTCCATAGAGGTGTCAAGAGAGAAGGATAAGACGAACAGAAGAGCAGCGAATGGCTTACCTTTCGCATTCTTCCTCAAGTTGACGCAGCCTGGCGTGGAGGACATCGTCGTAATTGCGGTCGTTATCTGGAGGTCTCGGCTCTTCCATTCTCCTCATGTCGCGTCTACCTGGCGGTCTTTCTGGAGTTTCTGTTTGTTGGAGCGGTTCGTTCGTGAGTTCCACCTGTCCTTCGATTGCTGGTGTCTGAATCGCGAACGAGATCAACACCAACTTCAAGAGGCAGCACCAAAACCAAAATGTAACCTACCTCCGTCCAGCTGTTTTCCCCGCTTGCTTGAGGCAGAAAACCGGCATTAAGACCCAATTCTCCTAATGTCATTCGTCTCTCCTCCGCGAATCCGTCGATCTTGGTGCTCAGATCCTGAATCTGGCGTTCGAGGATCTTGAAAGGATGTTCCAGCTCTTGTGGGGTTGGATTTGTAGTAAGAACATCGTTGTCATCCCGGAATGAAGAAGGATGACGATTCGAGGGTAGTTGGTGGTTTCGAGGTCGACGATGACGTTGAGATCGCGAGGCGGGTAGTGGTACTGAGGATGAGAGACCGGAAGCTCTGGGAAGACCAGATGCAATTGGGAAAGCTGAATCCGACGTTGTAGTAGATGGCGTAAATGTCGCGGCTGTTGCACGAGCTTGGTGCAACTGCATGGAACAAACCAAAAGGTTAAGACTTGCTTGAAAATCTCTCAGGAAATGCCACGCACCCGTCTCGCAAGGATCTTGATCTCAGCCTCCAGGACCTTGTTCCGCGCTGCAGTGACGTCCAACATCCCAATCATTTCCTCGCTCGAGATCTCCCGCCTCTCCTGACTCCAGCTATCATGCCTGTCATCCGCTCTCCTCTCAGGGTGTGCGCTGTTCAGTGTTGGACTAGCTGCTCTGAGTGACGCCCCGTGCCCAGCACTAGCCACACAAGATTCCAATTCTGCGTCCCGCCTGCTGAGTTTGGCTTCAAGGGTGAGAATATGCGCCTCGAGTACTTCGCGTGTTCGTTCATGAGCATGCTTCTCCGAATCTCGCTCCCGACGTACGGCCTCCAGCATGGTCGCAGTGTATTGGAGGAGGTCTTCAGCATCCGGAGGGGCTACTGGTCGGTGTGCCAGAAGGGGACGGGGCTTGAGAGGAACGTCTGGAAGGAGGAAAGGAAAAACAGGAGGGCAGCACATGGGTGAGCGAGCCCACAAGACACGACCGCAAAACGCACCAGCGAGAGAAGAAATATATATCTGCGAGTGCGGCCACTTGTTGTAATCGTTCGATATCTCCACTGCGAAAGAGAAAGCCCATGAACAACGCGAAGCCTTAGACAAGAGAAATGTAGGCACCTTTCTCGATCAACTTCAACACCGCATCCCTCATGTCATCCCTCTCCTCTTCTTTGATCCTAACGACCTCCGCATACCGATGAACTTTCGCCTTGAGTCGCTCTCTGTCCCGCGCAAGCGCCGCGAGCTCTCTTGCATGCGCCGCTTGTTGGGCGTCGAGCGTGTCGAGCGTCGACAGAAGACGGGTCTGGAGCAGGGACGTCCGTGCGATGTATGCTTGTACGCGAGATTCAAGCAGCAATGTCTGTGTGTTCATAAAAGAGAAGATGAGAAAATGAGGCCAAGAGCGAAGCCGAATGTCCGAACCTCATCGTCTTTCCGAGCAAGGATATCTTCTAGCTGCGTCCTGACTCCCATCTCTAGGCTGACTCGATTATTATAGTAGCTGGTTGTATTCCATGATCAGAGAATGAGCATGACCGCTTCGGCGTGGTGACGGCGTATTCAGCATTCAGGGCAGGGCAAGCGGATTGCAAAGTCCTTTTGTCCAAACAAATGTAATCTCATCGGGCCGCTACCCGGACTCAGTAATGGCATGAAACCTCCATATCGATTTCTTCGATTTCTTTCACTGCTTTTTACCCAGTACCTTCGACAGAAGATCTTCGATAGCAGTCTAATACCCATTCTAAAACCGCTTTTTTTCATTAGGAAAATCACAACTACGTATCACACTTGTTTATATCTGCTATCTACCCCTTTTTATCCAGAACAGCGGCGTAGCTAACCAATGCGACTATCCCGCAAATAAGTCCAACACCGAGGGAAATCTGTCTTACTGGTGTTTTTTCCTGGTCTCCTAAATACGACATAAACATAAACAGAAAAATATATTCACCTCCATAGGTGCATATTCTCCCTGTAAAACAATTGGTTAGCTGGACTCTTATGGCAGCCTTTCGTGAATGCGCACATTGTGTTTCTAATCCGTTCCACCACGACCCTGCTCCAAATGCGACAAGCAGATCCGTTTGTGATTTTTTGAGAGAACCACCTCTGTGTCCTCGCCCGTCTTCCGCGGATTTGTATGCAAGTCGAGTCAATAGATGCATGAGAAACGAGCCTAGAATAACAGCAGACACGCTCAAGAAAATTGACGTGTATCCAAGGATTCGGAAGGCTTTTGCAGACGATGTCTGACGGATGCGGTAGGACGAAGTTAATAGCTGCGCCGCGATGGCTGCTAGAAGAGCCGACTTTCAAAGACCATATCCTTAGCGATCGCAAGTTGGCTTCCATATTTATGAGACGCACCACGACTCCTCCTGCTTGGATCTTTACTTGCCACCCCGCTCTCAAAGACTCTACAACCGGTGGAAGCTGGTCTGTAATAACGCTGTAGATTGTCCCCAGGTCTCTTATGTGACTCATCTACCCTTAATTTACCCGAAATCGCACACAATATTCGTGTACACAGGGTCGCGCTGACGTTGGCGCCTTATGCCCCCCGCTATTCATTCCATCACCAGGTCATGAAACGGAGGAAATAGACTGTTATTAGGGGTAAATAATCTTACTACTTTCTTCCGACGGTTCCTGAGCAGGTTTAGCACACGATTCCCCTTCCCATAATATCTTCCTTTAGCACGTCTCTGATAAAGAACGCGTGTAAGGCCTTTGATGTTGTCATTCAATAGATGAGCTGGCCTGACAGCCTACACCACCCTCACTGCCAATAAATTTATTGATATAGAGAACAGGTGATGGTGTGCGTAGTCAACTGGGGTCCTTTACGTCCAGTCACCATTAAGCGCCCAAGCTCTAGAGCTAACACACAACTTGAGGACAATTTTTCGGGAAGCAGCGTTGGTGAAATGAGCAAATATACTACTTTATATCTACCCGGTAATTTATAGAAACACAAATATAAAGATTGGAGTCGTCGAGATGGTATTTGAAGTCGAACTGTTTTCCAAGTCTCGAGCGTGAGAAGATGCGGCTTGTAACTTGGCGCCCGCCTGGCGCAGAGTAGTTGGCCATCTGCCTGGCCAGCAGCAATTGGCCGTACTAACATATGCCGATACTATGGATGTTCTGCAATTTATTGGGCCTCATTCCACTCGTTATCGGTCATGTCGTTTCAAAACGCGTTTGGTCGACTGACTCTTTCACGTCAGCGTCACTCTCCCGCACCAATGATAGATGTCAATGTCATGTCGTCCGCTTCCACTCCCGGCTCCAGAACGGGGTATGTACATCGAACGAGGTTGCCAGTTCTTTGGGATCTCGTCAATCACTATAGCTATCTCGTTCGGCGACCTTGAAGGCCTCATGAAGCTGGTATTCGCCATTCCGAAAGCACTCCATGAGACAGCCGGTGCCGCTACGGGGTGACAAGAACCGTCGAGATTTGCTCGGGGAGCTGAGGATTGTCGAGAGGCTGTGTTAGTACACAGGTTTCCCGGGCCGGCCGGAGGCATGTTCTCCTGCCATCGCCACACCAGCAGCCATCGATTCTTCTTGGCTTCTTTTTCCCCACTCCAGCTCGCTGCTGCTTCAACACTGACGAACTCGGTGAGGTTACCTCTGCACCTCTCCGTAAAATGGGCTACTCTGGCATTAATTTTGTTTTAGATCCGTTTCTTCAACGTTCAATGCCACCTTGTAGTCGGTCACTGTCGACCCACCACCTGGAAAGTTGGATCGGTGCATGCGCGAGCTCTCTATGCATAGTGGCTGTAATATTCAAAACAAGGTGCGATCCAGGGATCGTGCTCGGCTGGACCGATGACCTGTTGTCCGCGTTAGCAGAGTGCTCTGAATTCCGTTTCCCTAAGATGAAATTCTCATGAGCTCACGTCGGCCCTCCATACCTTGGTTCGTGTCCTCTGATGATAGTCTGCCTTGGAAGGATCGAAGGCCGAAAATCGAGGTATTTCCTGCCCTTACCAGAACTGCCCAGTATTCACCCACCCTCGAAGAACCGAGAGACGAAAGAAAATCTAATAAGTACCTTCACAGTTCGCATTGTGGGGAACCACAAGGGAGATGAGATGGGGACGGAATCATGGCGTGGACGAACGTTCAAAGCCTCCGACACCATGGTTAGAGCCACACCACAGGCTTCAGTTACAGCATGGCGATAAGCATCCATCGATGCCGTCCGTATCACGATGAATGGCCATCTGAGGCTAAAGTCAAACGTCTCGACCCAAGAAACAATAGGAAGGTCAGCTCTCGTTTCACTCTGATCGATAGACAAACGCTCGACACTCATGACCTACTCGAAGTGCATGTAGATGGGGCGGATGAGAAAACAATTGACTCTGCCTCGTTCTATCGACACGGCGAAATACACCTGGCGCATGTTTACCGCATGTTCGGGGCCCCATCAAATCTACGTACTGTCTCAAGTCATCTTCTCTGAGTAATGGGCTGTGGCGCGTCATGCTCAGGTACCTTGGTGTACTTGTGTTTATTTCCCCTTCGAGGTGACTCGCAGGGGGGCAAAAAACTCCGGATAGTAATTTGAAGGGCATCCTCTGACTTTCGCTTCTAGAAGCTGTTTGGCTTTTTCATGGCCAGAGGAAATCATTTGCAGGTGCGCAGCGTAGCGGTGGATCTCGAGCCTAGACCTACATACCCCACCTCGCGATCGAGTTCAACGTCAACGTTCAACCTTCTCACTTCATCAACCTTGAAGCTTCTTTGTGCGTAAGCGAGACTCCAGCTGTCTTCTATCGCATAATCGTGCAATCGTCTGTATGATCCGTACATCCGTACCCAGCGCATTTGCGATTATCTCCCCCGAGCACAGGATCGGATGTTAGAATATTAGAAGCGAGAGAAGTCCGAGAAAGGAACTTGATCCGTGTCGCCTATTCCCCCAAGAAATCGAGAAAGGGCTTAAAACTCAATACCCGCGCGTACGCACGCTCTGTAGGACAAAATGAGTGGGGTTTTTGCTATCGGTACCGATCTCCTCTCTGGACTGTATTCCTTTCCTTGCCCTCAGAATGCGGACAGCACCTTCGCCTATTCCAACTACCGAGGTTTCAATGATATCCCACGAGCGATTTTGCTCTCTTCTGCATAAAAGCCTCAATTCCTACCTGTTTCTCAATCCGACGGCTGGCCGAACTGCTGCGTGCCGAATGTATGAGGCTCCAGCGTCTGGAGAACAATCCAAAGCGTTTACTTCGCACAGAATCTATAAGTACTTACGTTCTCCTGATCATACTCTATTAGGTTCTTGAAGACCCTGTCGGCAGGAGATGACACCCAAACAGGTGCGCAGGAGTTAACGGAAACAGCCGCTCTATGTTCACTCACGTCAATGTAAGCCCGGTTCAAGGAGAGGTAGGGCCTAGACTAATGACATCGACCGCGAAGTACAGGTTTAGGCTGATATATCCCTTCCGTTTTCCTGTATTCAGCCTTGCTTCGTGTGCTAGCGGCACGACCTACATGAGCGTCATTCGGCGAAGTACTAGTTACTCTGTAAATCCGAATTGAAGCAAAGTATGATGATTCAGCTGAATAAAGCCTCCCTTCGTTTTCCTTGACTACGGTCCTAAATTTTGATGAACCATTCCATCACGCCTTGACTTAGGATGCGGAGTGGCGGGTACTGCCCTAGGGCGGGCTATCAAAGACAGGACCTCATCTGCCCGATTTCGAATGGACACCATATCGTGATCCTGCGCCTGTTCTGGGTATACTCGTAACTCAACTGGCAGTGGATGATTGATGCGACGCTTTTTGACCTTTCCCCCTTCGTTATGCCCGAAGACGGGGGCAGGCGTCCCTCCCTGAGAGCAGGGTTTCTGCCTGCCCCAGCGGATTTTCTTTCATCACGGACATCAATAAAAAAAGTGAGGCAAGGTAAGCCAAGGGAGTTGGTTATAGAAAGCTTAGCTGACGCGACCCACCGAAGAATATAAATCTTTAAGCATGGAGAAAGAACACGCGTCTCCCGCTAGGCATGATCCAGGCGGACGGCGCGCTCGAATCGGTCCCGTCCAACTCGGTATTCTAGGATTCATCGATATGCCAATCGCGGGAAATCATCCTAGAGAACCTGGCGTAGAGTTGTAATGGAGCTACTGGTGACCAGGTGAGCTCTTTTAGCACAGAAAGTTGCATCTTTCATGACGATGCGAGAAGCTGTAGTGTTTCAGTTGCTCATTATTCTCGGGTCCATTCCTTACTTATTTCGAGAGCATCTTGTATTAGAAACACGGATACTTAGCGTGCACGCCTCATGACAGGACACCTGTGTAGGTCACATTGCGCCACACGTTATGGACCAACGGCGGAATCTTTGAGTCTGAGTAAGCGCGGATTTCGAAGCTGGCGATTTCGCCCCAGAATAAACCTACAGCTCTAGTAAAATTTTGGCTATTCTTCACGTTGGATTCATATTTAGTTTCGTCGTTTGTAGTCAACCATTTTACAAGATCGATTGGACGTCGATTATTCGGCTATCGTTCCGTTCTCCAGGTTCTTTGGGAGTCGTCTTGCGGCCTCAATTTCACGGGCTCCTCCCGCAAATTTTCCGCTTGGAGAAGGAATAAATACCTGATAGTGCAGAGAGGTGTGGCCATACGTCTCTGAGGATGAGGTTACCCCACAAAAGATATTTGATCAATATACTCACTCAAGGAGGACAGAGATCCGGGAAGCCAATGGGGAGGATTTTGGGTCGACATTGACTGCACCCTAACCACGAGCTCGGTGGCTGCACTACCCTCATGGTGTATTGTTTCATGACCCTCCCATCATCTGAAATCACCGATGAAATCAAGAGGCCCTCGGTGGGTGGCTTGAGGTGTCCCAAAATAGTCATCTCGAGTTATGACATCCCTTGCCGTGGGCTTATCGTCGCCGATGTCCGTTTGTCATAACCCCGACTTGGATGGAATGCTGCCGGAGATGATGTGTCGGCGTTGGCTGGGCAAATGGCTCACCTTTCATTAAATATTTCACATTCAAAATCTATACCTCAATCAACGAGAAGAGACCCTCACGCAGACCTCGAAAGCACCACCAGGCAGGCCGACGAATGTAGGTTCTCTATTCCTGGAGCATCAGCGTCGATCCAGCGGCAGAATCGCCACTCACAGGGTGCTTCAGGCTCGCTGGCAAGGTCCTAAACGGATTCAGTCCTAGTCTATCAATGGGGATGATCGTTGACATCCCTAGTAGCTTCTGGCCGGCGCGAGAACCTTATATTGAACGGTGGCAATGTCAATGGTGATACAAGGCCCTTTGCTCCGCGGCAGAAATATTTTAGCAATGGAAATTGAATGAGTCGAAGGCTCGCCACTCTAGCGTCCAGGTTTTTACCGAATTTAGCGAGTAAATTTCCGCGCTGACGAAAACTTGGCCTTGAGCGCAGGAGCTCGTTCAAGTTCGAGAATTAACTGCCTCATTATTTTCACGAAGAGTCATTCTTCTCCGATTTCGAAAGCACGCGGTAATATCGCACCGCCGTGTGGGATATAAAGCTGCGATAATAAGGCAAATGGAAATATGAGTTGCAAATATTGGCGCAATGCACCTCTAATGCCTTTCTCTTTTCCACCGAAGCAGGCCATTTGTGGGCTGTTGGCTATCTAGATCCTGTTCATAAAGCTCGGCGAACAGGTCTCCATCATCCACTTTCCTGTTATAGTAAACATGTGTTCGTTCCGAACCTTTGTATCCTCTAAATTTGGGCACCCATGATATTGTGCGTCCCAGAATGTCGTAAGATGAAATGGGCTCAATTTTAATAGAAAAAAAATCTGCTTCATTTCATACCGGAGGCACTGACGGTCGAGTTCTTGGTGCATGAACAAGGTTGGTTTAAAATTAGAGAGTGCTTCAACGCGATCTATGAAGGCACGAAGGAAGGCCTACCAAAGTTTTCTTAGTCGTTTGTGCATGCAAAAGCGACCAAACGGAGACGCACGGGTAGCCAATGGACTCGATGGAGAAAGAGGGTGTATCTTTCAACGTCACTGTCGTTCGTAAGATTGAAATAACGCCGCAGCACATCTGAAATGGATGCGATAACACCGTGCTTGTGGGGTGCTTGACTACCTCCAATGAGCCACCCAAACCCAACAGGTTCTCTTACACTCCGCTGTGGACGAGAGGGTGCGAAGTGAAAGCCTCCTGAGTAATTCGGTTACATCTTCATCATATCCTTCCCAGTTTGGGCCTAGGTGACGCCGCACCGTCAGGCTATCAGTCGACGTAGTGGTGGTCGTGGAGGTCGTGGAATGAAGTCTGGATTTACAGGCGGTTTTCATGTCCGAGAATCCGAGGGCGAAGGACCAAAAATGCGCCGGCGAGAGTGAGACCGGCGTCGATGGAAATTTTCTTGGGACGGAAAGAGAACGAACGGTTAGAAAAGAGCGAAAGTTTAGAGGATAAAAAGACACGAAATAAAATTCCGAACAGAACCATGAAAGAATTTAGACCGTGAAGCCGTGGGATGACTATGCTTCGAACACATTTCCTCGTCGTGTTGATAGCGACCAAATAGCTTACAGGGTAGAAACAGGAGGTTCTCAGGCGTTTGCGCCACCAAGAGGTAGAAATCTAGATCACGGTACATGGGCGCAATTCATTGTCTCCATCCAGCAACCACGCACCAAAGATTCACAGCCATAGAACAAGATGAATTCGGGGGAATTGAAGCAGGATATGTAGTGACTCCTAAGTCCAGTTCCGAGAATGAACTACACTCCCTTCTTCGATTACAAAGTACATAGACAGCAGGAAATGTATCTTCCATACGGGCCGCTGCTAACCTTGCATATGCCAGCGCGATCTTGGGTGAAAGAAATTGGTCTCCCTGCGTGAAAGGTTCAAGTTTCTGGCCGTAGCGAAGGCGGCCTGAAACCCAAATATCTACCCCCCAGGTGAACTTTCGTAAAGGTTCGGCGATTTACCCGGCCGCGCTTATATACCCGGCTACCGCGCACGGACCATGTCTGGGCCCATATAGTCGGAGCTTGAATTTTTTTTTCTCTTCTTTACAGTCATCTCGTCCATCCGTTGTACCACACCGCTCCGAATCTGTTGGGGCTTCGACGCTGGAGGGACGAGTAGACAAACCTCCTGGGGCACTCTTCTGGGCATGCCGTTCTTCGTTTATCCCACTGAGTGAGCGGCTAATCAGAATTGGGTACAGTTCTCGTCGTTCTTCTATCGTTTGTTCGTATCCTAGCTTCTGCCCAAAAATTTGCCGTCATCTCGCTGTCTATACCTCGGCTGAAGTCTACCATCACGGGTTACTTGAATTATCCGTCTCCTAGTCCTCTGTCGAGGAGCTGTACCGGACATCGAAGCCTACCAAGATCATGTGGGGTTGTTTACGATCTCGACTCTCGTCCTTCTGTCAGGTTCGACGGCGCAATTTTGACCACACCCCATCCGCAGCTGAGGTCTTCCTGATCGATGACGAGACTGAATGAGTTCCTGTGTTGTGTCTGTGTCGCTCAAGGTCAATCGTCTGAATACATTTTCCAAGAAGGAAATGTGAAAGGTATCAGCGGGATCGGCTCGCTGCGGCTGTCATACCGGCTCGGGCTTGTGCATCCCAGGTGCTCCCCTATGGATACGTCATTCCTGTTCCGCTTGTTGACGATGCTTTCAGACGAAGGTTCCCTTCTAAACTTTCACTATCCCAACAATTTCCAGAGATAAAGTTGCGATTTGGTGTCGCAGATCTCGAGAAACTGGGTACGCTCCAAATTCCTCCGTTTGGGCCCATTTGATCGTCCGCGATCTGGCCGGGAAAGAAGGACACACGACCCTTGCCACGGAGATAATGCACTTGACGGGCGAGTTCCGGACATATCTATGATGATAGGGAGCGTGGTGACCGAGAGTGCGGAGGTACAGAACCTCGTTGAACGGGCATGGCACACCTATGACCAGTCATGACGTCTCGAAGACCAAGCTTTGGGCTCTCACTTCCCTATTGCTGGGATAAGAGTTCTACTCTCGGTTTGCGCGGTCGAATGGACGATACGAGGTTGACTACCGACGCCTAGCACCCAACGCGATAAATGAAAAGCGCTTTCCGGGTATATTAGATGTTTGGAGGTTGCGCCTATCTGACCGGACAAATGCGCACGGGACCCCGACTAGAAGTGCCTTTGTATTCCGAGACAAGGACAAGCCCATGACGAGTTGCACTGCTATGGAGAAGAAGCCCGATTCCCCGTCAGCTGTGGGCCTGGTGGCAAAGGTAGGAATACCGTTCAGGGCCTGAAGATGCGGGTTATCACAATTTCACTGGTGGAACTTGAAGACGCCCAGAAAAGGGAACCGGACATAACACGGAATCTAGATTGTGGCACTCCGAGAGATAATCCCAAAAATCCACGCCCATTCCCTTCGCGATTTGAGACCTGCTGGTGATATAGGTCCCAAACAATGGTCATCTGCATGCGCTGGTGGATGAAAACGAGATGGGTGTTGGCCACAGGCGGCATGGATGGGCGCGCTATAATTAGCGCGGGATGTCATATGTCGGGGTCAATCAGAGTTTGACCCCAAATGTATCGGTCCCAATCTCGCCAAGGGGTGAAATTAGTCCGTAATTCGCTGTATCACCGGAACTCTGAATTGAGAATCCGTTACGATCCTTTCATGCCGGATATACCAACCCTGCCAGTTGAAACAGCTAGTCCTTCTTCGTCTCTCGTACCTTTTTCGGGAGGCTAGCCACGAGATTCTCTTTTTATGCGCTAAATAAGAGTCCGTCAACACCTTTCATGTCTCGGTTCGTCTCATGCCCGCTTCGAGCCTTTGTCCTTGCTCTCCAAGCCTGAGTCTTGGTCGACGTTGACCCAGACAAACTCCGACACGAAATGGACACGTCTCGGACACCCCTCAGTCCTGGAGGCGGCAAGCGTCGCCGAGAGTCGTTCTCTGGCGAGCAGCTCCCGGTCGTACCTTCGTCGCACCCGCCTCCTCAGCAGCAAACGTCTCTTCCTTCCATCCGCCAACTTCACCCCTACCTTCCCCCGTCGTCCTCGTCGACTATAGGGATGGCCCAGGCGGGCTCGAGCGACTCTACGGCATACGGATATCCGAGCACCTCGCACTATGCACTCCACCCCGGCCAGATGGACACGAGTACTGCACATGCATACGGCGCGTCACAGCGCGACCCGGGGATATTTGGCGCTGGTGAATCCGAAGCAGATGAGCTGGATCAGCATAGTCCTCCCAAGAAGAAGCGGCGAAGGCAGGCATTGAGTTGCACAGGTGATTACATTCTGCTCTTCGTAATACGTGTCGTTCCGTCGAGTTCTGACTCCCTTTCGTCTCATTACCCTCTTATCGCTTCCCCACCGACTGGCCTATTTTCCGTTGATGATATCCGTCGTGATACCTCATCGCATTCCCAATCTGCCAATGTTCGACCTTGTGATTCATCACGCGGTGTGGGGTGTCATTAGAGTGCAAACGACGGAAGATTAAGTGCGATAGGTGAGCTGGGAATGGATCGTACCCCGAGACTAGTCTCCGGCTGACAGCTCGTCATCATTGCATCGAATCTACGACAGGACCCAGCCGTGCACCCCTTGTACGCGCCGAGGAGAAGAGGCAGGATGCCAATGGCACATCGTCGAACCGGTGTGAGTTTGAGTTTACGGATTCGCTGCAATTCCTTTACCTCACAGACGACTCCAATTCATCTAGGGAGAAATATGCAACGAAAGCCGAGTTCGACGAGCTGAAGGCTCGGTTCGAGCAGCTCGCAGCGCTCGTTCAGCGATTGCTACCTGCGGCGACAGCAGTTCCATCCCCATATTACCCGATGGGCATGCAGACCAGTATATCAGGGGTTATGAGCGAGGCTGTGTCGACATACAACCCAGGGACGTCAGGTACGATGTCTTACACGACGATGATGCATCCTCCGCCTCCTCCCCAGCAGGCGTATGGGCCACACCAGACGCAGCATCATATGGATGCCTCACAGGCACCATCTGTACCTCCCAATCGGTACATGAAGCCTGAAGGAGTACAGTCGCCTACCACGCGTCATTTACAGCCATCCTCACTGCCGACCAGCACGTCGCCCATCATCCCGACATCCGTTCAAAGCCCCTCCCTGTCACGCCATCGCGGTGTGCTTGAAGGCTCCTCTCCCACTGTTGCAGCTGCGGTAGCGAAGAGCTCGCCTCTGTCGCTCGCGTCGATTACCTCTCCCTACCACCCCGAGCACACCCAGATGCAGCCAAAAAACTACCACGCGCAGACGCTCATGCTGGGCGAGCGTCTGCGCCCCGGATCAGAAGACCCAACGAATACTTCCGCCAAGATGCGGGGATGCTCGGAAGTGGTGGCGCAAGCGGAGGCAGCAGCGGGGCTGGTGGAGGCCCAGGTGACTCTTCGGAGATGTATCTCGACAGCGCCGCGCCGACGGGTGTTCCGCCGTCGTCCTTCCACATCCAGCCAAGGCCGGCGCGGCGGGTCAGTGATCCGCCATCACGCTCGTCTGTTGTGAGTCCCAGAACGGAGGATGAGCGGGACCGCATGACCGGCCAGCCAGGAGGGCGTGACCGCTGAAACCGCCGTGAAGGCCAGCGCTAATCGGCGCGTACCTCTTTCTAGGCACCTCTCCTCCTTTTCTTCGGCACCATATTCGCCGATGGGCGTATCAGATGCTCGCAGAACATGTGGACCAAGTTCTGTCTTCTTTCGTTCGAACATGGACGTGACCCAGCCAATAATCCCCGCATTGCGTATAATCTCCATCGATTGCATAATTATACCTTCCTTCAGCGTTCGAATTCTAATCACAATACCTCGCGTATATCCGCTGTTCGCTCCGTCTCCCGCTCGCTCGGTTCTTCTGGTCACTGTCGCGGGGAATCTACCGATAATTTACCATTGATCAGTGAGTACCTCGCTGCCGAGTCGGACCTCAATTCGTCTCGTTGACTTTTGGGATCGATCTGATTGATATACATCCCATAGTTGAACCGCCCCAACTAGTTCCTCCCCAAGTGTATTCATCTTTGAACCGAGAAGTACCTACTCGGTTTTGCCTCATCTTATAGCCATATTCATTCCTACATTATTCCACATCACAATCCAGTCCCTCGCATGTCACTCTTTGCATTGCTTTTTGTGCTCTCGAAATCCATGGACCATTTAATTGCGGCGTATTGGTGCGCCGCTCGCATTCCGTCTTCATGCTCTCATTCTTCTTTTCGCGCCAGAAGCCTACATCGCATAGTTTTATCGGTAGCTCGTTACTATGAACCAATAATTCTTGACTTGTTTAATTCGACAGAAAACCTATCTGCGTCTCTTTCCATCAATCCACTAAGAATGCGCTATTCCATCATATGTATTTTCGTTAGGCTCACCTCTGGCAGCAGTCACGAAAATAAAGCCGCTTATCCCCGGATTTATTAACTTCGAGGCAACACTTCGTTGAAGGCCTTCCGACATCACCCTTCAATTCAACGAAAAGTCGACAATGCTCGACAGTCGAGATTCTCTCGAGAAAGCTCCCTCAACCCCGGACAATAGCCGCTGTGGAGATAACACTCTAGGCCCATTAATGAGATACCGAGAGGGACGGGTTCAGAGATATTCCGTCTAACCAGAAGGTAAATTGACCGGAATAAATCTAGTCCCTACTAAATAGTGGCACTAAGGCTCCCATCTCCGCCTCCAAGTGCGAGGCATGGAAAATGTCGTGGGTCTTGTCCTCAGTTTTAACCCGTAGGTCGCGGGCAGTTAGTTACTTTGGCAAAATTCATAATTGGCTATGACAAAGTACATCTAGAACGGGAACAGACACATACACAAATTCACATTGGATCGTCAACGCGAGATCACATCGTGTCTGGTATGAAGGGCAACGCAGTGCATGAGCGCTAAGCTCAGTGTGAACGAGCGATGACGTCATGCACCCCACAAGCGCCCACGCACCCGCGCACGGTCCACGCAATAAAAAGGGTGTTACTATAATACTGAACGATAAGCAAAACTAACGATTATTTTGTCCTTCCATCCCGTGGTATGCATATTCGAATTTTCCGACTTTCCTCTTGACTCCCCTCACTCTTGTCTCGCGCCTACTCCCAAACCAACCTCCCCTTCTCATCCACACCCGCCTTCATACCCCCACTCACTGCCTTCCCCTTCTTCCTCTCCCTCTCTCGTTCCTTCTCCTGCTCGGCCATTTTGACTTGCTCGAGCTCGCGCTTGTGCTTCGCGAGCGCGGCGAGGCGCTCGGCCTCCGCGTCGGCCTTAGCGGCCTTTTGCGCATCGCGCTTGTCGGCGTTCTGACGCTGGCGTTTTGTGAGGGTCTCTGGGGCCTTGGCAGTATGTGGAGAATGGGGGACATTCCCAGGGCTAGGCTGAGAGGTGGAGATGGTGCGTTCTACGGAGAGAAGAGAAACGGTCAGCGTCCGATTCATACAGGTGGAGTAAAGAATAAGAAATAAGAGCATCAAGAGGAAGAACTAAGGAGTAATTTTATGCCGTAAGACTAAACGATGCAACAACGTAAGGCAGAATTCCAAGTCAACAAAATGAATGGCGAACACATGGGCAAACCAGGTAAATTTAGCAGCAAGCGAAAGCGAACGAAAGAAAGGGACTCACTGGGTCGTTTGCTTGTGACAACACCCCACCCGTCATCTTCCCCATCTGCGTCGTTTTCGCCTCCGTCAGTCGCCACACGTACGTCCTCGTAGTCGGCCCATGAGAACCCACTCGCTGGCTTCTCGTTCGGAAGAGGCTGCACACGCATGACGCGTGCTAGGGTGGGGTAGTCCGAGGTCTCGAGCATGCTGTATGACGGGTACATTGGAAGCATCCCATGGATGAGATGAAGAATAGAAGGGGCGAAGAGGAAGCAGGAAGGAAAGGCGACGTCGGTTATGAAGCGATAAGGGAGAAGAGGTGTGCCACGAATTGCGGAGAAACGGACAAGAGTCACGGAAGGAATAGCCAGAAAAGAGCACAGATGACATCAGTTCTGCATGCATGACTTAAATGAAATGAAGTAATGGAAACGTACTCGTCGACTCCAGTTTTCCTGGGCTTGGGCAATAACTTCTCCGCCAGAGTCTTACGATTCTCTCCCGTCCGGTCCCTCACTGATGAATGAAGGAGAAACGAGTCGGGCTGTGACTCATCCTCCGTCGTCGACACGGCGGCACGTTCCGCCACAGGAGACGAATTCCCTGTATTCGAGGCGGCGACGCCAGCATCGCTCGCCGTAGGCTCATCAGCGGATTTGGCTGAAGCTGACGAGGCCGTCGCATCCCGGCGTCGAGACCCTACGCGCGTCCACGAGCCATCTGTGTCGAGAGAGGTGGTGGACAAATGCGAGGGACGGGTGAGTTGGGGAGAAGAGGTCGACGGAGTTGGCGCACTCGGGGTTTGAGCTGGTGCTTGGGTGCTAGCCGACGGCTCCTGGGGCGTTTGCTGGCTGCCAGCAGCAGGGCGTTTCGCGTTCTTCGACTTCGAAGCTTGAGCTGGCTTGACTGACGCCTCCGAGAGGTAGTCCACTGTAGACGAGGCACCCGCTGGAGAACCATGTGGTGTGTTCGCGCCGGTTCCTGGGCTGGCAGCTGCTGCCTCGGTGCTTGCTGCCTTTCCTTTCTTCTTCTTTGACTTCTTTGCCTTCAGCGCCGCTGCTTCAGGTGCAGAAGCCTCCACTGGCGTTCCCGCATCGAACTGGCCAGGGATGACCTCTGGGAATGGGACAACGTGAACCTCAGGCTTGCTCGTAGGAGCAGAAGTTGATTCCGACGCCTCTCCACCAGCCTTCTTTCCGCCTTGCTTCTTCTTCTTTCCCTTCTTCGCAGCGGTTTCGCCTGGAGCACTGGTATTGGTTGGTGGGCTTGAAGAGCCATGGCTAAGTTGGGTGTAGCCGAATCCAACGGCACCGGCGACAACAGCAACAGTGACAGCGGCTTCAGGTGACAGGAGACTTTGTGCGGAGCCCATTGCTGTCGAAGTTGGAGATTAGAGGGTGTAAGGAGGGTGGACGTGAATGAGGATGGGAGCAAAGGCGCGTAGCCGTTTCTGACGTGGAGGACTGCGCACGTGGTGCAACGCGTATACATGTACACACAACGCGTCACTAAAGCCGAAAGTCCGAAACGGGTTGGTGGTTTCTGTGGCGCACTGTAGGGGCCGTGTGATCTGGTTACAAAATCGCGACTCAAGAGGGAGCGAATCCTTATGTCGCTGAGTGTATCATGAATCTCACAGGCTCCAGACCGTTTGAGACTGGTTTTTATCAACCCCATAATCTGAAATGTAGTGCAATACGATTACTTCATGGCATAGGCCCACTCCGGCCTTCAGCCCTGTCATAACCATCTGCATAGGGCGCTTCAGAGCGTGAAGAAATATTCGTTCCCAGCGACTTTCTTTCTACTCCATAGCCGTCGCTTCCTCCGTCTCGCTCGGAGGGACGACTAGTCAGCGACTAAATGACTCAGGGCAAGGCTGAATAGTCGATCATAACACGAAGGAGCATAATATTGAACGATAAGCATAACTATCGACCTCGGCAGACTTTCTGGGCAAGTCATTAAACAATCTTCAACGATTTCGATACAGAGTCAGCATGACGCCATTCTCTTCGCCCTCTTCAAACCGACGGTAGCCTTCAGGCGCGTCAACTTTTCTATACAGCCTTATTCGCAGACCACGTACGATTACGCCTGCTCAGACCCAGATACTTCGCGATGGCACCAACGGCCGCATCCGCCTAACGGCTGGACAGTGGAGTGGTTTCAATGTCAGTCAATATTTCGGATCGAACTTATCATTAGCAACATTTGAGACGCACCTCCGTGTTAGGGGCGACATCGATGGGGGCGGCAGTCACTGAAATCGTAAGCGAGGCCAGCATAAATGCCACGCCGATGGTAGCAGCCATGGCTTTGTTCAAGTTCTTCAAGTTGGAGAGCATGGTGTAGGTGCGGGGTTGAATATCAAAGGAAAGAGGAGAACGAGTTGAATAAGAACATGCAGACGAGAAGCATTTTAAACGTTTTCTATCCATCCCGATCATTTGAGATTCCTAACGCAGATGAACGCCCACGGAGAGCCATCAAAGTCTCTGTCATACCTTCCTCTCTCGTCTTTGGCTTGAAACGTGCCCAAATTGTAGAAGAATGATAAGAACGCTGCGCCGCAAGCCAAAGCCACTTACATGACAAAGCTTCAGCGCTTGTCACTCTCCCTAAATTTCGATCCTATCCATTCAGATAGAGACATCATTGTTCCAAGGTACTCCGCACCGTTATATTTTCCGACAATGATACAGTTGTTTTGAATACAGGCAAAGGCGTACTTGCGAGCTACGACAGATATTGAAATGATGAATAAATCGTGTTGAATATTTCGCTGACAGTATACTGAGTCACCTCGGGCTGCGGAATAGATGGGCGGGGAAAGCAAGTATGCGAGATGTTGGTCGTTTCTTCGACGAGGATTGGTCCAGCTGCTGCGCTAGAGAAGAGGAAGTCCTGACGAGATTCGGTCAGAGTGTACCCATTCTGGTTGCTACTGTCTCCCACGCTGTTCCTGCTCCATTTTTTGCTCCTGCCACCACCCCCGTTCCTTCTCCATCGTCGTACGTGCACGGGATCCATGTCTCCTAGAATCGGAATATAGACTAATTGTTCTCTTGAAACATGGCGGCTGGGTCATGCCATTGCTCTTCCAGTTCCATGGGCGTCGACCCTCAGAGCTGTGATATGCAATCCTCCTTGGAAGTTGGCACGCCCATCGCCATGCCTTTCAAGCTTAGAACGAGCCCCTCCCCGATCCCCCTTTTCCGATACACGACTAGTCCTTGGTGATTCTGTTTCAGCACGCTCCTCACGCCCGTCCTGCTCCGTCGAGCCGTCATTTGCTTGTCCACACTACAGCGTGAACTTCGAGGTCACTGGTGTGACCTCAAGGAACGCGAGCTTAAGCTGCTCGAGGGTCGCGCACTTGACCTATGCGCGAACCTCTGCCATGCGAATTTCATCACCGACAGTCACAACGAGGCGAAGGAGCTCGCCAGCCACCCAATCGCGTATATCAACACCTTTGGCTCGTACGACATAGTCTACCGCGCCTACTGGGGTTCAAACCCTGCCTCGAAAATCATTGCCGTCCTGCAGGATGTGGTCACCGATAATTCGCTAGTAATTCGCACATAGGTTTCGTTTTGAGGCATGCAGATTGAGTTGGTAATAGTTTGAGCTGCGTCAACACCCTTGGTGTCTGCGATGGTAACGTCGTCGCCTACACCTCGTTCCCTTTCATTGATGTATGTGCTTCGAGGCGGTCATTCTATTACTCTATCTGACTGTCTTCTTATAGACCAACTACTGCGACATATTCTTCGACCAAGCCCCCAGTACCAACCTCTGCTTACTCGACCCCGTCGCTTCTCACAACATACGCGGTGGAACTACCCTCCGCGAGCTTACCCGCGCATTTGTCAGCACCGTCGACGACACCTCCGGTTGCGCTGCTGACCAGGCTCTCTCTGATGCCAAAAAATACAGGAACGCTGACAACTACAACGTGGGTTCAAGGTTGTGGATATTCTCCCGGGGTTACGCTCGTTATCATGCCTATAGTCCTTCACCACTCAAGCCTACGTTGAAGATGTCTGCATAGCCCACTAAGTTGCCTTGTTTTTCAGATATAAAGTGGCCTTCTTTGGCTTGTTGAGAATGGCGACGTACGCTGGGATCAAGATGCCCATGAGCTTAGGAACTCGCCCGAAAAGATGCCTCCATACCGAAACTCCCCTCAGTTCAGGTGTCTATTTGCAGCCCTTTTTTGTCTGACTCCTGTCGGAGCAAACAATTCCTCTCATATCAAGGCATGATGGGTTATGACCGGCCTGGAACCAAAACTCTGTGCGATTTCACAATTCCCCCCTACTTTGCACGGCCGAATCATTTGTAATATACAAGGAATGAATTTAGTACATTGTCGAAGACCTGGCAGAAATACAACGTGCGGAGGCAGCCCATTCGTAATTTGACGAATCTGAGTAGTAGGATCTCTTCCAATATTCTTGGGCGCCTCTTATTGCTAAGAACGACCCCCCGCCATCTTACGATATTCGCTAGCTACAATGCATTTGCAAGAATTAATGAGCAGTTTAAAGGGCAAAAGGGTAGAATTACCTCGCATTAAGGACGCCTGGAAGACAACGGATACCACACCCTCTCCCAATTACAAATATAGGTATTGATACTTCTCAAGACATCTTCCTCGCTCTCGCTCCACATCTTGCATGCCACTCCGAGAGTACTACGGTTGGGCTGTACATCGGGATGGCTTTCTATCTTGTATGCCACTTCTGTGAGTGTTTCTGCAAGCTTGAGGACACCTTTTGGCGGACGGTGGTGAATGCGGTCACGACTTGAGACGGATATTGGATAATCCCGGATGATCGCCCAAGCTGTGAGGAAGGCATGGGCTTGTGTGTTCTCGTCGGACAAGGGTGACTGTGAATCCGAACGATCGCGAAGTGTAGCGCTAAGCGCTTGGGCGGCGCGTTCGATCCTATCTCGTCTATTGGGCGTTGTCGCCACGAGACTGAGCCGGGTGTAGGCAGCCACAACGTTGAGGAGGTCGTAGCCGAAAAGGTAATGGAATGCCCAATCCATTCTACCTTGCCAAACGCCCTCGAAGAACGAATCCAAGCATCTAATTCCTAATTTTTGTTGGTCTTAGAGCAGTCTTTCAGCTTTCGGAGCTTCTGGAGTATATTGCTGAACGGGAAAATCACATACCTGTACTCGTATTATCAAGATCTTCCATGAATATAAACGCCAACTGACGATGCCTGTATGGACGGGTACCGGACAACAGGGGGATGTCATTTTGACCATGCTGCAATTTAGCCCGGAAGACCCAATTCAGGAGTCGGCGACACTGCTCCGGCCTTAACGTAGATGGCTGAACATTGACGGCAAGCAGAAAGAGAGCTTCTTCGTACAAAAGTTCGGCAGCTTGATTGTGGGGAACAATGTCTGAGATGAGAGATGTGCTGGGTGGACGTAGAACCTCAACGACAGCCTTGTAGTATTGCGGCCCAATGACTTTCCACTTCGGTCCCCCTGGCCTCATATCTCCATCGAGATGCAGTCTCGGAAACACTGGGAGGCAGAATTTAGAATCGTCAAATGCTGCGGATATTTGTTGAGGATATGCTGGATACCGAGGAGATGGTCGTAGAGGGGTCCATAGTTGGCCCTCTTCTGGAACCGCCCATCGGGTTTGAAGAAACATTTTGTCTTCAGCAGGACTTGGGAGGAGTAGCTCCGCCGGAGCGAGATCCATGCCATATCGAGATCTATCCACGATCGAGCTTTGACAGGATTATAATCCGGAAAGGCGACTGGAAAGCGCGTTACACCACTTACGTCCGACCGATGTGGGGTACAGAAGAAATTTACCATGGAAGACCCGAAAGCTGTAGCTCTTTCCCACCGCTTTCGAAACGCATCTGCAGGAAATATGTCGATGATGGTGGATTTCCACTTGGCGAAACGGCTAGAGACTTCTAGAGATTGCGCACGAGTGGTGAACAGGATGATGATGGAATATGTAGAAACCACGGCGGTGTAAACAGGAACGGAAACGGAATACACTATAGCGCTCCCAAGGGTGGATGAAATAAGTCGACGAAATAATCTTGATTGGGGCGACTTGTATGGACAAGGAGTCGGGACATTTGCGTTGAATTGCCTCCTAGTTGAGCGAACCGTAAAGATCTGGAAAGCCGGGATCGCCGTCGTCACCAGAAGAAACAGGAAGGCAAGAGAGATCACAACAACGACGGGGACTGTGACTTGACTGACGCCCAGAGAACGCAAGAACTCGGCGAGGCCGAGGAAAAAGAGCACCAAAGCGACCTCGAGGAGGACGGGAAGTGAGGAGAAGAATGTGCCCATCCCCCACTTCTCAATCATCTCTGTTCTCATGCTCAGCAAGCCGAAGTTTTCCTCGGCTGAGAAATGGGCGGGGCGATGCTGGTGCTCGCGTAGCCATTGGGATGCAACAATACCGATAAGCATCGTGGTGAGGCTGACAACAAGGCTAAGGATCCAGAAGACGTTGACGGCCACTGAAGAGGGAGAAAAGGGGATGGGTTCATCACCGGGAAGAGGGGATAGTGTTCCATTGGTGGTGTTGTCGAGGCGCGCGACTATGCGCGTGAGGAGGATAACCGTTGTTTCGTTGGGATCTGGCCTCAGGTCCTTGTACGACTCGATGACGAACGTGGTCACAACGGCCGAGAAGAGCGAAGCCTAATGCGATACTTGAGTCGTGTGGGCACAACAGCGGTACGGCAATCGAAAATAACATACAAAAACGAGGACGTTGTGGACCTCCCCTTCCCAGATCTTGCATTGTGCTGCATCGTTCTCCTGCAGGGGCTTCAGAAGGTCGCCCCAGTAGTCCCTCGTCTCTGTCTTTGGAAGGTGATGCACCTCATGGGGAGCACATTCGAGCCTGAACAGTAGATTCAAGGGAGAAGCAACACTCACCTCGTGCTCCTTGCTTTCCTCGGCTCGTGAGCCAATTACCGTTTCACTGTCAGTAGTCGACATGTCGACGAGGGAGTCATCTATCCCTTGACTCTGAAGACTCTTTATGAGGGAGGGAAGGACAAGCGTGGGGATCGACCTGACAGCGTTACAGCCTTTTTTCCTTTGAGACGATCAGAATATCTGGAAGTATACACAGCATTGAGCCTCTAAAATTATGCCATCATCTGTCATCATCGGTCTACCGTTCAGCGAGATCAGATGATACACAGCGGGTTGAACGAAGAATCAGTGGTGGGGTGAATTGAAGGATTTTCTTGGCATTAATGGCGTTTTCGGGCTGGCCCATTTATCACCGAGAGTTAACGGAGAAAAAAAAAACTGAAGGCATGGGATGCGAACTTACCAGCATATTCGTCTATATACTGATAATATTGCATCTTCGTTGCTATCCTGAACTAGCGCCGAAGATTTCCCAGAGCCCATGGAATGTCCACGGAAGAGCCTTGCATATCGAACGCGTTGGGCTCTCAGAGCTAGATCTAGGACCGGGTTAGGATGCATGACGCAAAGAATAAGGTCATGCGACCAGACTCTGGAGACCGACAGCAGAAGGGAAACGAGGTTCGGTGAACGCACATATCTTTCAAGTAATTGGCAACCTCCCAGGACAGTTAGGGGCAGCCAGCGGGCTGGGGAGGAGACAAAAGCCGTCTTGAGCATAAGCCTATGTCACAAGCTAGCCGCCATGATGAAACAGAAGAGAACGGCCGGCTGAGAATCAGACATGGAGACAAGAAGGAAAGTATAGGTTGTAGTATGACAACAAGAGGACAGGTAGAAGCCGAATAAGAAAGTGACTGAGATGATGAGGGGAAGACAAGGAGCGAAGAGCACCTTCGGCATTATCGGCGAGACTACGGAAATAGCCGAATGATATTCCCACACACTTATAGCGAAGTCTTCTTCCTGAGACTTTCTCTTGAGCTGCAAACCAACAACAAATTGCAGGGAATATCGAATCATCGAACTACGTAGGTGTATTACTCAATATCTTGCACACGTATCCCTTAACTCCTCTCCCTGCTCAGGAGGTAAACAAATGAGCTTCTTCTGTTTTTGGAGGATATAGTTCAGGCCCAACCCAACTTCGGTACTCTTCTCTCCTTAATTTGGTCCACATCCAGCTCTTTGACTCCATTATCAGCTCAAGCCAGCCTGCTACGACTGTCAATCGCCATCGTCACAAACGTTGTTAATCGCGCGATGCGTTAATTTAACACCGCATCAGCGAAGGCAGCAAAGCCCTCAGCCCAGTCCCATAAGTGTCGCTGCGCACTGCTCGCGCTCGATCCTCGGTATTGTGATCGATATCTGGCATCACTTCCTCGCCACCATGTCACCGATACTCTGAGACGTCCGACAGACCAACTCTGTCTCTGATGAGTAAGACACCCCACACAAAGGTCTCCTCCCTCGTCCTACGTCTTTGATTAGCCCTGGCACTCTTTCTCTGAATAGAGGTGCGTGGCCACGGTTCGATTTCGACCGCTCTCAGCCCCAACCATGCTTGTTCCACGTCGATTTCCCTTCGATATTCTCATTGCTCCTCGTGTCGTTCTCTATAATTCGATACATTAGAGGCGTTGCGCAAAGCCAGCTGGAGCCAGTGGTGGCTCAAATGCGTTGCGCTGAGACCTTTAGCCAGCAGAACCTGAATACCAGACTGATGAATGCCATATATTAATATTACTTACATCTCTCTATAACCTCATATTTGCTGGAGAGCTCCACGCGATATCAGTCTGTGGGGGCGGTTGATCAACAGTTGATCTCGGTTGATATTTTCTGCTGGCTCAGTTTCCATATATAGGTTAGTTTCTGGAGATTGCCGTACCTGCGTGGATGAATACGATGAGATACTTGCATTGTCATTGAACTCCCCTGGCATCCAGACATACATGGCGCAATATAAGACTAAGCTAAAAGCATAGTCGCCAATTGGCCGCTACTGGCTACATGACACAGCGCAACGTTTTTGAGCCAGCACTGGCTCCAGCTGGCTTTGCGCAAAGCCTCTATTCTTTCCCGCGGTTGGCTGTCGCGATCTGCTTGTGCACGACCTGATCGCGCTTGTGATGACGGGGCTCTTTAATTCGGGCGGTTCAATTTCGCGCCTTCATCATCAGGACTTGGAGCGTGGGATGAATTTGTGGGCGGCTGGGCTTCCGAAGCCTCTGCGAGGATGGACAAATAAAATCGAAGAGCGGGAAGAGGTAGACAACTGGCAGTCTGAGAGTGACTGGGTAGAGGCTCCGTGTTGAGGGCCCCTTCAATTCGACGTAGACGGGAAGGACATTCATATGCATGGTACCTTTGTCCCGATATCTCTCATGTGGCAGCGGAGTATTCTGCAGGCTACTTGGACGTTGTACGGGGGGCAGGGAAATAACCGTTGAATTCTGTGATTGTTTGGAAGAAAGTCGGAGGAGGGCGTTCAGCTCCGATCCAAGTCACTAATCTCATAACCCACGGCTAGTTGTAATAGACACCTCCTGACATTCCATATAACTACTCGTCGTCCTACAAACTCAGCCATAAATTCCACTCTCGGACTAGCCATCAAAAACAGAAGCATCCTTCAACGTTCAACCTCGTTTCCATCCTTCGATTAGAAGTTTAAGATATCCTCGCGCAGCGAATGATATAAATCCTAATGCCTGCGAAGACGAATCCAATCAGTTACTACAACACTTTCCACGCAGAGTAACGAACGTACTTGCGTCCTGAGCAAACAACCGGTTGGAGTCGCCGCTCAATCAGGCGACGACACACCACGCTGAAAGGTTACCGCCCTTCTCTTCTTCAGCAGGGATGACGCCGTCGTGTGGCTTGGGTTTGTTGTTGGTAGTAGAGATTTCAATATTGGTGAAGGCGTCCATTGTATATGTACTTTGGTGTTGGTAGACTGCGTTTCGCGGTGCTTTGTATAGTAGAATATGTGGTTTGGTCCTGTAGATGTGGCGAGTGAACGGGGGCGCTTTTATACTACGAAAACATCCTAAAATCGAATCCTGCCACGCGCCGAGGACAGCCAAATGTGCATCCGAAATTGGACGTGCGCGCTCGCAGGTCTACCCAATACACGCAGATTTGTCATATTTCTCGTTGAAAGAAAGCGCCTTCCAGCCACGAGCGCTTGAATGCATCCTCCGTTGCTTCGTATTATCAATCCCTGTGATTGTGTTCCTTCTCTCGCTGAATTCGTTCGGCGGATACCTTTCTGCGAAGTCAATAGACAGGAACTCGAAAGTCGCGATTGCGAGCGCGTCTCAGTAATCAAAGTGACAATGTATTGATCAGCGTGCGGCTGCGTATATTTATAAAGCATTTATAAAGTCAGCTTGGCTACTGCGGCTTGTCCAAAAGTGGCAAGATAATTAGCGCCGGGGCTTTTCCATCATTTAGGTGGCGTACTACTCCATCAGTTGAGCTCGGCCAGTAGGGTTCTGGTCGACGCAACCCTGTAAAATATATTTTCGCTTCTATACCGCTTGACTTTCGCCCGCCGGAGACACAAAAGTCTCTACGGATAATTGAGGGAAGTTTGGGTGAAATAAGAATCGTAGATATTTCACGTACCATCACACGCCTCTCGAAATTTCCTCCTGAAGACTTTGTTGCTCGGCTCTAATCCAATCGATTACTTCCTCGTTTAAACCCCCTAGTTATTTATCAAAACGTCAACGACGTTCCTGCCCAGCGGCGTGTGTTGAATTGTTGAGGATGGCGGCGTATGCTGCAATCAAGACGCCCGAGAGCCTCGAAACGGCCCGCGGAATGCTGGTCGTTCTGCCTGCGAACCTCTCTCGATATGCCCTAACAACAACGGAAGAGCAGGACAGGTCGTAGACGTGGATATACCCACTTTCTCGTCCTCTTGGAGGGGAAATCGTCTGACCTGAGCCCCAGTAGCGCTCGAGAGTGGACTGGAGAACCGATAAGGTATCCCGCGGGAGATCACGTAATTTTGGGAAGTGGCGGAGATGAGCTCGTTGGCTTTGAAAACGGAATCCAGATATTCAAATTGCTGGGACTTCACGTCTAAATATTCCCAGCAGATCATCAGTGTTTCGTTCTCGACGAGTGTAAGCAGATTCATCCACGTACCCTGTCGTTCCCAGTCAGATAACATGAGAACCTGCCTTCATAAGCCTTCAGGGACCCGGCCCCCGACACAGTGAAGGGATTTGGGTGGCGTATTTTTGAAGGTTTGAGGGCGAGCAAATGGGTGATCATAGAGAAAATCCCTAGTACGGTAGATCAGTTCTGCTGGTCCAGTAGGCGAAAACAAAGCTTGCAGATCGAATGCTGATGAGGAGTTCGAAGGGCCCTCGAGACGAGCCGCGATGAGAGCGAGGAGTTTGGCTGCAGGTTTGTTAGGGTCAAGCTTCAAGTCCTTGTACGATTCGATAACGAAGGCAGTCACAACTGCCGAGAATAAGGATGCCCGATCTTTTAGTGAGAAGTACGGAGAAGGAATCGAACACCTACAAAAATAAGGAGGTTTTGCACCTCGTCCTTCCGTGAATCGCACTGTCACTTTCTCTTTCTCTTTCGGAAGCCGAAGCAAATCGTTCCAGTGGTCGTGAAATGGCTTCTTGGGAAGAGCATATTTATACAGAGTGCCACACTTGAATGCAGTGGGATATTTGAGTCTTGACGAGTCATTTGTTCACCAACCTCAAACTCGCCCCTTCTCTAGCTTGTGCGTTTCCACGAACATAGGATCCCGGCTCTCCTTCGGCCAATCCGGGAGTATCTGGGCTCGTTGGCGTCTCAGTCCAAGGTGAGTCTTTGCGGTAGAAAGAGGGACAGATTCACGTCTTGGTGAAGAAGACGAGTAAGAGGAGTATAAGAGGAATGAGGAACGAATTCACATTCCATTAAACGTAATGTTCGTTGAAAGGGGCGCTCCCGGCACGTGGTTGTACGCGTAGAAGCTACGCGTACTATATATCTCGCGTGTCGAAAGCGGGCGGCGCAATCCGAGGGAACGCCGCTCCAGAGAGCCGGCAGCAAGAAAAAAAGTCAATTACAAATTATATGTTAAGCTTTTTGTTTAATGAACGTCGGTGGGTATGCAAGTGCGAAGGAGTGGAGGGCGGAACTAAGTATCACGAAAAATAAATAACGAAGCCGTCCAGTTTCACTAGAAAGCGTTGAGCAGCCACCTCTTGTCCGCCCTTCTCAGCCCTTCGACAATCTCATCCAACGGGCCTCGCTTCTCGTTGACCAAATCCCTCGCGTTCGCTGTCGACGTTGTAGGGAAAAATGGAATCACAGCATCATTGCAAGTTGAACCTTCCGCTGGCAGGGTGCCGTTCTGGAAGTACAGCCGGACGTGGGTGATGACGCACAGTGAAGCCCAGGCGAAAGAGGTGTGCTAAAGGAAGGACGATTAGATAACTTGAAATGGACAAGAAACTTCCACGACGCACTCCAGGGATGTCGTACGTGAGGACGGCGGATCCAGGGAAAGCCAGTGATGCTTTCTTCGCCCTGAAATTTGCGAAAGAAGATAGGTCAGCTTTTGCCTCACACATTCATCATCGAATAACCCACATCGAAAGAGGTGTCACAGGATCTAAAGTGTTTCCGATGATTAGCAGCGGGAAGCTCGTGTTACCAGAGATCGGTCCTGCGGATAGACGTCAATTTTATAGGGCGACAACCATAAGGATCGCACCTTTGAAGTTGTTGGGATGGACTTTCCAGCCTCTGAAGTATAAAGTTAGAACGCAATCCCGTCGCGAGGGCAAGGGAAGAAGACTTACGAGCATTGAAGCCTGACCGAGGAGACGAGGCTCGAAAAGTTCTCCGAAACCCCGCTGATGGCCTTCGCGTACTCCGCTATTTGCGCTGCAGAATCTGACACTGTCCGGCCGTCCGAGCAGACAACGGCCGCGTTGATTAAGCCCGCATCGGCGGAATCGGCGGACGATGCGAGCTGGTACAGAACGCTTGCATCGCCGTCCTCGAGGGCTTTCAGCCCTACCGCGAGCGGGGCAAAGGTTTCAGAGGGTCCGTACAAGCACCCGAGGACGGTGCTCTTCAGCGTGACAAGGTCGAGAACACCGTAGTTCGGTAAAGATGGGGAGTATGCGGGGGCAGGTTGACGAAGGACGCGCTCGTAGAGTCTGTTGAGGCGTCGCTTGATAGCGGAAGCTGTGGGTGAGTGGAACGCGCAAGCTTCGGGTCCAGCGGCGACGCAGGCTTCGAAGAAGGCTTGAAGGGTCTTGTCAGCGTCAACTACATGGTTGCGCCAATCAACTATCCAAATAATGGCCATCAGCTATTCCAGAACGCCAGGAAAACCCGCAAACAGCCTACTTACTAGAATAATAGCCTTCAAGGTCGAGAAGACCTATCATAGAAGTATAAGCTAAAGCGTTCTGGGAATAGAAGTATTATAAGTACGGACCATCGATGACCAAGCGCTCGACTTTGTCCTATGGTCACGGATATCAGTGAGTGATTGAATACAGAACAGTCAGCTTAGGCCTAGCGTACAGGGAATAGAGCAGCGAATGTCGATCCAAGAACGCTTCCGTAACTAAGTGATAATGGTTAACAAACAGATTCCATGCCTGAAACAAACTTCGACTCACGAAATACCCCAATACTGCAGCTTTTCCCTGCCGTGGGCTTCGACAATCCTGAGCATGTCCCTCGCTACGTTGTCTGTCGTCATATGGGTGATCACATCGCCTTGGCGTTCCCTGGCCAGGCTGCCCAGAACTTGAACTTTTGCCCAGCGCTCGGGCAGGCTCGACCTAGATGTCGCCTCCGTATTGAGGAATGTGGCCCCAAAGTTGAAGGTCGCTCTTTCGAAATCGGAGGTGAAGACACTGATGGCTGGGGTTGAGTGACCGACGCCTGTTATTCAAGCCCGAGTCGAATTTAAAAAATCATAAACGAGACGAAAAGCGAACGAACCTCGAGGATCGAAGCTGACCAAATCGAACTCTTGGCCAAAGACGCCCTGGATGTTGCCTCCGAGAGCGAGTGCAGTATCGACACCACTAATACCTGGCCCTCCAGGGTTAAATAGGACCGGGCCGCGATACCCGGGTGCTCCAGAAAGGCCCAAGGGAGACGGGAGGCGAATTAGGGCGATTGCGGCAGAACCTGCGCTTGGATTCGAGTAGTCGAGGGGGACCTAGGAAATGTGATCAAAGAATTAGGCGGAGCGATATGCTAGATAGTAAAGACATACGCTGAACCTAGCGCACTGCGTGAACTCAGTGTAGCAGCTGACCCAGTTCAAGCTGGTGCTCGGTGTAATCTAGAAGGGTGAGTAGTACTTAGAGCAGCGTGCGCGATGTCATGGGGCCAGACGCACCGAGTTCCAGTCGAAAGCCGTCTGAGCGCATGCAGAAGGGAGATGCATGAGCGACAAGGCGAGAATGCCCGCGCTCAATGAGGCACGAAGGAAAGACAAGTACGACATCGTGCAGATGAACCGAATTTCGGGAGCTCCGATGATTGGGAGACTTGGAGACATCGTCTCGTAATTCCTGCTCTTCGTCTTAAGTACCTTCCCAGTGGCTGATTGAACGCCTTCAATGGGGATAGAAAGCTCGGCGGCGGATCATGTCACATCGGTACAAGAGCCTATAAGAGCCTGGAAGGCATGGCACCCTAGTTTGCATCAGTGATATCATTACAACTGACGGCATCTCTCAGACTCACGCGCTCAAGGAACGTCACACCGTACCCACACGGTCTTGAGGCATCGTTAGACCTGATCGCAGCCTCTTGCACCTGGCGGGTAGAAATCGAGGTACCGGAAGCGAAGCCATCCGCGAATCTCTTGAACTCTCGTTTGTCGAGTTTCACCTCGTCCGTGGTTGTGTGGCGCGTTCCCGTTGTAGAGGAGATCGGTGCCAATGGCATGAAATAGTACCTTGGCGGTTTCCTCTTCCTTCCTTCCTGAAATCTGTCCACCTTGCCTCACATGAGTAGCTGATATAAATAGACGCCCGTCGTACACGGATCTGTCAGCCTATAGCGAATGCGTTGGAAGAACACATACCTTCTGGCCCAAGAGTGGAGAAGATTGGACGGGCATCTTCAATTCGGCTACCGCCGGGACAAATTAATCAAATCTTATCAGATTAGCGATCATGCTGGGGCTCAAACGTTTGAAAATGCCGAGAGGAATGTTCATCTCCCAGATCAAGCTTTCGGATTTCCTCGGTGCAAAATAGGCCCGAAGGCGACAGTCGTTTTCAAGAAGAGTGCCTGAAAGCTCACGAGGAAACGGGAAGACGGGGATCACCATGAAACCCGGCCAAGCAAATGACCTTGCAACGACGCGTTTCGACATTGACGCCCAGTATGCAAAGGCACCTACAGCATGACTCAACAACGATGACATTAGAATCGGCAGAACCAGAAAATGTTCGAAAATTTGACCAAATTACATGCTAATGGTTGAATTATTATACCATGAAAATCCCTCTCCTCACATATTCGACGGCAACGGAAGTTGAATCATTTCCGTTGGCTGACCTTGGCGGGAAAAGAGGCGTCGTCACATTGCAAATCGTGCCCACAATCGGGAGTGTGCCGTTCAGGAAATAGTTTCGGACATGACGGTAGGTGCATTCAGATGGGGTCGTAACCGAAGCATGCTGGTGAGAACGAGGCCGTGTATTCAACGATGGGGTTGTCCAAGCAGACAGAAAGAACGACCTACTCCAGGAGAGTCTTGGGTTAGGAGGACGGATCCGGGGAATGCCTTGACGGCTTCCTTCGCGCTATCAATTGTATCAGGACAGTGGCTCAAAATGAGAGAGAAACAGACGCACGCTGCAAGAGGAGTGATGGGATCCAACGTATTTCCAATGATAAGGAGCGGGTAGCTCGTATTAGCGGTAATGGGTCCTATGTTTCGAATTCCATACCGATCCAAATGACGACTGGAGCAGGGAGAAAGGAAGAACGCACCTTTGAAACTATTGGGATGAATCTTCCAACCACTAAGAGAGATGTCAACATAGCCCGTGGATTATAATTTGAGAAAGCACTGACGAGCACAACAGGCGCACAGCTGCAACCTGGCTCCCGAAGCTCGACTTCATGCTGGCCTGTTTCGCATATTCGGCCAACGCAGCTGGGCTATCCGAAACAGGCGTTCCATCAGCACAATTAACTACAGCTGTAACTTCACCCCCTCGCGGCGTCGCGAGCTGGTACAGAAGGCTTGCATCTCCGTCCTCCAATAATTTCAAACCTTGGGCAAGGATAGGGAAGGCTAGGTACGGCGCGTAAAGCATGGAGAAAATGGTGCTCTTCAGCAGGGCGTAATCGAGGACTCCGTATTGAGGAAAGGAGGATGAATAGGCAGGAACAGGTTGGCGAAGGACACGCTCGTACAAGGCATTGAGACGTTGTTTGATAGCACTGGGTTGAGGAGAGTGGAACGCGCATGAATCTGGGCCCGCGGCAGCACATGCGTCGAAGAACGTTTGGAGGGTCTTGTCGGCGTCGACGATGTCGTTGATCCTGTCAGCTAAATACGGAGAGGCAAAGATCAGCAAGGAGACAAAATTGAAGTCCACGAGATCCGGACGCACTAGCATAATACCCATCGAAATATAACACGCCTGATGTTATAGAGTAAGCTTTCTCTGAATTTTTATTATGTTGGGGTACGTACCGTCGAGAATTGCACGTTCAATATTGTCCTAAACCAAGGTTTACAGTGAGTTCAAGTTATCAGAGCGGATCGTCTGAGAGACGAAATACCGGGAAAAGAGCAGCAAAAGTCGCTCCAAGAACGGTCCCGTATCTACCGATAGCGTAGCGACTGTCAACGCCCGAAATAGATCAACATCAGGACAGAACTTACGAAAAACCCCAGTACTGCAGCTTCTCCCGCCCATGAGCCTTGACGATACTCATCATATCCCGTGCCACATTATCCGTCGTGACATGGGATAAGAACCCGTTGTCTCTACCCTGGGCGAGCCTGCCGAAGACTTGCATCCGTGCCCATCGCCCGGGCAGCGTAGGTAAAGAGGAAACCTCCATATCCCAATCGTTATACCCGAGGCCAAATTCGGCGCGTTCCACGTCGCTGTTGAAGATCGACAATATACGCGGGGTCGAGTTGGCGACACCTGTGGAAAAGAAGGTCGGCCATAGAGCTCAATCGAATTCCATGCCGATGGACTCAAGTCGCACGAACCTCTGGGATCGAACCCGATCACGTCGAATTCTTCGCCAATGACGGAGGCTATATCACTTCCGACAGAGGAGAGTGCATACTCGACACCGCTTCCCCCTGGTCCTCCAGGATTGATGAGGACAGGTCCGCGATAGGAAGGCGAGCCGGCCAGTCCGAGAGGAGATGGGATACGGAGCAGAGCTATGGCGGCAGAGCCTGCACCAGGGTCGGAATAGTTAAATGGCACCTATATGCGCGAAGAACCGAGAATAAGAAGCCAAAAAAAAATGAAAAGGGTGGAAAGGACGTACGCTTAGGCGAGTGCATTGCGTCGCTTCGCTGTAGCAGGAAACCCAATTGAGAGTTGTACTCGGCGCGATCTAGAAGAGAGAAATATCGAATTAGAGAACTTAAGGGAGTCTCGTGGAGAGGCACATACCGAATCCCAATCAAATGCGTTCGGATCCTGCGCTCTCGCAAAGACAGGATACATTAGCAAGGAAGCGAGGCCGCCAACTCCCAAAGCCGACTGGAGGGCTGCAAAAGGAACTTCATTGAATAAGCCGAAGGAGTGCGAGTTAGCTTCGAGGGTTGTCTATCAGCTCGTTCCTCGGTCCCTTAAATGTCACTCCAGAGGTAGATCACCTTCGAGATCCTAGGACAGGGATACCTGGGAGACTCGCGACCGTTAGTCTTGGCATCCCATCCTCTACGGAAGCTCAGCCTGATTTATATGCTACCATTTCTTTTCCACAAGGCATGGAGCTCCAAACGGTGATCAGAAGCGAGCCTACATAGGAATTGCCGACCGTTCGTTCGCTCCCTGTTTGTGCCGACATCGGTTTAAGTACAAGCCTACTAGGCTGTAGCACAGTTTCGGCTCGCGATGAAACATTTGAACATGAGTACGTGAGACTTGGCCCATTTTCTCGCCCGCCGTTTCTTCCACTTACGAGGGCGTCAGAGGCAAATCGACAACATTACGGGGGAAGAAGACTCACTTCGTCGTAGCATGTCTGCTACAAAGCATCTTTGGCCATCTCCGTGTTCTTCGCAGGTAACGATATCGGGAGACTTTCGGTCCCGGCTGCACTGCACAGCAGTATTGCACAGTCACTAGAGCTTCGAGAGAATCCGGGCTTCTTTCACCGTGAGGTAGAGAGGTAGACGGGTCCAAGACGGATCTTCTTCATATCGAGACGCGTAAGACTCGTAGTTTAGGACTGGATTCTGATGCCGTGAACGTTGAACAGAGGGTGAAAAAGGTGACCAACGATACCGCGACGATCTCGACGGAAAGGTAACTTACATGTATATTCTTACGGATCCTGATTGGGTGGACCCCACACTGTAGAGACTTCCACACCAGACTCTGAAAAATGCCATAAGCTTTTTGAAACCTGTTTATTTACGGTGAGGAATAGGAGGAGTCATTTCAGAAAATCCTCGATGACATTGTGCTCCCCTCGAAAACGATGTTACATAGCGAGCAGCCCTCTCATGTCTACATTCCTCAAGTCCTCCGCAATGCCCGTCAACGATTTGCCTCCCCTTTTGACCATCCTTCGATTCGGGGTACCATCATTGGACGTGTCAGGAAACAGAGGGGTCGTGACATTACAAACGACGTCTTCGGCTGGGAGCGTGCCGTTCTGGAAATACCTCTGGACGTACCCCAGGGTGCATTCTGACGGCGCGGTGAACGAGGTGTGCTGAAATTACGTAGTGCCGATTAGGTCGCAGGTTGTACGCAGAGAAACGAGAGGAAGACGAACCCCCGGTGAATCTTGAGTCAGAACCACGGATCCTGGAAATGCCGCAGAGATCTTTTTCGCCCTAAATGTGCCGTTTCCCCGTTAAATTTATTGAAAGGTCAACGAAGGAGGGGGAGGATTGAACGTACATCGCGAGAGGAGAAAGATGGTCTGCGGTATTTCCTATGATTAGCATCGGGTAGCTGGTGTTCCCAGTAATTGGCCCTGCGGATGTGCCATGAAGATCATTGAATACAACTCATACTTGGGAGGATAATCGAAAGTTCCACTGACCCTTAAAATTATCCGGATGGATCTTCCAACCACTGCTCGTTAAGTTAGCCCCATGTATCATCCCGCTCTCCACGCCCAGAATGTAAGCACGCAAGACACCTACCTGCACGCCAACCGATACGACGCCGGGAAACTCGCAAAACTCGACAACCCGCTGATCCTCTCTGCGTACGCCTTAATCTGCTCTGGACCATCCTCAACAGCAGCCGCATCCGCACACGCAATCACCGCAAACGCTTCATTCACCACAGGCTGCGCGAGTTGGAACACCAAGCCCGCGTCGCCCTCCTCTAGCGCTTTCAGCCCTTGCGCGAGGACAGAGAACGTCGAGTATGGTGTGGAGAGAGCGTTGTACACCGCCCGCAGTAGGGTTACGTGGTTGAGCACGCCATATGCGGGCAGCGAGGGAGAGTATGCGGGCATGGGTTGGAGGAGGAGGGAGGCGGAGAGGGAGGCGAGACGGTCTTTGATTCCGGAAGGTGTGGGCGAGTGGAAGGCGCAACGGTCAGGACCAGCTGCGGCACAGCCGTCGAAGAAGGTCTGGAGGACTTTGTCGGCGTCTAAGACGCCGTTGGCGTAATCCACTTGAACGAGAGTCAGAAGAAGTCAGAGAAATTTGGGGTTGGCGCACTGTTGTAGTAGCCTTCTACATCGAGGATGCCTGTACAAGTAAATACGGTGAGTGGCAGGGTCTTGAACAGGGTAGCCAACTAATGGAATGCATACCATCAATGAGCAAGCGCTCGATTTTATCCTAAGAGACACCTTTGGATTAGCGATTCAATACACAATCAGCGATCCCATACGTACCGGGAACATAGAAGCGAATGTCGATCCTATAACCGATCCATACCTACCCAATTTAAAATTGTGTCAATTTCCTCTACGCAACGTCTTCAGAGCCAATAACTCACGAAATACCCCAGTACAGAAGCTTCTCCTGGCCATGGGCCTGTACAATGCTGAGCATATCCCGAGCTACGTTGTCCGTCGTGACATGATTGAAAATTCCGATATCTCTATCCTTCGCAAGGCGGCCTAGGACTTGCATCCGGGCCCAGCGCTCTGGGACTCCGTCGAAAGAGTCGGGTTCCATGTTAAGCGCAGTGGCGCTGAGGTCAAAGGCGGCACGTTCGGCTTCGGATGTAAAGAAAGAGATCTGTGGGGTGGAATTATGGACGCCTATGCGGTGTGTTGGGATAGAAATTCCAACCCATTAGGCAATGAGCTCAATGGCGGCATGGGCGAAGAGAACGTACCTCGAGGATCGAAGCTGACAAGATCGAATTCGGGACCGATAACAGACGCAATAGTCTTTCCAAGAAGGAGCGTATAGTATACACCACTCCCGCCTGGTCCTCCCGGGTTGAATAGCACGGGCCCGCGGTACGCAGGCGAGCCAGAAAGGCCCAAGGGAGAGGGGATGCGGATAAGGGCGATGGCGGCAGTGCCTGCGCTTGGGTCGGAGTAGTTCAACGGCACCTGGATTCCACAGAGTGTGAAGTAAGATGATTGGATAAGAAAAAGGTGTACTTACGCTAAAGCGAGTGCACTGAGTCGCATCGGAGTAGCAGTTGACCCAGTTGAGATTCACGCTGGGTGTCAGCTAGTGCAGAAACCGTTAAACTTACAGTAAGAAACCATAGGCGCCATAGAAATACGCACAGAATTCCACTCAAAGCCCGAGTCCGTCTGCTTCTGTCCTCTTGCATACGGTACCAGGTTGACAAGATGCGCAAGACCCGCCGCCGTCATCGCGGCGCGGATAAAATTACTGGAAGCCTTCATCGAGTTGGGTGAATATAAGAAAGGAGTTGATAGGAGACGTGATTATGACCCACTTGCACACTTTCGTTGCTTTAAATACCAGTCCGATTGACTCGACCCTTCGTTTAAGACTGCAGGCCGATGACAACGCCGCAGATGCTGAGTCAGGCAAGATAGAGACGACCAGGACTTGCGCAGGTGTGCGCAGGCCCTGCACACTTTTAAAGTACGCTAACGATCTCCATGTATCCATACGAAGCTAAGGCGTTCCTCGAGCTCCAAATCAATGCCACTTTTCCTCTCGTCAAGCTCTAGACTCTAGTTCACCTAGACCAGCGCGATGCCGAGCCATAATTGTCGTATGCGTGTTTCACAGTTGGTCGCATGGAGAGAAGTCTGAATGATCGCGTAACCTACGGGCGGACCGGACCGGCTATACTTAAGGATTATTCTCACGATTCGGATTATGCCGACCCGCAGGGATGTCGGGTTTCTCGGACGCTGGGTCACTTGCACCATAACCGTGAACATGTAGCGTGCAGCCCGACTCCAACGAAGTTCATCGTCGGCAAACTCGCGTCATTTTCCCCTTTCTACATAATTCTGCTCATAGGCCCCTTCACAATGACGACGATAACCATGGAACTGGGCTCTTATGTACGATTCAGATACCAATTCGTCCTGAACGATGTCAAGCGGGTTCTCCTTTCCACGACTCTTATCCTATCCTGCTGGGCAGGACACACACAATATCGCTGAAAACCCTTCGTTGTTCCATTCTTTGGTCTTGTTCACCGTCGCCAAATGGCCAACCTGAACCGCAAGCCAACTCCATACCACTACGAACAAGGCCACCCTCGGCGTCGTGATTCCCTCTCTCTTTCTCTCGCTCCTGGTTCTCGTGAGCCCTCTCCGACCGGACATGCTTCAGGAGTATCCTCTACCACTTTGGGTGCCGGTCATATATCTTCCGCAGTTCCTGTTCCGTCATCAGAACCAACCGCTCGCAACCCACGTATACACCGACAGAGCGGGATCCCATCCATCTCTCGTCCTCGAGGATCGACGATAGGGAGCTCTACCTATGGTCTTAGCTCCAGTCCTAGTCCTGGGTCTGCACAATTGCAAACACCAACGCCTCTCGCCCCCATCTCAACCTCGAAGAAAGCGAGCTACGCCCTCCTGTCAGTTTCTCCCACTCCAGCGCATGCGCACGACCCTGCCGAACGACGGGCAGTCTCCACACCCGACCCACCAGACAGACCCGATTTCTACAAGAACATCAACGAGTACAAGCACACCGGCGCGAGCAGTCCGCCGCTCGTCGACTTTACGCGATTCGAGGACACGTACCGCCCGCCGAGAGAGAGGAGGTTTGAAGGCTTGTTGGCGGTGTCAAGCATGAGGTCTGGGTTCGGATTATCTGAGGGTCTGGGTCTTGGGCCTAGGGAGAGAGGGGAAATGAGGAGCGTCAGTGGAGGAGCGGTGCTCATGGGCAACGATGGTCAACGCGGAGGCGTGGGCCGGCAGGGGTTGAAGTCGGCACTGAAACATCCGGCCCCGAGAGAGGACTTCAGCTTTGGGACGCCGATGCAATCGAGTGGCGCCACGGGCGCCGGAGGGCCGACCATAACTGTATCGGAGCCCCCGCTTCCGGCGTCTGCACGCAAGCCCGACCCACGCCTCGTCCTCGACACATTAGAAGAATTATTTGCTTTGCATGACCAGACAGCAGGGGAGAAGGCGCTGGGGCACCTCGACGCATACGAACTCCTCGGTGCACACCAGCTCGACCTGATGGACTTTGAGGAGCGAGAGAGGATACGCGGGGCGAGGATGACGGGGCAGCAGACGAGCCTCGCTCGCAATAAACGTCCTCTAGGCGAGTTGTCTTTTCCTTTCTTTTTACCACTCTAATCTTTTCTGATCCTTTGATCAGCTGTCCTCGGCGAACCGATCCGTCGTGCCTCTTTGTACGCATCGACGCAGATGGTCCTCGCCGGGCGCGAGCACGAGCTGCCAATCCTAATAGTACACTGCGTCGAGGAGCTCTACCGCACCGGCATCTACCAGCCCTCGCTCTTCCGCACCCTTCCCAACCGCGCGCGCCTACTCGAGCTCATCGGGATATTCGACTCGGAGGTGCAACCGCCGGGCAGCATCATCCGCTCGCGGTCCAAAGGGTCGCGGGCGAACATATCAATGGGGTACTCGTATTCGGGGTCCAGCGACGGTGGTGGTGGGGTGCCGGGCCAGATGATGGGCTTTGGGAGTGCGACGTCCCTCCATCTTGAGTCAACGCCGGATGTATGTGCGTTGCTTGCGACGTACCTCTCTTCGCTCCCTGAGCCTATCTTACCGGCGTCGCTGTTCGAGGCAATATGGGATGCGTGTGCAATTGGGGAAGATGAGGAGAAAGACGGCGACTCGGAGCGCGGGTCCGACACGAACACCCCCATCGGTGGACAGAGCCACCTGCCGGCATCAGCGTCCATGCCTACGTCGGGGTACGCTTTTACCTCCTCGCTGTATGCACAGGCGCAGGGCCATCCGTCTGCGCAGACGTTCGCCCACCCACAGCAGCACCACCCACGCGCCCGAATTTTCAATTCCTCCGCCGATCATGCGCAGATCCTCGCCGCCCAACTCCTTTTGCACCTACTCCCTTCACCGCACTTCAGCCTTCTCATCTACCTCCTCGCGTTCTTCAGCCAGGTCGTTCTCGTGCGCGACGAGAACGGGGTGGGCATCGAGGATGTAGGCCGGATGTTCGGTGCGCGGGTGTTTGGTACGGGAGGTGGCCATGCACGCGCGGAGAACACGAAGGGAAAAGGCAGGTCGAAGGAGAGAGGAAAGAGTCGGGAGGAAGGGAGGCAGAGAGGCGAGGCGATGATGGTATGGTTCTTGCATCGCTGGGGCCTCATATCGGAGACGCTTTTCGAGGTTGTCGAGGAGGCGAAGATGAGGCGCTCGAGGGTGATGAGGAGGGATAGTTTGGGTGGGTATGTTGTCAGAGGACTGTCGCAGGAGCAAGAAGAAGAGAGCGATGAGGAAGATGGCGAAGACGAGGGTGATATGGGACGAGATGAAGGAGGGCAGGAACACGGACTTGAAGACGTCGGAGTTAGACAGCCTGTAGAAGGGCGTGGGCGTCATCCTCCGACGCTGCCCCCGAAGGACCATGTTTCGGCCCTTCAGCAGATCCTTTCCACTTCTCGTTCGCCCCCGCGTGCACGTTCGCCTCTGGCCAAACTCAGCGAAGCAGACCAGGAAAGCATCTCCAACCTTCGCCTCCTCCAGCCTCCGGCTTTACAGAAGAGCCTCAGCGCTTCCGATTCGTCGCGGTACAGCTTCCATACTCCTCTTCCGCGTATCCGGCTGCAAGATGTGGACTTGGAGGAATTGCGGCAGTCGACGCCGCGTGTTAGAGGGAAGAGTAGGGACAGGGAAGGTGCTCCAGGGATGGAGGAGGACGGTTTTGGTAAGTTAATTTTAAGAGTTTAAGGCGAGGCTTGACTTACGCTTTACGCTTGAAGTTCTTTCACCGCGAGTCCCTCCATCGTTCTTCATTTCATCACCCGATACCAACACGCCTACGTCCTCGGCGAGTGCGAGACATGGAGACATCAACCCCGTCGTGCACTCACGGCTGCTCCACATCCGTGAGCGAGACCGAAACCACGCTCCATCCACCTCCACGCCTTCCATCCTGCACGAAAGTGGGCCTACGAGCGCCCGAGATGCACCCACTCAAGACGAATCAAGCGCTACGCTCACTCTTAGCGTACCCAGCGGTGGTCCGCGGCCCGTCCCACGCATCGAGCGGGCAATGTCGCACGACTCTGCGAGTGCCAGTGTTTATTCAATGCCTTCGTGTATGTCCTTCTTTTCTTTGAGAGATCCCGCTTTATCTTACCTTCAATGATACGTGATAGTATCGGAAAGACTCATGGACCTCTCCATGTCCACGCTCATGGACGTCGACACGAGCATGCCCCAACTCTCCATCGGCGACGAGCCTGAGGCCGAACAAGAACACAAGCAGGAGAAGGCGAAAGCGCGGACTGACAATATCGCCCCGCTCGCTGTTCCTCCGAAGTTGGCTCGGCGGCACTCATCTGGTCCTACTCTTAGCCGGATCCCCGCATCTCGTTCTCTGCGAGGTGCGGACTCGAAGGAGAAGGAGAAAAAGGTAGAGAATCTGGAGAAGGCGCTCGCTGCTGCCCAGGCCGAGCTCGCGGAGGAGAGGGCAAAGGTTGGACGGCTGGAAGCTCGGGTTAGGGAGCTGGAGGGCAACTCGGATGTCAATGGGCATTTGGATGAGGACGAGGGCGTCGAATAGTGGGACGGTGGGATGTGGAGTGTGGAGTTGGAATGGACGTGGTGACGATTTTGTGCGTCTTTTGGACTTCCGTGTTAGAACTATATCCGTAACTTGCAATAGGTTTACTTTCCGTATGCGGTCGAGGGGTAGAAATTACTTTACCCTTGCATTTCGAGAACTCGATGAGCGCCTCTTTCCGAGATCAGAATAAATGCTTCCTCCGTGGGTCCCCGAGAAACCCGATAGGCCATACCGATCGCAGCAATTGCCAACGTCTCACAGATTAGTAAGCGTAACACTTAAATTGGTATTGATCTGCGCAGCTGATGGCGCGCCACACAAGTTGTGTGAGGAATGTTATGGCCTACACGGGTATAAGTCGTAAGTAACGGAAGAGATACTGCGCACCCTCTATGCGAATATTACCCAACAACGAGCTCGGATGTTTCTACGTCTGCGGACGGGCGGTGTCGTCGGTGTCGAGTTGTAGGTCAATGGAAGCCGAAGTATTGAACCCGCAGCAGAATGCTCAGTTCCATCCGAAGGCAACGAGAGGTCGACATATGCGAGATTAGTGGTATATAAAGCAGGTTAAAAAGGTGGGAGGGGACAACAATTATCCCGCATATTTTTTTCATTTCTTGAACTTACTCGACTGACTGTAGGCAGCGTGATGAAGAATTTCGGAAACTTGGTTCGCTCCGCGTTAACGGCGGTTGCTCTCGCACAACTCGCTAATCTCATACCGTACGCAAGAGGACAGGGTCAAATAGACTTTGACACTGGAACTCTGTAAGCATTTCCGTGCATATTGACAATAACTGGCTCAACTATTATCTCGCTCTCTTCTAGCTAACACCAAGCGCGAATCTTACCTGGGTCGGATGCTACTCCGAAGCAACCCAATGCACTCGTTTAAGCGTACATACACTCCTAAGCCACTAATATTCGTTCTGACTTCGGTAAATCTAGGTACCTTTAAATTACTCTGACCCGAGCATAGGGACCGCCGCCATCGCCCTCATCCGCATTCCCTCTCCCTTAGGCCTTACCGGAGATGATTCTTACCGCGGGCCCGTGCTGTTCAACCCCGGAGGGCCAGGTGGGAGCGGCGTCGAAGCTGTTCTCTCTCTCGGGGACGCCATTGCATCTGTGCTAGGCCCCGAGTTTGATTTTGTTGGCTTCGATCCTCGAGGTCGGTGATCTTCGTCCTTCGTGATTTCTTCAGTAGATTTAACGCACAGTATGCAGGAGTCAACCACTCGACCCCTCAGATATCGTTCTTCAATTCCGAGCCTGAACGCGCCGCTTTCGATTTTAGCGCCACCGCCCTCAACATGGATGCCAACTCGTTCGACGGACTCCCGGAGCGCTGGGCGCGTATGCAAGTCCTAGGTCGTTTGGCGAAGGATAGGGACACTGGGATCCTAAACCACCTCACGACGCATAACGTAGCGCGAGATATGTTGAGTATCGTGCATGCGCATGGGGAGGAAAAGCTTATGTATTGGGGGATCTCGTGAGTGCTGGTTCATCGCTGACTTTAGTAAAGGACTGACGTAGTTTTGGGACAGGTATGGATGTATCCTGGGATCGACATTTGCCGCTATGTTCCCGGTATGTGTGGAATCACTGGCTCCTTATTGACTTGCTAATTATAGGGCGATTCGTAGGACAAGGTTGAGCGCTTAATTATCGATGGTGCGTCATACGTAAACCAGCTAATGAAACTAGCGCTAACTACATCATTTTTACAACAGGTGTCCCCGATGTGGAAGGGTATTACGATAGTACGTCGAAGGTCCTGCTTCACCCAATAACACGTAGTCCTGAGCGTTTCCCAAGTGGATTTTTCCAACAGCGTCCTGGACGCCGATAAAGCCCTGCAAACATTCTTCGATGGTTGTGCAGCCGCCGGCCCTGATCTGTGCGCTTTCCACTCCCCCACATCCTCCGCCATCAAAAACCGCCTCTCTGCCCTCTCTACCTCCCTTCTGGAGCAGTCAGTCCCAGCCTACTCCCCCTCCCTTCCCGCATATGGCGTGCTGAACTACGTTACACTACAGAGAGCCTTGTTCAGCGCGTTATACGCGCCTTACGAACTGTTCTCGCTCCTGGCACAAGGATTGAAGGCACTAGAGGAGGGAGATGGGAGTCTGGTTTATCAGCTCGCGCAGCCGCTAGCGACCGAGGAAACAGTGGCAATTGGGTGCACGGACGCTGACCTCGTCGAGGATGGGCCGGAAGAGATGAAGGCCTATGCGGAGAGAACCAGCGGAATATCCAGTTTCTCGAACTTAATGGCTTCGTATCGGCTTGTGTGCACGTAAGTCTCTCTGTCAATCTTCGCCGTTGTGACTATGGCACTAATTTGAGTTCTAGTGGGTGGAAAATTCATCCAAATAATTTTAGAGGTGCGTCTCGACGACCTCTCCCCCTCCTTTTCTCACCTCCGACGTAGGACCAATCAGTGGGAACACCGGCTTCCCGATGCTCGTGATTGGGAATACCGCGGACCAGATCACTCCGCTTGCAATGTACGTTTCCGTGTCTTCATATAGGCTCAAGCAGAAATGGCTGAACGCTATGTTATTCTTTCTGTCAGGGCGAAAAAGGTGGCTACCGGATTCCCAGGATCCGTTGTCCTAACTCAAGATTCGCCAGGGGTGCGGCTTCTTCCCTGTTTATACTATAAAACACCATTAACTGTCAATCCAGCACACGTCGTTCGGTGCGCCGTCCGAATGCACTCTGGGCCATGTGCAAAGGTACTTCCAGAATGGCACTCTCCCAGAGGAAGGCGTCGTTTGCAATGTTACGACGCCTCTGTTCCCTCCTCCGTCTAATGCGACCACTCCGGCAAGGAGGTCGGCTAAGAGAGAAGCTAATTCGTTGGCCGATACTGCCCAGAATTTGAGAAATATCGATATGCGGCGCCTTTTCTCGATCTAAAATTGTTTATGGGACTCTACTTACTAGGAATGCAGACAATTAGGATGTTACTAATACTAGTCCTTCATTTTGAATAAAACCAGCTTTGTATTCTACGGACTCTTAAGTGCCATGTTATTAAATTTACTGAACGGGACTCTTAGTGAAAAACCAAAGAGCCTGGAACTCCGGTCACTGCACTGTCGTCACCATTCCCGGGCCGCCGGGTAAGCGCTCAGTCTGAGCACTTATTATGTAATATCAGTCGTTTATTGATGCCCTCTATCGTCGCTGTCATCCTCTCCCCCTTTCATCTGGAGTAGGGAACGACTGCCTCTTACCTCACACGGAACACACCTTCTCTCTTCTCGAAACATAGCTGCGAATACTATCTCAACAGCACGGGTGGAAATTGGAAGACGATGTCAATTCACGAAGGCGATGCACCTATCAGTATCCAGGAGGAACAAAGAGAGGTGAGCGCTATCCCTACTTTTGAGAATAATTCCCGCTCTATTGTGACACTCCGTCTTTGCTCTAGGAATCATTGGGTAGCGAGGCGGACAGAGGAGCTGGCAATCTTCCAACTTCAGCCAATGCTGGGGAAGCTCAAGCACCTAGAACAATGGAAGATGAACAAGAAGGGAGCAGAGACTCTCAAGAAGAGGTCGGTCCTGCCTACACCGTGTTCGTCCTGGGATTTCTAACACTCCTTGTACTCAGCCTGAGATACGTGAGCAAGGAATCCCCGACGGAGATGACCCACTGAAGAAGGATGTGACGGACCACTGGAGCGCCATCCTGAAGCCCCTGCAGGAGAACGACGCAGCGCAATGTGCGATTTGGAAAGGGGAGGTGGACAATATCCTCATTTTCGTGCGTCGCTCCTGAGCACTCCGCGTTCTCGCTGATCTGACGGAACTACCAGGCATCACTCTTCTCAGCCGTCGTCACTGCGTTCGTTGTCGAATCGTACAAGGACCTCAAGCCAGATCCCAACGAAGCTACGGTTGTCCTCCTCACACGCATCGTCGCCCGCCTCGACAACGCCCTCAACGGATCAACCTCTCCTCTTCCAACTGACGAAGCAATCCCATTTTCCCCCTCTTCAATTACAGTCAACGTCTTCTGGGTCCTTAGCCTCGTCGTCAGTCTCACCACGGTGCTCATCGGCATTGTCGCGACCCAGTGGTTGCGCGAGCATCAGCAATATCCGGCACACTTCTCGGTGGAGGAAAAGTTTGGGCTGCTGAATGTGCGGAGGGAGATGTCAGAGAAATGGCGGATGGGCATGTTCTTCGCCTCACTCCCCGTCCTCCTCGAGCTTGCCTTGGTGCTCTTTTTCCTCGGGCTAATCCAGTTCTTCAATGCCCTGGGTGTCAATAAAGTCACCATCCCAACCACCCTCGCAATCTCTCTTGCCCTTTTATTCCTCTTGGTGACAACAGCGATTCCGACACTCCAAATCTTCACCGTTCGTTCCAGAAGGACACAGTTCAATTCAAATGTCCCAACACCATGTCCGTACAAGTCGCCACAAGCAAGATTATTCCGCCTATTTGTCTCGTCGAGACTCGGGAATGTTGTCGCATATTACACTTTCGTTCCTGCATATTCTCTCCTCGTGCGATCGATGGTAGGGGCACAATCCCTTCAGATTTCGTATTGTTTCTCCCAGTACATTTCACGTCCGTTCTCCCGGTACTGGTCTGTCCTTGTTGAGCTTTTCCCAACCAAGGCACTGCAAGGGCTCTGGTCAAAAGTTCAACGAGGTGTATCTGGACTTGTGAATTCTCGTCACGCCTCTCAACGGTCGCCAGCACCTTCCATCCAGTACTTTACAGTGAATTCATATTACAACCTTTTTGATGCTCGATCTTGGACCGAACTTGACATGGAATGGGTTTCACTGCGAAGGCTCTACTACAGTCAGGAAATTCTCCCCAACACCAGATTCTTGAGTCCAGGATGTTTCGACAGGGACATGATTTATGGTCCCCCCTATGAGCACCTTCACGGCATCCAACATTTTTGCGGCCAATATCAACAATATCTAGACCTCCTCTATTCTGCAGATCAATGTTTCCTGGACCGCATCTTGATCCCAAACCCTGGCAAAAGCTCGTTCTACAAGGAGGAGTACTATGAGGCCCTCATATGTGTGCTGCGCAAACCCGGCACTTTGATCATTTCAGACATCATCCCAGGCCAGTTTTACGAAAAGTCCAATCTCATATGTGATGATTTGCACCTCCTATTCCTCATGCGTTTCCTGGATATTAGCTTCATGAAGAAGGAGCTGACGCGGCAAGTTCTGGATGCCTTCTTTAATGCCATCATAGCCGGCCAAGTGGACAACCCCTTGCCCCTCAATAAATATTTCCCCTACCCTTACACAATGACATTATGTGAACAGCTCTGTGAAGAGTTACGTTCTGCGAACCCTGGTACGTGATCTCCTGAAATCAAAAGTTCTAAGCATTGAAAAGCTGGTTTAAGAGGAAAACACTACAAGGATCAGATGTTTGGACTCCTTTTTCGAAGATATTTCGCAAGGGAGGATAGACTGGACACTCCATCACATCTTTGCTGATCAGTTGGAAGTCGTCATGGGTCAATACCTCCGCCTGCGCCTCCACTCGACAACAAGTAATGTGCGAGAAAGGATTGATAGAGCAGCACAAGCCCTCAATGCCACACTCCGAAATCGCATACATTCAGAGGACCCCGAGGTGGACCACAACGTGCAGGCACATGCCTACCTCACTGCTTGGGTGATCATCCGAGTCTACCCTGACTGCTTGGGCGATCGTCCACCAGAAGGTGTAATAAAGCTCGCGAAAACTGTCTACAAGATGAGCCATGACATGCGAGCCAATCCTACCATACCGCTCTACCGCTACATCCTCAAAGTGGCAGGGCAGATTTGGGATGTGACCGAGGAGCGCGCCTTGGGAAGAATTGGTGAATTTGGTTTTTGGTGGGATGAGTGGCGTAGACTGTATTCACCGGATACTGTGGAGCAAGGTAGGCAACCCAGTTCACTGTTCCTCCTGAGGTTTATTAATCATCATAATGATGTTCCAGGGTCCGTGCTAGGTCAGGATACAAGCTTCCAAATCCATAATTCACCCAGTACATCAATCAGTCCCCGAGCACCTCACCTCAGCACGATTCTCGGAGCACTGGGATCGCGCGATTATATTATTGAAGAGGAACAAGGACGTGAGGACATAAATATGGACTCCATAGTGGTCGCACCACGAGAAGAATGACGAGATTCAAGGAGCTAGAGCGGGAGCTGAAAAGGGTGGGTGATGACTATGTGGAAATTGGGATTTGTTCTCTGACCTGAAGGAATATCACTAGACATCTTCCGCCCCAGCCCCCGCCTCGTCAGCACCCCAAATGTTGATACCCCAAATGTTGATCCCGAGTTGCAGAAGAAGGACGAGTTTTCAAATCCCAGAGAAGAATGGCTTGAATACAGTAAATTAGAATGAAAATAACCCAATGAACACGAGAGGACTAGAATTGAAGAACACTTAAATCCTGGAAGTCCGATGCTCGTTTATCATCTGAAGTTCTGAATGTGCAAGACTTGCATAGCCCTCTTCGACTGCGCCAGCCCCGGATTTCTCGTAGCAGCGGCCGATTTCATACTGCGAACCCCAAATACCTCGCCCTCGTTTTGAAGCATGAACGAAGCCTCGTCGACCGGACTGTGATAACGGCCACAATCAGCTATACGCGCAAAATTAAGCTCATCGCACTTACACGTCCAGCCACCCAACCATCTTCCTCAAAAAGTCCTCCCAAAAGTCTATGCGAGCGCCGTCAGGTCGCGTAGCAGATTATCTGATACGGGGAAAAAAGAGGGAGCATACGAGCGTACCAGAACAGTAGAACAGGGCTACCTGACATCTTCTGAGGTTACGGTTATTTATGGAGCCATTGTATCTCTCTTTTCTAGGCCGCGCGAGGATGAGGCGCTGAATATATGCGTCGGTGAGTGTTGTTCGCAGTCCGTAAAGCTCGAGTGAGGATGCTTACTGTTGCTCTCACTCGTTCTGAATGCAAGATGAGGGAAACACCACAGAATAGATGGTCTTGGAACAGCGCGAGTAGACCGCTGGGGAATATCGAGTAGGGAGGCGAAGCCGGTCGGATCCTGGACCAGGGCAAGAGAGTCAACAATCTCGGGCCGTTAACCGGCTTGCATTGTCTTATCACACGTACATCCGGCTGAAAAGAACCAGTATGGGTACGTAACCACGAGCAGGAACAGGAAAGCGGGTCGACCTCAGGCTGGAGGTGGAAGTAGCGCAGAGCAAGTCGAGCATATCGCTCTCAGCGATTGCGAAAGCACCATGCACATCCACGAAGCCGCAATCAGGAAATTATTATGCTCCATGGCGGTCAGACCAGACAACAACACAGGTGCGTATGCCGGGACGTACACGAAGCAACAGACATAAGCCATCGTGGATGTGGATGGATGAGCGAATCGGCGAAGCAGGGCCCCTCAAAGTCAAGAGGGTGAGCTCCGAGCTCGAGGATATCAATGAGGCTCATCAGAGACGAGATATTGACAAGTGATTCGTTCTGTATATACGCAACAGCGTTAAAGAACACCAGTAACGGTAAAGCACGAACAGTGCGTAATGATTCCCTATGGCACTGGGAGAGACACAGCCCGCCGCCATATGGCTCAAGAGAATGGTTGGCCTATAATCGAGCAGGGTGAGTGGGGGTGAGGTATGTCGAGATGGAGGTGGTGAAAGTGGTGGTGGACTGTAGAGTATGGGGTGATGGTTGAGAGCAAGAGCGACTTGGGCGTCGGAGGGCCAACTCCCGGAGATATCGGCGAGATCTTCCAAAATCAAAACTCCGGATCCCGGTTCCGAAGTTGGCCGGTGCTTAGCTCTTTTTCGCTCTCCTCCTCCGTCTACACACATATTGTACCTGGCATGGGCAAACGACCCATGTACATTTTTTGATCAATACGGGCTAGAAAACTCTGTCTCGCACCCCAAAGCATCGAACATACGTCCACCACTGAAGGTAAGGTTGATTTGTATCCCCTCCATGGCTGCAGCTCATTGGTCATTCTTCTTTCCTAACCTCCAGGACCTGTGCTTGTTCCTCCGTCTACCATCACCCTCGAAAGTCATGCCTGTTCTTTCGAAGGCTTCGCTACTTGGGTCAATCACAGAACGCACGATGACACAATTGCGCAGGGTGTCAATGTGGGAGCTTTTCGCTGTCGACGTTCTTCGGTATGTTACTCGTTCTTTTGGGCACACAAGTCGTTCTGATGAACCCTCTGGCGACGCAGATAGGAGACGAGGAGGATAAATGATCTACCAAGTAACGTCCCGATTGCAGTGTTACTCTTTCCGCTGAGAGTTCTTGCCCGCTATTTCATGCAAGTATTCCATGCCTTTGAGTCACCGTATCCGCTGACGACGTCAACAGACCGTGCGCGTGTATCATGATCTCCCAACACCGCGTTTAACGTTGCGTATTCAAGAAACGCATCCTGGAAGAAAGACACTGCGAGCGATGAATGAAAAGGCAGCCTAGACACGTCGACTGGCTCCTCCAAGACTCCAATGATTCCACCCCCATGCTCGGCCACGACCCCGATGACGACACAGTCTCAACCATTTATCGTCACCCTCGTCGACGAAGTCCTCTAAAGAGGGAGAGACTTGGGGGACTTCTGGACGAGAGGCCATCGGATGGATAGTGCCGCTAGGCATGTGCTTTCATTTCGTTTTACAGACATCTTCCGGCGTAGACTCTTCCCCCTCCTCTTTCTCTTGCTCATCTCTCGCTCCTTCGTGTGTTGCGCCACATAAAGCCTTACCTATCTTTCTTCTGCCTCTCTCACTTGGAGACATCTCGTCCCCCTCCCATGTTCTACTCCTCTCCTTTCTCCTCAATCTGCCCCGCCCCTCATCTCCTCCTTATCGCTATTTACCCCTCCGACAGTCTTACCGCCTCCCATACCCATACCTGTGCCGCTTCTTCCGCCGCTCCTCTTGCAGTCTCACTGCTTACCGATCTCCCACCTCACTCTCCACTCCTCGACTCCTGCCAGACATCTCCTTCACCTTACGGTTCCGTTCCTCGTCCACCGACTGTCTCTGGAGATAAAGCCCGACAACGACACATCAAGATTCCGCGCGGGCATCCAGGCACGCGTTTACGATTCCTATAAGTGCGAATTTCGGCCGTTCACACTTGGAGAACGTGAAGGGAGTAGGAGGACGGGGGAAGAGAGAAGAATCCGGAGGAACGCAGAGGGGCGAGGCGACGATGGTATAATTCCCCCATCGGCGTCGGCTCTTCTCTTAGATGTCGTCGAGGAGATGATAGGAGGTGATGAGAAGGGATAGCTCGGGTGGCTACGTTGTCAGAGGGTTGTCGCAGGAGCAAGATGCGGAGGAGAGCAACGATGAAGATGAGGACGAGGATAATGTGGGACGAGATGAAGAAAAGATCGTGAAGAAGCCAGAGGCCAAAGGCGATATCAGACTGCCTGTAGATGAACATGAACATAACCCGCCGTCCAAGTTCCATGTTTCGACGCTTCAACAGATCCTTTCTGCTACTCGTTCGCCTCCGGCCAAACTCAGCTAAGCAGATGAGGAAAGCATCTCCAACCTTCGCCTTCTCCAGCCTCAACCTCAGGGCGTCGGATTCGCCGTGGTACAGCTTCCATACCCCCACTTCCACGCATCCGGTCGCAAAATGTGGACTTGGAGGAACTTCGACGGTCGATTCCGCGTGTGAAGGGCAAGAGCAGGACACAGGAGGTGGTCTGGGGATGGACGAACAAGGTATTGGTATGTGAACCTTTAATTTGAGCTCAGAGGGAAGGTTTACTTTACTTATGCTTTACACTTAAAGTTCTTACACCTTGAACGAATTGTTCAATCGTTCTTCCTTTCGTCGCCCGATACCAACACGCCCTCGCCGAATGCCAGGCATGGAGACATCAACCCCATCATACGCTTGAGGCACCTGTATCTCCGCGAGAACTCGATGAGCGTTTCCTACCAAGCAGGTCGCGTTGAGAATAAAACTTTGCGGCTTTGGATCCCTCGAGAAAGAAATACGATAGGTCACATCGATGGCACCAATTGCTGCCAAGCGGCTCACAGATTAGTAAGTGCAATACCAAAATTGGTATTGATCTGCGCAGCTGATGGCGCGCCACACGCGTAGTACGAGGAGTGTTATAGCCTATACGGGTATAATTAATACCTGAAGAGATGCTGCGCCCCGCCCATCTGGAGACGATGCCCAAACCACGGGCTCGGCTGTCTCTACTTCTGCGGAACGGGCGGTGTAGTTGCTGTTGGTTCGTAGGTCAGTGGACGCCGCGAAGTCCGTAGGCCAAGAGTCCGGAAGAGCTTGCCTTGCGGGATGAGTCTCCCTGATGTGTCGAAACTCATTCACGAGGAACATATGCATGTCGATATCCACACTTTTGTCTTTTTCCAGGTCAAGGAGGCGGGTGCGGCTTCTGCGAATGGATGATATTTCCTTGTTGAGCGTCGCTGTGAGATGGGATTCGGGGCTGCAGGCGATGAAGGGTCGGAAGGGGTAGGGCACATCGCGCACGGCAGCGGTCGTTGCATTCGCCTAGAATATCTATGGCGATCAAGCAAGGCCTCTTGGTACCATTGTCCCGGGGAAATCGAAGTAAGTAGTCCTTGAAATGCTTGACGAACAAATGGTGCATGATACCCGCACGCGAGAGCTGGAAGATTCTGGGATCGTCCTCGATCTCCCGTAGCACGAGATAACGAAGCCACGGGAAGACCTGGACAAGGTGGTAAACAATCGTTGGAATCACTGTGTCCTGTCGCTCCGTTCCGTGCTCACGGCCGTCCTCGACAGAAAGAAGGCTGCTCCAAGATAGCCGACACGTTGACACCGTTCCGAGATGGATTGCTCGAGCGCTGACTTGCCCGCACCCCCCGATCCATGGAGCACGAGCATGGATCCGCTCTTGTCGTCGACACTGACGATCCAATCCATGATGTACTTTGTGAGGGCTACGCGCGTGTCTTCTGCGCACCAGGGAGGGTCGAATCGATTATTCGAGTCTAATTGCGCGCCCAGACGGCAGTGTTCCAGCAGCATCTCCTGGGTCCGGAGGTATTATTTAAAAAGTCATGGGATCGTGCCGACAAAGGCCTGTCCGACTTCCCAAAGTGCGCCTCTGCACACTGACTTGGCAGGTGACTTGGCTTTACCGACGCATTCCAGGATTCTAGCGAGGATTTTAGAAGGAGAAGCTTTGACTTTTAACAAAGATATGCCTTGAATCCTGCCGAATAAAACCCGGACCGTAAACGGACCGTAGATAGAGGAACAGAAGTTGACTTGTCAAACGCACTGATGGTCTGTGAAGCGCCAAAGCCAGCCTATGGGCAGAGACCGCCAGCCGTTAGATGGTGATCTAATTTTCAGACGCTTCGCGATGCCGATAACGTTGACGTATTCATATTGTATCTCAGGTAACGGTGCACGTAGCGGATTAACCAGGGTTCCCCCGCCAAGATTACAAGTCTTGAGTACCATAGTAGGTGTTGTTCTCTTATGTGGAGGAAAAAAGCGGAATCCTGAGTATCACCAAAGCCGCTCTGCCGAGCGAGCTGGTCTATTCTAAGACGTAGGATATGGAACATCTGAATGAGATTAGATGAGATTAGGGCCTCTTCTTCATTGCAGGGGTGTGACGAGCGACCGAAGGTCAGTTTATGGTACCTTTCCAAGTTCTGCAACAATACTTACAAGAATTGGAAAATTGAATGTTTTGGTAGGTTAGAAACTACAGCATAAGGACTCCTTTTTTTTGCTATGCATTGCAGCGGCTGCACCGAAAAAGTTCGCTTGTACCTTCGGATTTCAGAAGGCGCTTCTGTCCTTCCTTCACCAATTCCAATCCATGCTTCTTTACTCCAAAGGCCCCAAAATGATTCCAGTGTAGCCATGGGGCCACTAACGGTGATGAATATGTGGGCAGATAGAAGCAAGATGGAAGGGTTTTGTACCGTCACGCGCTGAACAGAGCGCATATAAATGAGATGCACAATGGGGCCGGCTACGTGGAAGTTGCCTCTTCTTTGGACAACCCCCTTCCTTTGTTGTGCCCCTCTCACCGTTAGACAACAAGCTTTACAAATGCGCCTGTCTCTGGTCTACCTGGGATTTGTATCAGTGGCTCTTGCTGCTCGTCCTTTTTTGAATGAGCCCGACACTGCGATCGAGGATGACTTTGGTGATCTCCCAGCAGGCGTTCTTCCTGACCTATCCAAGATCGTCGGCCTGCCCGATTTTAATTGGGCTGCCAGACGATACATGAACATCTCTGCCTACACGTTCTACCAAACTGGCTCCGCTGGAGAATGGTCTTACAGGAACAACTTGGAGGTCTTCAACCGCTTCTGCTTTAGGCCATGAGTTATGACGGATATCACCAACATAGAGTCGACGCTGTCGTATGTACCCAGTTATCTCTTCTCTTTCTCGGTCGCTGACTGGGGTTTCAGGACCACAATTCTGGGACATAACTTTTCAGTGCCATCTTACATTAGCCCATGCTCCCGGGGTGGGCTCACTCATCCTGAAGCTGAGCGGGGCTTGGTACAGGGGGCTGCCGCAGAGAACATCCTATATGTGGTGAGTTGCAACGGCTTGGTGCGATAAATATTTACACTTACTACTTGTCGTATTCGACAGCCTTCACTATTTGCAACTCTCTCCATTGAAGACATCGCTGCAGCCAAGAACACAAGCCAAGTTATATTCCAGCAAGTATGTGAATGTTATTGCCCATTTGAATTAAGCCCGGCGTTAACGTAATTTTTGCACAACAGGTATACCTAGATTCAAACGACACTGCGACCCAACTCCTCTTCAATCGTATTGAGAGGTCAGGTGCAAAGGCTATTGTGTACACCGTGGATGCTCCAGCGGATGGAAATAGACATCGTGCTGCCCATTTCGGCGCCAATTCTAAGCAAGCTGAATTGTTCTCTCGGATACTGTTCTGTCTGTGCTGACATTGCTTCACAGCCTTCATGAAGAATTGGCGTATACTCTCATCACCGTAAGCCTCGCTGCTTACATTGGATGCTTCCTCGGACGTCAGATACTGACATCACTTACATAGTGGGACATCTACAAGCAGCTACAAACCATGACTATGCTTCCAATCATCATCAAGGGTATAGGGTCTGTCGAAGACGCACACGCAGCCGTCGCTGCTGGCGCACCTGGTATAATTCTGTCAAACCACGGCGGACAGCAGCTGGATGGCAGCTCATCATCGCTGGAGATCGCGCTAGAGATTCACAAGGAAGCCCTGGAGGTGTTCACACAGACCGAGGTGTTCGCCGACGGTGGCGTGCGCTATGGCGCCAACGTCCTCAAGCTGCTGGCATTGGGCGTACGCGCTGTCAGTATCGGCCAGCCCTTCATATTCTCCAATGTGTATGGCAAGGATGGTGTGGTGCGCGCGATTCAGTTGTTGAAGTGCGAGATTGCGGGCGACGCTGCAAATTTGGGATTGGGTGATTTAAAGAAGATAGATGCATCTTACATTAGTGACCCCGATTTTTTGTGTCAAAATATGCAAAACTAACTTACGTGTGCAGGTGAAGTGGACGCCAAACCACTGGTACGGCTAAAGGCCACAAAGCAGATTGAACATATCTTGCGATATGGTGTACACCAGCCTGGTTTGTAGCATGGAGGATGTTTGGACCGATGTAGGCGAGAAAGAGAAGTCGGTTGAAAAATGAACAATGTTTTGTCTCCTTCTCTGATTCTAGATTAATAAACCCAGAAACGGCCTGAAAGACGTTGTGCGAATATAAGAGAAAGATCATTGTTGTCGAGTTCAAGGATTATTAGAGGCTATGCGCAAAGCCAGCTGGAGCCAGTGCTGGCTCAAAAACGTTGCACTGTGTTGTGTAGCCAGTAGCAGCCAATTAGTGACTATGCTTTTAACTTAGTCTTATGTAGTACCATGTATGTCTGGATGCCAGGGGAGTTCAATGACAATGCAAGTAGCTCATTGTATTCATCCGTGCAGCTACGACAATCTCCGGAAACTAACCTATATATTATGACAGTCTGTACTGGACAAAAATCAAAATCATATTTTTTTTCAGGCCCATCCGAGGTTTTCTTCAGTTTTCTTAGGTTTTCTTTGGGAAAACCTGGTATTCTTTGGGAAAACCTGGTATTCTTTAGGAGTTCTTGAGATTCCTTGGGATTCTATAAGAATCCTTAAGAACAGGCCATTTTTTTTTGCAGTTGGCCTTCTTGAAGAATCTCAAGGATTCTAAAAGACAAAAGAATATTTAGTATTCCTTAAGAATTCTTTCTAATGGCCGTTTCCCCCTCAAAAATTCGATCAAGTCCCCTGTAAAGAATCTTAGAGATTCTTCAGGATTCTTTAATCATGTCCATTTTTATTTTGTCGCAAGATCCATTTTCTTTTCGACCCAATGCACCTCCTTCTTGCAGATTCCTTAAGAATTATTTGTTAGACCATAACCATACTGTATAGTTCATGATATGTACATGGCGTCTAATACTACACATGTGCCTCTACATGTGTGGCAAGCCACCCTGGTGTCAAGGGTGATCAATCCACCCAGAAATCTGAAGTAAAACAGTAGGGACAGATGTGGAGGCGCTGGGTCATTTCCAGAAGGCAAAGAAGCTTCAGGGGGGGGGGATAGGCTCAGACAAATGAAAAATGAGTGAGTGAGAGGAGCGTCAGCGCTCATCAAGAATACAGGATTGAGGAGCAAGGGGTTTAACCAGCTGGAGTCCACCATGCAGCTGCCATGAGCTATCAAGGAACGCCAATGTTCAAGAAAAGCAAAAAGAAACAGCATGGCGATTGCGCTCTATTGTGTCGTCCCGCCAAACGGCAGTGAAGCGCCTTTGCGTGTCTTGCAGCAAAGTCCAAAGCTGTCATGTACTTGTCAGTGGGTCGTAGGCGGGAGGCGAGAGTCTGGCACACACACACCTAAAAGATCTTGTAGTCCTCCCTCTTAATGTCACCAAAAACACTTTTTTCCACCGTCCTCCCTTCTCCTTCCAGCTCGGCTGATAAGTCGCAGGTGTGTTGATCCCTTCAGGGAACGCATGGATGCCACCGAGGTATGGCTTGACTCCATGAGCCGCGAAGACCCTTGCAGTGAGGTGAGGTGTGTGGCAAGTATCCAACTTTTCTGCCAGCGCCCTGAGACCGACTTGTCGTTAGAACCAGGAGGAGAAGGAAGCTAAACGCATGCTCATCTGGTCAGGACGACGATGACCCAGTTTCCTTGTAAGCACCTTCCTCTCCGCATCGCTTGGAGGACTGAGTCTTGCTTCAGAGCAACCTTCAGTGCAGCTTTGGCTGCACCAGGCTCCCAATGTACATGCCCTTCTTTGTTCTTTCTGGATGTCTCGTTCTTTCTGACATACAACTCGGTGGCAACAATTTCCTTCTCCATAGTCAATGATGTGTGGGTGGTGGAGCATGTTGATGAGGTTTGGGGAGAAGGGAAAGTGTGTTAGCTGAGTCTGGCCAAACGAATGAAAATGAAGGTTGTGCCATCAGCTGCATAGTTCACCTATGTAGCCATGATTTCACGCCCTATCAAAAATCACCACTTGCTGTCATGTGGTAAGTTCCTTCTGTCTCGTTTCTTGTGGTTCTGACCCCATTCCTCAGCTTGTCGAAACACCGTTGCAGAGAATGCAAGGGTCTTGTACGTCCGGCGCTCCTTCTGCCTCACTTCTCATGGTGCTAACTCGACTTTTCTTGTGGTTCTGACCCCATTCTCAGCTCGTCGAAACACCATATTGAAGAATTCAAGGGTGACCAGGGGTGTGGAATTGCTGCCATTGGAGATGTTCAGGGTAGTCATCCGAGGTATTGAGGGCTGAGAGACACGGCGAGAGGCTTGTAAATGACGGCAAGTACCTTCTCTGAGACGCCGCTATGAGCCTGCTCCTCACCTTTTCCGCCCAGATCACATATCCTTGCCCGCCGAAAGCCCTTGCCCATCGTTCTCGAGTGCCCAGGCCCATAACACATCCCCATCAACTTTGTCTTGACCATACTCTTCATAGCCTGTTCCTGACACATAACCTTTGAGTTTGATGTGTTAACGACCCCGCATTTGCTCTCGCCAATACGCTGCAGACATTCCCCTTCAGGGAATGATGTCCTGAGCCCAAGACAATCCTTGTAGCATCTGCACCTTCACACCTCAAAATATAGGACATTCCATCGTTTGGATTGATCTCCCCATTCTGAAGACCATGCCCTGCGATAGACCCTCTCAATTGAGAACCTAGAAGTCTGCTCAGTTTTTACCCCAACTCTGGCCAATAAGCAAAAGGATGACTCACCATTCTGTCCTGTTCTTGCCTCTCGCTCGACATAGGCCTCTCAACCCCTTGGGGCACTGCATCTGACAGAGAGAAAGGCAGACATTGCCAATTCGTGTAATAAAACATTAGCTGCAGATACATTTACGACCTTTTCGCTCTCTTTGCAGGCCTCTCGACATTGTCATCGTCAGCCGCATCCCCAGCCGTTGTTGTCATCGTCACTGAACCTGTTCTTCCTGCCCGTGCCTTAACATTTCTTGTGTCAAATTCAGTGGTCCCTGCTTCGGCGAACCCTCTCATTTCTACAGACTTGTCAGAGCTCAACGATTACAAATCAGGAGATAATGGATACCGAGAAGGCCGTCAAGGACGCCAATGGGTCTCGAAATAGTGAATCGAGACAGATCACCCAAAAGAAGACTATCTGTCTCGATCTCGCTCGGAATCGTGTTCGATTGCCACATCTCAAAGGCCTTCATGTCCAACTGGAGGGTGTTCTTGATCTGTTCTCGGAGATTCACCACGGTACATCTTGGGGCCCCACTGTATGCCTGCATCACAGCTTGTGCTTTGTAGTTGAGAATACTGTGGCTCTGGTGGGCCAGAAACAGTGCTGGAAGATCCACAGCCTGTGAACTTAAGGTCACTGTGAGATACACATGTATCCAATAAAAGACATCCAATGCCCTCCCACGAGCATAATGCATGTGCTTCCTCTCATCGGGAGGAATATTGTTCACGTCCCACATTTCTTGCAACAGCCTCTGTGCCAGGGATGCCAGTCAGTCCTCGGTTTCATTGGGTGCGCTGTATGTTCGATGGTCCAGGACGTTGCCCAGAATGTTCAGGTTGCAGACGCAGAGCAAGTCAACCAAGCCTTCAATGGTATCAATGTCAGGTACGTGCTCTTGCGAACAGACTTGCCCCATAGTCAGGTAGATTGGCCAATTCACAGGGGAATTACTCACAGGCCTCATCGAACACCTCTCCTCTGACTATTGCCTGATGATAAAATTCCATCATTCGGTGCAACAGAAGCCTGGAGGGTGTGTGCAACATGTTGGTAATGTATGTCCCTATAACAAAGCTGTGTATCAAACTTGCGACAGTGTCTTGCATTGTCGAAGTCACATAGAAGTGCCCGCCGTGGCATATGCTATGTTCTGGGGTGAACACAGCATGGGCAACATTTGCATGCATGATCCTGCGGAGATGACATGAGGCACAAGAGGACCTTATTTCACCGAAATGAAATCCTACAGCCAGGTGTTTGGTGGCAGGAGGACGGCCTCGAGATCCCAGATCCTATTCCCAATCTCTAAATCGGCCAGACACTTGGGGAGAGGTCCATCCAGATCCCCCGCATTCGGCTGTTCTAGCTCAAAATCTGGCTGCAAGAACCTTTCGATCATGGCACTCATGTCTCTGGAACTAACCCCAAAGATCCAGAGCTTTGAACCGCACAGGACATCAATAAGGGTGTTGAAACTGTCGCTGTCAATGTGCCAATAGGTCAATGCCCATGCCAATGCAGCCAGCCCCAGCGTATGTCTTTGACAGGTATGGGGGTCTTGTCGAGCGGATGATCCGTAGCAAACCAAGCCGCCATATCACTGGAGAACACCTCACAAAGTGACTGGAGTGACTGAGCAAATGGAAAATCCAGCGCGTTCAAAACCTTGCCTTCCTGGTCCTGCGAGGCTTCCAAAAGCTGTTCAAGTGTGCCATTTCAAAGATGGATGTTTGGGTCATCCTGGACCTCGATAGAATAATCTGATGCCACCAGGTCAATTGGGCACTTGAGAGACTCAATCGGCGCACCTTGGATGGAGATTGTATTCTTGAAAGACTGCTGCAAAGTCTGCAGCCCTTTCTTGTTGAAAGAGACCTTCTTGAATGGCATTTTGGTGATGGCGATCACATCCTTATGGCACAGTATCTCAAGAATGTCCCGGCTGGACTTGGCCCTGTACGTTTCAAATGTCATGACCTCCAACACCGATTCCTGAGGCTGCTTCATGTGCTTTGGACCACCGTCTACATAATTTGCTTCTATCTTGTCAAAGAAGAACTCAACAAGGGCCAGCTCTCTCCCAAACTATGTTGCATGTTTGGTATCTTCTTTGGCAGTTCAAACACGGACTTACGTGCAAGCGTGGCAGCAGATCATATGCCTCCCCATGTGGGCCGTAGAAGGTGCGTGGTTGCGCAGATTCCAGCTTCTTTACACTAGTCTGTCTTGACCCTTTACACAGCAACAGAAATTGCCTACCTTGGGCGCTGTGACGCCTGAAGTTGTCAGGTCCAGAGAAGCCTCCACCTCCTAATGAAATGTTGAGATTAGGAAATCCTCGGTGCTGCATGTCACACACCCTCAAAGGTCAGGTAATCATGTCGTAAGCATCCCAGCTATCCACATTGATAGGATGGTCTGCATCTCGGCCTTCTGAAATCGCTCGCGGGACTTCCACAGGAGCGCTGCTCTGTTCGTTTCTTCTGGTGCCTGCCAGCTTTTTTCTGTTCTTCAGCTTACCTTTTTTTGGGGTCAGGTGAAGTGGCTTCCTAGGTGGAGGAGGTTTGTTTGTTTGTTTCCCCTTGCCTGAAGCACTGCATAGTTGCCTAGTTGAGGTTCCAATGTTGTTGTTCATACCATCCACCTTCATTAATTCCAAAGCAGCATCTTGCTGACCGTGGGTATCGGTGGGTAAAAGAATGAAGCAAACTCTCTTCTCTAGCGTGTTGGTCAATGCTCCCACGTTCTCAGCATAGCCGGTGTCAAGACCAGGCATTTTCACATCTTTACATGGTCCATTGTCGGCCTCCACGTCATCGTCTATCTCAGAGTCATCGCTTGTGAGGTCGCTTGTGAGATCACTAGAGAGAGATCTCTGACTACTGGTCCGTGTGCCCCTCCCTCTTGGCCCGGGTAGACCATCCTCGTCCTTGCTTGAACCCTCGCCGGATACCTCGCTCTCGTCGTCGCCGGTCAGGTCGATGAGGAGGGATGGCTCCTGCTGCTCATTATAAGCTAGTGTTGCAGAGGCCTCAGCTATTGGAGGGCCTGCAGCAGTCACTTTTCGCATCGTGATTGCGTTGAACGAGCGATCAATGTCGCCCCCATCTTGGTCTGCTGCCAGGATTCTCGTGTCCCATTGTTCGACCATGACTGGGTGCAAAAGAGCTTGCGTCGAGCCGTGCATAGCCACAGGGGGGCTGCTCAGATCAGTCGTCATCCCGTCCTTGTCCGGTGCCTGAGACGTTATAAGTGGGGATGTTGGGGGTGCCATACTCGAGCCAGATGGAGCTGGAGAATTCGACAAGGTAGATGCAACATTCTGGGAAGTGTGCAATGGCGCCGCAGGCTCAAACCCTTCTTGGATCACCACCGCTGCTACCGCCTGTGAGATTGACAAAAGCGGGAGTGCTGGTGCGATCTGCAGAGTCCTTGAACCGGCGAGTGGCTGAGAGACTTCCTGGATTGTGCCCTGTTCAATCCTAGGCAGTTGGAACCCGGTCTCTGAGGTCCAAGGCTGAGTGTTCAGACAGACACAATGGAGGCCAAAGAACTCACCCAACTGGAAAAACGACTTCGTCTTTTTGTCACATGTCTCGAGCGCCCCCCATGGCAATCAACTCTTGAAGAGATCTTTAATCTCCTTGATGGGATTTGTCTGGCATTGGCCACAGTTTCCTCGATCGCCCCTTCAACCGTGAGGAGCGTAGGAGTCTTCATGTTCCCTTGGGCAGCCGAATACTAGCGGAAGACCAACATTGCACTTGTTCACCGGTCGAGACAAAATGATCACATACCTCCAGGACTGTATCACAGGTGAACACCTGATTTGCCAACTGCGTCTCATTGAGGAGGAACAGGTGAGAGATAAGCAAGGCCAGGTGCAGCAGTGAGCGCAACGCATAGCCTTTGGTAGGGCTGCTGCCTTCCTGAATAGCGAGGAGCTCCTGCTTGAAGACACAATCATCAGGAAGGCTCTCTGGGTTGTCCGGAATGTCTGGCAATTCTTCGGGCTGGAACTTATTGCCTTTGAGGAATGCCAAGTGAAGGGCCGCGACAAGAAAATTCATGATGATTTTTGAGGTGTTGATATTTCTCTTGGTTCGGTGGATGAACATGACCAACATCAAAGGGCCTGCCTTTGCTTCCAACTCAGGTGTCTCGTCCAGACTGTCGAACACCATGCGCAGCTCGAATAAATGGCCAACCCAATTCGAAAGCTTGTTGTATCCCTGCCATCGTTGATATATCACATCTCACACAGGCCACATTGTAAGACTTACTTTCAGCATCTTATTAGGGCGCATGGAGCATGGTACAATGCCCGCACTCGGTGCATTGCCTTTGGGAGTGAGGTGTCGCTCAAACAAACGATAGCCCAGGAACAGTGACATTATCATGTGTGTTTGAGGACCTACTCTGCTCCACAACTGATATCTCAGCAGAACCTGGGCTGGCCACCTTGATTCCGAGTACGCCTTGAAGGCGGAAAGTCGACTCCGCAGTGCCGCACCACCCAAGCAGCTTGTTCTCATACCCCATGAGACACTCTACGTAGTTCTGCGAATGTTGTCATCTCATGCTCGCTAGGTGCTATCACATACTCACCTTCAGTTCACTTTCAGGAGGTATCAATGTGGCTAAATTGTCTACAGTCGTGATCTCCCTCGAGAACCACGGCCATCTGGAGATCATAGGGGACACGGCGCGTTTCGGTCGCTGCATATCTGGTACCACCTATAATGAGCCCCTGGACCTTTGAACCAGTCTTGACTCACCACTTCAAGTATGCCTTAAATATTTTGTGTTTTAATCTATATAAACAGACTACTGTACTTCTATGAGAAGGCCAAAGGTGAACAGTGCAATTATTCTCGGAGCCATCGTGCTGGCAGTTTAGGGCCGGACCGGGTGGCTTACCAAACAGTGCATGATTGGTTTACCAGCCAATCAGTCATGCACGCAACTGGTCATGCACGGCCCCAGTCCGGCCCTAAACCTACCAGGTCCAACCAGAATGACAGTTCCAAATGAACACCTTCCCCTGCCACCTAAACCTACCAGGTCCAACCAGAATGACGGTTCCGAATGAACACCTTCCCCCAGGCCCCTGGAACCCGATTCAGATCTGGGAGAAGCACATGGGTCTTGAGCAAGAACTCATCATTGCTGCAAAGGAGTGGGTCCAGTGATAGGAGCTCAGATAAGGCAACACGTAAAAAATCTCCTATTCTTGGCTACACTAAATACTCTATCCTCTGCAATTTCCTCTACGATTTGATGTTGTGGTGACACATGAGCGGCCCCAACTTGTGCGACAGGAACGGCGAGTCTTTGCTCGGTAAGACCGACAATACCGCAGCTTCCAGGACACCACTGTGGTAGACAGCGAGCAAGCTGTCGATGTCCGCATGATGAATGAACCCGTTGTGGTCACAGATTGCCTGGACGTCCTTGAGCACAAGCTTGTCATTCTCGTCACCTTCATATGGCCCATCTTCCTCTTGCATCAGCAACCAGGCATAAGCGCCCTCGAGTTTGGTGAACAAGGTCATGGCGGCTGAGAGTGTTGACCGATTCACATTGAAGGTGTCCACTACATCATCGTGCTGAACCCATACCTCTCTGCCAAAGGCATCCTCGCACTTGACAGCCAGCACCGAATGCTTGACAACACCAGTGTCGTCCAAGGAGTCACCGACGATCTTCACAACAATGTGCTGCTCAACCACCTTGCCTATAATCCTGGAGCGGCAGACGGCCTTGGTGAGAGCTATCTGATGGGAATACCTCTCCTGAAGAAACTGTTGGACAGGCAATGTGCCACCGGCACTGCTCGTTTGAGCATTCGGCGTGAGTGCTTGCATCTCCGGAGCTGTTGGAAGACCTTGGGGAACCAGTGCAGGTTCACCAGCACTGCTCGTTTGAGCACTCAGCGTGAGAGCTTGCGTCTCCGGAGTGGTTGGAAGACCTTGCAGAACCAGTGCTGGTTGAACAGTGTCGGGGACACCAGCAGCAAGTGCTTGGTTCACCGTGGCTATGTGCCCAATGGTCTCTGAACTCGGAGTAGGCTGAGAGACCCTGGCTGGCACAGGTGGAGAAGATGCCATGGCCCGCCCTGCATCGCGTCTCACAAATACCTCGTTGGCATCTCTGAGGATAACTGGATCAATCTGGCTCAGGGCTCTTATTATTAACTCGTCGGAGAAGGGACCAGTGGGAGCACAAACAACAGGAGGCACACGGACTGCTTGAAGACAGCGCAGGATGGAGGCTGTAGGGTCCAAATGTTGGACAGCGGCAGTGACGGTTGGTCCAGGTTCAGGAAGAGCACGGAGGTCCGCTACAGAGTCCGGGTCTGAGGAGTGAGAAACCTCAGCTCCTGCTAATCAACATTGATGGCGAATAGACCTACCCAGCATCGGGTTCGAGGCGCCTTGAGTGACATTGAGGGGTGCATCTTGGTGGATCTCTGAGGAATGGGGAACATAAGCACCCGGTAACTGGCATCGATGGCAGAGGCACCTACCGGGCAGGGGGCACGATCCACCTTCTGAGACCTTGAGTGGCACCTCCTGGTCAATCTCGGAGAAGGGTGGCTGCACCACTATGAAGAGGGAGGTGAGTCACTGGTAGCGTCCTGATCCAGGGAATGTGACTTCGTACCAAATTCGGACTCCGATGCACTAGGAAGGCCCATTGCAGATGTCTCAACATCTGTATCAGACGGCAGAGAAGTGGCACCAACTGCTGCTAGAGATGAAGTGAGCCACCCCATGGAGAACTCAGACAGTCGACCAAACACACCAGGAGCGAAAGAGATGGGCTTGTCAGGACACCTAGGGTGTTGACTGATGCGCTCTGTGTGACAAGGAGCTGGTAAATTCTCTTCATCGATCCTGGGCTTCTTGTGAGACTTGCGAGGTTGGGCTCGATTAGACATGGTGGTGCAGGGGATGGTGGCAATACGAAGACAGGCCAGGGGGGAAGACAGCAACGCACCTTTGTTTTATATCCCACTTGGCCCACCCGTCTCGTCGGATCCATCAGGATCTTGAGGAATCTCCAAGATTCTTTGCAAAAATTTTAGCATCGCCTTTGGTTAATGACACATGGCTCTTGTGATCATAAAAGAGTGACCGTTTCACGAGTCTCTAGGAGATTGCACATTCAGGAAAAGGAAAGAGTCTACTCAATCAGAATTTCGAAGATTAGATACATTTGTACGCAAAAAACGGGCCTATTTTCCCCCCCTCCTCCACGATCACAGCCCGGTATAACGGCTCCCCATCCCTGAAATGAGTACCTGTGTATGAAACCAGTACTCCCAGGCCTCGTGGTGCAGAGATGTCGTAGGGTCAGGGAGCAGTGTCTCTAGTATCTCCGCCACAACTTCACTGACCATGACATCAGCGGTGAGCGTGCAAGTGTGCCAGTGGATAGCGCCCAACGCCTCTGCTGCACTCTCCTCATTGTCCTTCTTCTTGTCAGGCTCGCCTTCCTTCTTCTTAGGCTCCTTGGGTGGATACAGGATGAACTGTTGAATGGGCGGTAAGATGTGAGTGCCAATTTGCGCGAATAACCAAGACACTCACTCGGACCTTCCAGTTGGGACGCATGGGCATCAAGTCGGAGTCAGTGAGGGCCTGCAGCACCATACTGGTTTGTAGGAGTTTGTTGTGTTTCTGCCTATCCCAGTCTCCTGGTGCGACGTGAGTGCCCTTGACACTTGAGGGGTGCCCTTCACTGGACAGGTAGCTCTTGAGCCACTCAAGGAAGATGGCAGCAAGGTCCTGGAGATGAGCGTGTCAGGGATGTGGTGTCGAATGATGAATTGTGCACTCAATGTGTGATATGAGGTCACTGGGGGTAGAGGGCTTGCGCGCGAACATGGCGCCAAAGACCTCGAGTAGGTCATCGTTCTTGAGGTGCTGGGAGACCTGCAGGGGGTGCAGTTAAGTAACAGGAATACTCAGCAGAATAGGACACACTGCAAACAACGTGGCAGAGGGTTCGTTTTGGGCGAGTCTGAGATTGAACCCCTTTGCGAATGCTTTAAATTCAACCATGGACCAGGGGTTCTGATGACCGACGGCCAGGTTGCACAGGATCCTTCTGGTGAGGCATGCGTGTTCGGCATCTTTGTGCTCTTTCTTCTTGATGCAGGAGGGCTATAGGTCCTTGTCAGGCCAGGAAAGAAAGGCGGAAGGGTGAGCGCACTTACATTTGTCTCCAACCCGGTTGTAATGACCTCGTAGAGCGATCCAGCATATATCACTGGAATTGTGGTGTCAATTTCAGTCTCAGGTTTGAGGTCAAACCATGGCCGCATGGTTGTAGCTAGGTGAGGATTGACCAAGTGCACCATGAGATAAGTCAACTCCTCTGTCGTGGCACGCCCCAGGAGAAGGAGGAGAGGGACCCAGACACTGATCTCAGCCGCCTGCCTGTACCATAATGTGTGCAGGGCTAACTGATGCCCATGGGTGGCAAGGCGTGTGCAAGTGAGAACAGGTACATCCTCTTCCAGGAGACCACACAAGACGGGCACTGCTCCTTCATGTCCAAACCTTTTGCATACCCATAGGTCTGAGTCGGCAATGGCACTTGCAAGAGCCTGGCGCATGATACCATGCTTGACGCCATCCCCAACAGTGGTTTCCCCAGCCACAGTTGAGCTTTCGCAGCCGTTGTCAGGTGGGTACAATTTCGAAATGATGGGCCACTCACAGCACAAAATTTCGATTCAAGGCTGTTGCCAGGAACACCGAAACATCCTGGCATCTTGTGGCTGGACTCTGACAAATGCTGGCTGGATGTTCGAGAATGTGGATGCTCTGAGGGTCCATCTCAGCAAGATAATGGTGGACAAGAAAGTCCAGGATGTGAGAGGCAACAGAGGCATGATCTTCCCTGTGAATGGCCAATTCCGTGTCGACAAGCAGGCTGGCTCTTGACTGTACATGATCCTGCCAGCGCTCAACAAGCCAGATGACTTGCTCAGCACGAGGGATAAATCGCCTGTGTAGCCGGTTCTGCGTCTGAAAAATGACTACATCTTCATCTGCGGTGGGCTCTGGAGACAGGTGGAAATCGGCCGGTGGGGTAGGTGCGTCGGAAAGGGGGCTCAGTGAACACGTCAGATCTACAAAAGCAGGGGATGTGGCCCTCCAGCGTGTGCGAGGGCGCGGGTCCTCAGTTTCCTGTGTGCGCGAGCAACAACGAGAACAAATGGGCTGAAAGATTGAATTAGCCCCACATAGAAAAAAGGAGAAAGCCACATAGGTGTCTTACCAGAGAAGGAGAGCATAATGCATCACCAAGATCAATGTTGCCTGAGGGATCCTACAGGATTGTTAGCTCGGATCGCCATGGTGTGAAAGAGAACCCCGACCCCACCTGCGGACACCAGTGATCCATGTAACAGTCCGTCTCGTCCACGGCAGCGCCATCGGCAAACATCAAGCCCTTGAGGACGTACTTTGCATAGCAGCCATGATTCAGATCTGGCGCATACATGAAACCCGGGTTGATTTCCTCCGTGTTAAGGGGACCACTGACAGGGCCATAGAGTGGTGCTGGGATGGGTGATGCTCAGTCAAGCGCTGAGCAGTGTGAGGTAAGAAGAATACCTAGATTGAGAAGGTGGTACCCCTGTTTACCGCTGAGAGGGTTGGGAAGTTTTTTGGCAGTGTCGAGCAATGTGTCGATAGAAATGGTGTTATCGTTGATGCCATTGTGGGGCTCAAGGTAATACATGCTGGTTTGCTTTCGTGGCCTAAGAAATTGCCAGTTCTGTTGGTAAAGCAGAGCGGCCACCTCGTCCTCGTCTTGACCAGGTTTGGCAGGTAAAACGAGGCTGTGGAGAAGGAGGTGGTCATTTATGACACCAGAGAACAGAGGAACCAAAGCGTCCTGGTTGGTTGCAGCAGGGACAGTAACTTCAAGGACCAAGTGGAACCTATCGAGCCGGTTGAGGATCTCAGGAAGGATATGCATATTGACCACCAGGCGCTTCCCAGAGTCTTCCAAGGCGTATACCAACTTGTGGTCCTGCCATTCGGTGGTCATTCAATCTGGACCTGCCGTCTATGATGAGAAGAGAACAACTCACAATGAAGGGGTAAATGGCAAGTAAAAATTTCTGGTCTGAGTCGGCGTTGTTGGTGGCTTTAGCGGCCGCCTTTGACGATGAAGAAGAAGCGGCCTGAGCAGGAGCAGGAGCCACAGAGCGTCATGGATTAGGTGCCTGGTTGTTAGCCGCCATGCGCTGGCGACTTTGTTCGCATGCTCTGTTGACGGTGGAGGGGCAGTCGGGGGCCATGAAACAAGGAATTGGCACAGACCCGACCTGAGACACAGGCAGCGGGTAGTTGGCTGGGTTCAAGCCCGGAGGACGCAAGGGAGCCGCCGCTGGAGCTGTGGCAGCAAGAGGATGTACAGGGACCGCAACAGGGCCAGATTCCACCATCTCTAGGATGCTGTGCTGCATCCAGGGGCGCCCGCACAGGCAGAGAGTATGAGGTGTCCAGTGAAGCTCCAACTATTGTCTTTGTTGAGACTTTTGGGGCCAGGGAAGGGAGACAGACGAGCTTACTGAATGAAACCCTCCGCAGGGAGGGACTTTGTCCAATATTCCGCCCTTTTGCATGGCATGACAGGGGTGGGTGCCTGGGAGGCCTGTCGACTCGTGCAAGATCCAGGTGTGGTTGCAGCACTGGCAGAGCTCGGTGGGGTTCGTGGGTATCTGATAGACATCAGAAACAAGGAGCGAGAAGTGTGAAACATCGCTCACCAATTCTCTAGGGGCAAGGGTTCGATGGTAGTTTTTGCAAGGGCAGCCCACGACGGAGCACCTGCCATGGGTGGTGAACGGTATGGCAGGCATTGTCAAGGAGAATCAAAGAGGAGAGTGGAGGGAACAGAACCAGGGAGAGACGCAATTTTCTGGGTTTGAAATGGTGTCAAAGACTCCAATGACAACCCACCATAAGCTCATGTCCTGATTCCAGATAGGCGAGAAGATTTTGAATAGGTGCTGGCCTGTGAGGTCGCCCCGAGTCCAGTGTTTGTACTTTCCATTGCGGGATATGGCATCAGACACGGCTCATCCAAAAGGCACACTTTTGGTTAGGGATTGGTGAAAAGGTCAAAAGAATGATCAGATATTTATTTAGGTACATGAAAAATGTATAGAGAAGCAGGGCAAAAGGTCTGGGCACGGTGAGGTGAATAATGCTCTTTACTGGGCCAACTACTTCGCGTGTTTGTCCCATTCAAGTCCACATGGACAGCTGGTGTTGAAGCCTCCATGTTCCTGTTGTGATGCTTGAGCATGAAGCCATGACGCGCAAGGCGGAAGGAACTTACTGACCCAGATTTCACTGTAGGGTCTTGAGGAAAGAACCCATAACAACACGCGTCTTTGTCCCGGTCCTGAACCGGGATTTAGATGCATCTCAGTTGACAAATACTCGGGTACCTACAATGGAATGTGCGGGGTTGCTCAGGGACTGGGTTACCTGGGATTGGCACTGGCACTGGCAGTGGGGAGAGTGGTGGGAGGATGGCTGGGACGGCTGCGAGGAAGACATGAAAAGAGCGCGATTGGGGCGTAGAAATGACTGAGATGCTCTTATCTATTGGCAATCGTCAGGAACATGTTTTACTCTGTTTGACCTAGAATGATGGAAGAGAGGTGGAACGCACATGGGCGCTTGGATACATTAGAAAGAAATAGGGGTAATTAGGAGGGAGCTCCATATAAGGAAATGTTGGGAGCAATGCGCCGTTCGGAAGCAATGCTCGGACATGTGAGTCCGAGATGGACGGCCGCTGGAACGAGTCATGTGGGCGCCTTCACTTGGTATGATTGATTGCCTGAACAATCGGTCACGCACAATTACATATTAACAGTCCAGTGACCCTGTGAGTCTTCCCGGGCCTGCCCTGAACCATTTGTCTCAGTGGTGCCAGCTAGCCTGTTGAACGAGTTGGATAGGCTCTATTAGCGATACTAGTGGGTGTTAACAGGAGTCCCACGGCTTAGACAACCAGAAAGTAGTAGACCACTTCAAAGCAAGATGAGAGAGATATGGAAACACTTGCCATTACTCACCCCCAGCGAATGTCCTCCCCCGTCCTGCGCTGTTTCCCGTGGATGTCTGGAAGCTTGGTATGGTTGGACGACATCGAGGGCCTGGTGCCCCCATCTAGCAAAATGAAGGTCAGGCTGACAAGCTGCAGAATGGACAATATGGTCTCATGAGTTGTAGGATTTTGTTCAAAGCCTACACCACTATGAGCGCCAGGTGTTTTCCTTCTGCAGTCCAGCCGAGAGCTTGTATTGTCTGCAAGGGCTCTTAGAGATCGAATTCTCTGACATCCAGAGCACGTCTGCCAAAGAGACACCACAGCGGCTTTCCAATAACTCGCAGGACCATATGCGGATGTGTTCTCTTTTTTCAGGTTATCGGCTGGCAGAGCAGTACTTCATCAATATCACGCTACCACCCTGCATTCCTCAATCTTCAGGTCAGCAGGACAAAGGGCTCAAGGTTTTGATTTTCTATCTTTACAGTGTCATAATCTGTCGCTGACTTACGGAGACTAGGGTTACGAACATCTGGAAAATTGGGTCGACATGCTCCTCACTCTTTGCAACATCATCAAGCACATCAATGATCTGAAGCTTTTGCACACGAGGAGTGGGCCAGAACAGCTCATCAATCACATCCGCGACGCTCAGAGGAACATGAAATACTGCAAGGTGGTAATTAACATGCTTGTGGCAGCCTTGCACCTGGCCTTTCTCCAGAGCCACAGCTTTTCCGAGGGAGAGCTTCCGGACATCCCAGATAACCTAGACAGCTTGGATGAGATGTCTCCGTTTAAGCAACAATTTCTGGACCTTGTCGATAATCAAAAACACGGGTCGTCTCTTTGCTCTGCACTCCATCTCGCGCTCCTTATATTGCCCCTCTACCTTTTGGTCTCAATCCAATTGATGAAGAATTCATTTTGCCGAGAGCAAGTGCTACAGGTACGAACACATGGTGTGGGATTGAGTGATTGGCTGAAAGCGCCGAAGTGCACCCATGCTTTAGGGAACATGAAGGGTTCGGTATTGCTCCGGGTCGAAGGAGAGATCATGGTCACTGCCAAACGTTTGGCATCCCGCAACTGCATTCCGCTTCAAGAACTCAAGGAACTCTTTGGTCAAAGAATCCCATGGTATGACGTGGAAAATTGCGACGCGGAGACGCGAAATTTTTTCCAGCTCAGTAAGACATGCGTGCATGTTTCAAACAGAACTGTACTGACTGTGTCCTTAGGCTCAGGGGCAAACAGGCTGGGATACGTCAAAGACCGTGCCAATCTGTCCGACATGACAGCGTCGGTCGCACCCAGAGCAGAGCATGAAGAAGCGAATCTGGCACAGCCAGAAGTCGCCATGATGGTCGTTCAGCTGCGTAGGTCTGACCAGAACCAGAAATCGGTCTCAGTCAATACACAGTCACACCCTGAGGTTGATACCGACAGCGAGTATGCAGACACTGATGCTGATACAGCAGACATTGACCTGGAATCGGATGTGAGCACCCCGCCCCCAAGAAGCAGAAGACCTCCGGCGCCCAAGTCACTCACATCGCTTGCCACGGCGGGAGCCGGACAAAATGACAACATGCCCAGAAAAAGTGCTTCGAACCCGATAGACATCAACGCGGACCCGCCAGAGGTCGACATAGACTCTAACGTGAGCGAGATGGATGAGACTGGTGATATGGCTGGCCAGGACGACCGCAGCGTGACGCCTGGCTGTGATGCCCAAAACCCTATAGACGTTGACACGTGGATCAAGTGCAATCCAACAGAATGGAAAAATACTTTGGTAGGAGTGCTTGCTGCTGCAGTGCAATGAGATCTCACAGATAAAACGTAGCCTCGTGGGACTGTATTGACGCTCAATACGGCCTCAGGACATCTAGTAAACCTCGACCAATTGCCCCTGATGCGTGGGACTGATGCCTTTTTGGCAGCCAATACAGCTAGTGAAGCATTTAAAACTGGGGAACTCCCCAGAATGCTGGATGCATCAGGGTGGGGAGTTGCCCATCCATGGACCCCAGACCACCCCTGCTGCTGGGGAGGGCTGGGGATGACCATTTCAGTGACGGAAAAGGCTTGGGAGGGGTTTGATGAGACCCGGGGACTGTTCTGCATCCTTTCTGGGACAATCTGGTATGGGGGAGGAGGTGAATTGGCCCGTATGGGGTGCCACATTACCTTGGCAGTGCGCTTTTTTTAGATCCACGGCTATTTTTAATTTGACAGCCCATGAGAATGATGTCACTGATCTGAGCCATCAATTCTTGATGCCTCGCCTCGGAGAATCCGCCTTCCGGCTGTGGCTGTGCTCATTCCCAATGCGGACATAGGGGGATCAAAATAGGCTCTGCTGGCCTCATCCATGGCTTATTTCATTACACCACACCTCTTAATGGACAAAACAATTATGCGATAATATTATACATGATTTTAGCTTTCTGTAGATGCCAAGAACATCAGGAGAGACCTATTTTTGGTAAAGATATGGTGCAAACAATGGTTTATACACCAAAAATGCGAAAATGCGCACCAAATGTGCCCCTCTCATGCCCCCCTGACTCAAATAACCTATGTCATAATGTAGGGTAGTGCATTACCTTTAATTTTACCGCTTAAAATTGGTTGTGCAGTCAGTATTGACTATGCTATTCCCTTATAGAGCGCATTTTCTAAAAATAGCAAAGAAGCGCACTCAATTCTCTACCATTTGCAGGCATCTAATCCTCGGGGCAGGTCAGCGATTCTATAGAGAATATATAGAGCTTTCAAACGAGCCCTCCCGCGTGTTCACGCGCTCAGTATTGCAGCTTATATTACAGGATTACCCCTCATGCATGGCAATTTATTGATGGCTGCACATCCGTGCAGAATTTCGGCTTCCCCTCGCATTATTTCGCTTAGCTTTGGCTGAGCGAAATGCTGGGTACATTAATACCTTCTAGTAGACACCCTTATCGCGTGAAACGGGTAGAAACTCGTTGAGATATGATGAACGTGATTTTGCTGCTATAATACATGGTGCACCCATGCATCCTCAGGCATGTTTAGGGCCATTTGAGTCGGCCAAAAATGATGAAATACATGCCTGAGAGTAATGGCAGCTTGCATAATGCCAGGGGGTGTCTGGGTGTAGTAGATATGAGGGGGTATATAGGTACGGACAAGCCTCCACTAAACGCAGCTCTGAAAGTCTGAAAAGTATATACGTGAATAGTGTATATTTATCCATGAATTTAACATATTTTATCATAATTTTATATTGCCTGGAAGTTGAGTTATTGACCAATTTCCCATGAGCTGAAATATTTTATTGACCTCCAGGAGGGGGGATATTGGCACATGTAAAATCATGATAAATGACGATAAATGTATAGAAACAGATCGAGGTACTTGCGAAGGCAAGGGGATGAATCTGTGAGGAGGTAATCCCCCACATCAGTATCTATGTAAATACTTACCAAATCCACATATCGCACCCATTCAATGGTGCTTTCGGGTCAGGATAACATCCCTTAACATATTTCGAGTGACGGATGA